AGTAGGGACGATGGACAGATCGGCCCTTTCCTCGCGTCGTTGTAGTGGCTCCTCGCTTGAAGATCTGAGCAGATCTCCATTGGTTATCAAACCGCGAGGCGTATTCGTACCACTTGTCAAGTGTCTTGGGCATGCTTTCCATCCCATATATCCTTTGTCGGAGTGGGTCGTTAAGTCCCCACTTGAAATACTCGATATTTCCGGCATCTTCTAGTTTCGCCTTGGATTCAAGCGATCGGAATTCGGCAATGTAGTCGTCCGCAGTACGAGTTCCTTGCTTGATGTTACGCAGCAAGGTACGAGCGGTTTCTTCAATATTTTCATCGCCAAATGCTTTGTTCACATTCGCAATGAAGTCTCTCCAACTCCCATAAGAAAGGAAGTCATCATTGGTGAGTTCCGTTTCTATGAAGCTCTGTGCCCATGATCCTGCTGTTCCTCCTTGCATGTGCGATAGCACGAATGCGATCTTCTGATTGTCCTCCTGGTAGACATGGCTGTTTCCGGCCATGTAATTCTTGCATTGGTTTATAAATTCCCTAAGCTTCGAACGGTCTGAACCGTTGAAGATCTCGGGTTTTCTAAAACCAAGTTCCTTCTGGCTGACATGGTGACGTCCTTCATCCATGGTAGCCATCGGTGGTATGTAATTGGATGTGATTGGTGCAAGAATTGGTTGGGGTACGGGATCCTGGACAGGGAGGTTCCAAGGGGCGTCTGGTCTTTCTCCTGGATAAGAGATAGGTATGCCGCTGTCTGCGATGTGTGATAGTACGAGCCCTCCAACATTATGGGGTAGGCCTGCTTCGTAGTCACCACTTGGGTGATCAATGTGTTGATCTGGTCTGATGAGTAAAGGTCGTCCGTTTAAAACGTGTACGTTCCTCTGTGCGTCCCACTCTGCCTGAGATGGGAGGAGATCGATGTATTGCTTGGGAAGAGCAGTCGGGTTGATAAAGTTCAAATCCAGCGTGGATAAATTCCCCTGTGTGGCCTACGTCTACACGTAGACTGCACACCGTCCTTAACTAAGTGGGTTCGTTCGTCGTCGGCTAACAAGCCCGTAGAGTGTCTTCTGTCTTCAAACTGGTACACCTATTTGCTGATTGCTCGAGTGATTACCTCAGCCTCCTCGGCCTATTGGTCTCTCGGACAGACCCCTCTCCGAAGATGAGTGATCAGTCTATCCCTTCAGCTACCTCGATTACAGAGTAATCTCAAACGGTGCTTTAGCAATCGAATCGGGTGTATCGTTCAGTCTTCAAGGTTCGGTCCGGTCGGTAGTTCGTTGTTAGACTCTAGGAAGTCACAGAGAGTAATAAGATCTCGACCTAATGTTACGCGGCAGCGAAACACGAGCGTCTAGTCGAGTCGTCACGAGACAAGGTCTTAGTCTAAGACACGAGTCCGTTCAAGTGACACTTCTGGCGATGTCCTCGCACTGAAGGTCAATCAGAGTTCGTTCTTATGACTCGTAGTAGCTGTCTGCTACTGACGGTCGATCTTAGTCAAAAGGCAAGTGAAAAGCTGGTTTAATGGTAACCAGGTCGAGATGGGGATCCAGCTCGACAAGGTCGTTTACTTATACAAAAGGTATCCGCAGTACTACGCAGTAATGCGAGATCGTTCATTGGCTAGATAAGGTGAAACGATATCTGGGCAAGGTAACAGCGAGGAAGTAATATGTATGAGAAAGCTGAGTAAGGTCGTGAGAGACAATCAGTACTAATGGGGATAACGAGTCGTGTATCAGAACGAGGTAAAGATGAGGCGTACATGCACGTCTTGCATGCGCGATAAGAAGAAGGTCCGGAGTTGGATCCGGTGTAACCCTTGACTAGGGGTTCTGGACATCTGGGTAAAGAATCGGAGGTTGCGCTCCAATGAGTCACGTGTTGGATCACGTGGTCTGGTATCGTAAAGGGAACAAGGAAAAGAAAAAGAAAAGACGCGCCACAAGTGGGGAGCGTTGTAACATCACCCAGCCTTCCACCCATTCATATATCAAGCCTTCAAGTTGCACTATTGCAGACTCCCATGCTCACCATTTATCTACCCCTTTCTGGGGATTTTGACAGACATGAATGATTTCACTGTATAATCATTCATTGAAAACTCAGTTTGTGACCTCATGGAGGTCCCGATAGGAAAATACAATCCAAAACCTTTGATAAAAGATAAAAAAATCACAAAACACGTTTTCATGGCTCCGCCCGGGCTCGAACCGGGAGCCTTCAGCGACCTGGAACAAGCCTGTGAAGCAGACGTCATAACCATTAGACCACGGAACCTGGTGCAAGTACTACAAGGACAGCCTATCCTAAAGGACCTGGGGACTCCAGCTTTCCCACCATTTGCACACACACCCACGGTCTCCCAATGGGCCCATAAATAAGCTCCCCCAGTTCCTCCCCATCCTGGCAAATGCCTCCCTCAACGAAGTCACCGCCACGACCCTTGCCGGATGTGAGCACAAGGACCCCCCGCAATCCTCTGTGAGCTCCGCGGTCAATTCCCCGGAAGGTGCCGCTGAACACGACGTAGTCGTCATGCGCGCACAGACGAGGAAGGTAGTGGCGGTGTACCAGGTCGTAGACAGGTGCATGGACACGGCGTCGCCCTTCTACATACCGAGCACCTCGAGGCGCGCAGCAGCTTCGTGTACATGATGTTGCTGCCCGCCTCGCAAATGATCGCGGTCTGCTCACGCGATCGTCAGTGCGGTAACGACTGCAGCGTGATGGCGCCTACTTCGTCCGGGTGCCTGAACACCGAGCTATTCACGCGGTTGTAGGGACGCGCCCGCCCTCCAAGAACCAGACGATCACGTCGGTCGCGAAAATGCCCGCCGCGTCAGTTAGTGGACATGCGTATGGCACTGCGCGCACTTTAGCGTTGGACTGGTCGTGCTCGTCAACGCCTGCTGACGTATTCCTGGGGGAATGGAAGGTAGATGGGGGAGAGCGTGGGGGAGGGCCAGGTGGCACTCCTCGGAGGCGCTCCACAACGCCGAGCGCCTGTGACGCGGTGGTCCCGGTTGTTCACGCTCGCGGCCGTTCTACACGACACTCGCTGGCGTGCACGGAGTGGGTGGTCCGATGACACTCTGAGTCGTGCTCGTGCTCGCGGGGTAGGTTCGTCATTGTATGCTAGGTTTGTGGTGCTCGTCGGCGTGTCCTGGCTCGTCAACGCATCCTGGCGCAGCACGGGTCCGCATTTGTCGACGTGTCCTGGCACGGTACAGGCTGTAAACAGGTCAGTTAGGATGTGCGTGCAGAGGTTCAGGCAAGAAGAGGATGAGGGGAAAGTCCCATCACATCACAGCGCTCGCCCCGTTGAATTTAGCGCCCACACTTATCTGAGACGCACGTCAATGGTGAAGCAGACCTCATAACCCTTAGACCACGGAACATACCCAATGGTTGGGGCGGTGGTCATGGTCCCAGTCAGGACTGTCAGGATCCCCGACCGCATGAGAAATTTGCGCGTAAATTGAAGAGGAGGAACCTCCCCTACCTCAACAACTGTTTACTGTATCCGAGGACAAAGTAGCGCAAGCCAGCGCCGCGTTTCTTGAAATCGAGCAGTTGGAGATTACATATGTCGCCGAGCTACCAAGCGGATCCTCTGGGCTGGATATAACGTAGGTACCGTGGTCGTCCACTGTGGCGAGTAGCAAAAACGTTTGCAAGGCCTGATCAACGAAATACAATATCAGGAACGTCAGCGGATCATGGCGGATGAATGGACAAACGGACGGACAAACGGAGAGGTCCTATGAAGGGACTTCAGATAAACTTTTACTGGATAGTTGCGAGTTGAACAAATATCCTGTGTAACGCCATTGAATGGGGGCGATGAATTGGCAAGGTGAATACAATCTAGCGCGCAGTCACGTCTAGACTCCTCTAGGGTTCTACATGTTCTCGATTTTCTCGGAGCAGGGATCTCGTAGAATAGTTCCAGGGAACAAGGTGATTTCGATACCTCCGCGAATGCTTTGCCCTGAAGATGTTGTTGGTCCATGTAGGTCCTTCTGTGAGTAGAATAAACATCGTGGTCCTCGGCGTGGCCTTTCCGTGGTCACGTTAATCGCCGAGTCGTACAGGGATTATTATGCAGGATCGCAGCTGGAATACGCCTCAACTCCCCTGTGTTAGGTCGGTGACTGCACTGGTTAGTTTTCGTCCTTGCTTACTACCCTCACTTGCTCCTTCGAGCGGAAGAGTCGAGATAGCCGTCGTTTCCGACGGTATCCTTCACAACTAGCCGCACAATAAATTGGCGACAAGCATTGTTTATTAGAGATTTACTACACAGCGAGAAGGAAGAGACAAGTAGCACTAGCGTAGGACGAATGTGACTACTCACAGACGTGCACATACGGAAGAAAAATTAACCAAAAGAGAGGACAGCCAGGGCTGAACGAAATGCGAGTGTCGACGGGTGAATAGAATGGGTAATGAATCCAAGCACGTAAACTGGGATTGAATGCCACGTCACCAGTAGAAGACGTTAATTAGACATTGCGAAGCAGAAGAAACGAAAACTGGTCAACGGGTCGCGAAGGAAAGGGACGAACGCATAGGCACAGCGACATCAAGTGGCAGGAAGCAATGACAGTGAAACAGACAGAGGACGACCGACAACACGACAGAGACAAGACCGGCTACAGGGAGACCGTCCAACATCTTGGGCCAGTACACATGATCCGATAAATAGCGTGCGTGCGCACACGGTGTATGCATTCATGAGTAGTTAATCATGATACGACGCGTGCAGGCGTCTCGCGAGTCGAATAATTATTAGGGGGCCCAATGCGTCGAGCGGTCGGCGGCTGATGCTACAGGGAATGGATGGCGTTGTACACAATGAGTTCTTCCACCTTGCCAGGACGCGGGAAAAGCACCGGATACAGATGAGGTTATGGGGCGAATATGGACAGGGAGAGGCAGGGAAGGAATGGTTTTACATGCGAGCGTCCATGCGCAAATTCAACTTCAGCTCTTGACCAGATCAATTCCGGTCCCCAATCCGCTTCTGCGCCCCGTAGCACTATCTGTACGCCTTCCAGAACCGTTCAGCCCACGGGAGTCGTCGAATAATCGCCGCCCACCAATGTCCACCGAGAGGCTTGTACCATGCCTTGATTGTGGTCCCGCACCCGCGGCAGGTGAAGGCGACACGTTTACAAAGTCGCTTATGTAGAAGGGCGGAGGCGAGGCGACTTTCTTGCCGTCGGGCGGAGGAAAGCCGGGTCTGAGTGCTGCAGATGACGGGCGGTCCGTGAAGGTAGGGCTCCTGGTCGTACGTGAGCGATCTTCCTGAAAGGGCGATTGTGGGGCTGGAAGCAACTGTACTGCGGTGTGGTCGGTGGGTGTTGGGGGTGTAATAGTGGGCTCCATTGGTACATCCAGAAAACTGCTATCAGTACCCTGCGACACGCCCAATTTCGGAGGCGGTGAGCGCGATAATTTCCTATTCGCGCCTTCACCAGGTATCGCGTCCGGATAGTCATTGACGGCTGTAATGCTGGATGCAAAGCTACCAGTGTCTTCCCTGCGGAGAGGCCTTTGTGCGTCCAGCGAGGGATTTCCGCTAAGGGATGAGAACAACGCGCGTCCTTTCAAGGAACTTCCTCCCAGCCCGCGAAATGCGACGTCCCTTGCATCCCGAGTGACTGCCGGGCGCACTGGGGACGGCGATGTAGCTAGAAAGAGCATGAGATCCGCCGCCTCAGTGTCACTCGGCTGATGTGGTGTGTCCGAGGCGCCGACGCGACTGACCACACGGTGCAGCGGCTTCGGCGTCAACTGCCCCTCGCCACGCCCTCTGTCGCGCGACAGCTCGCGCCGCTGTCTTCCACCCGGCGCAGGCGTGCTCTGCCGTCCTTGCGCCGACGTGGACGCCGCAGCCGTGACCGTCCGTGCTGAGCTCTGCGCGTATTGTGAGAACGACTGTGTCGAACCTGCATCCGACCCAGCCGAGAGGCTCGACCGCGGGGACGACGCGTTCGTAGGGATGGACTGGCGCGACAGCATCAGCGAGGTGAGCGTCGCCGCCACCTGCATGTCCACGTCCACCTCTGCACTATTCGCTGCAGCCGCCCTGGCCGGCGCGTTCGCGTGTTCTTTTCCCTTCCCTTTACCTCTGGCCGGCTTCCGCGCCTTTGACTTCGCCTGCGATCCCTCTGCTACTCGCGTCTTCGAGCTTTTGTGCAGAGGAGAAGGCGCACCGGTCATCCGTGTCGGCGCCGGTACTGGCGGATCTTGGGGATTATGGATAGTGCGCGGGCGCTTCGCCGGCGGCGGCGCCAATATCGACGCGAACAGACTCTGCGTCGCAGATGCTGTCACGGGTGGTGGCGGCGCCATCGAACCCTTACGCGGTGCTGCCCTCGCCGACGTGCCGGGCGACATCGCGCTGTTGCCTTGCGTCGCGGGATTATTGTAGTAGTTGCCCGCGGTCCTGCCTTGCGCGTTGCGTGTGTTCGCGCCTTGGCTTTGCGACTGCGCCTCAAGATCCGGCAGCGTGTTGTGCGCCACGTTGTGCGTTGCCTTGTATGAGGCATACGAGAGCCGGGTACGCAGCCCGCGGGTGAGCTGCAGGAACAGGGGTGATGAGCGATCGGTTTTCCGGCACCAAAAACCTAACGAGAACGGGCACACGACGCGAGAAAAAAAAATCTGCACCACAATACGGTGAACGCGCGATGGACGACGCTTCGTCGCGAATTTCCCAACGCGCAGTCGGCGCTCCGCCGATGGGAAAAATGAGCACCAACCTTCGCGATCTCAGCTCGAGCGAGGAATTTCTCCACAGCTCGGTCTCTCTCCTCCTTGTCGTTCGCGGTGACAGTCGTATTTATGTTGGCGGCGACAGGAGGGGCGGCCGCGCTGGTCTGGAGGAACCTAAGTTGCGGTGAGGGCGTCGTGGTGGACGACGAGGGAGTTGCCATGACTGCGTGGCGCGTGTAGACGACCAGTATAAGTGTACGGACGACGAGCAGGAAATAAGAAGTAGGAAGCTGATTGAGGGGAACGACGAGCGCGATGTGGTCGAGAACGTGTGAGAGGAAGAGACGCGGTGATAGGTAAGGCTGAGCGCGTCGCGTCGACTCCAGCCCGGAAACAGCCGTTCCCGGATAATTACGTAATATCGCGTCTTACTCCTGCCGCACGTTTCCCTCGACGCTCTTTATGATTCACTTCCGTCAATCATCCTCACTCAGTGACTCCATTCATTCCGCAGCGTCTCCGAACAATAGCCACACATCGCTCGAAATGTTCTAGCGGAAAAGCTTGAGCGTGTTCTGGCAGAGCTTTCCTCCTTTGGAGTCATGACTAGGAGTTATCCACCTCACAAAATTAGCCAAAAACTCTCGGGGACCCAGATCACCTGCAGCGCAAAGGGGAATGTCGGTGCAACTCGGTGGATAAGTCATACGGATGTCATCGCACCATCATGTCTCTGACAACATGACTGATCACGGGCGAATAACGGTCCCGACTCTCCCAGCGACAGAGCACGCAACTTTCGGTTCATCCATCCGCGCTGCCTGCTTCCCCAGGTCCCCGGTTGCACGGGCTGCTGTATGATAGAATGTTCCATGCGATTTCGGATCGATGGGACATGATCGTACGATACTGCACGGAGGTATCATCCCGGAAGCATCTCGCTGCTACAAGAAATGGGCGGAATCAAATGCAGTAAGGTCAAAGCAAAAACATCAGAGTCACACAGCAAGCAGTGCTGCCCTATAAGCCGAATGTACAAGTTCAAACCGATGCAAGTCGCAATTGCGAGTTCCTGGTATTCAGGATTTGCTCTCCTCTGATATCTCCCGGCACAACTCCCAAGACACGCTGATCATACGTTTCATGAAGTCGCAGTATGCCTCCTGGGAGGGTAGCATCTGCATGGTGTGTTCGGGACCTTTGCAATCTTTCTTGTGTTGCTTCCAGTCCTCTTTCTGACACTCCGGGCTGCAGTAGTACGTCTGACATGTCGGTCAGACCGGAGAAGCGCTCAGAAGAATCATTCCGTATCGTACCTTCTTGCAGGCACCGCATCGTTTCAGCTCACAGAACTCGGAATCAACACCAAAGCCCACTATTATCCCGCAAGTCTCATTCTCGCAGCGCTTGAACAGAGGACCTCCGTCCAAGCCAAGTTTCGAGAAAACTTCGATTTCTTTGGTCGGACGCGGGTCCGTTTTCGCCGCAATATAACGGTCCACGGCAGCATTCCACAAGTCAGCGCGGGTCTGGCATTCTGTCTTGCTCAATGTCTTCTCCCAAGGCCTTCAGAGGATATCACAAGATTAGTTGGATCGAACTCCGAATTCAGCCACTAGACACGCACTTCGGTGCGAATTCTACCTCCTTCAAGGCAAACACGAAGGCAGGATCAGCGTACCCCTTCTTCAGCAACAGGTCTGCCCCACAGTCCCGCGTCCGACACCACGCATCGCGCTGCTCCAGCGTCATTGGTACCCTGCCGTTAAAGTTCCGTGACATGTGGGTATTGATCGCATCCTGAGCCTCCTTGCAGTGCGGATATACGACGCCCGGCAGTTCATTGAGGATGATAATCTGCCGAAGCTGTACGTCCCACACTTCTACCGTCGCGAACTTCCTCCGCTGGCAGCATTTCCGGAACATTTTCGGCGAGCCGCAAAAGCACAGGAAGTCAAGAGGGTATGGCTGTTTACTGGCGTGGCAATCGACGAGCAGCTTGCCGGACCAGCAGGGGCAAGGACGCGGTGGACGCGGCACGATAGGCTTCGTGGTCTCCAAAAGAGACATAAGGCGACGTATTTCCGTCTGATTCTGCAGCTAAGGTGCCACGTTCAGTTTCACCGGTTGTGCACCGTGGCGCAGGAGTAGCTCGATCAAGGGCCACTGGAGGGTATTGAAGGCGTATCCGAAGATGGAGTCGCCGCCGCCACGCTGAGCGACATACAGCTCGGCATGCTGCTCAATCAGCAGCGTCGCGATACGGACGAGGCGAGCGCGGGTCTCCGCGGCCTTGTTGTTGGCTCCGTCCCTCCCAGCGGCCTGCGATTCCACTGTATTTGCAATCATCTCTGTCGCGAGGAGGAGCGGTGTCCTGCCGCACATGTCCGAGATGTCCACGCCGACGCCGAGGCGGAGGCACTCGTATGTGAGGGGGATGTCACCGCGGGCGACGGCGAGATGGAGGTAACTCGCCCCCTCCATTCCTTTCACTGTCAGTCCGCGCGTCAGGGCTGCAGGAGGGCTCTTGTAGAGAGCCTCAGCGCGCAGCACCACTTCGGAAGTGATGACGCTGGCACGGAATGTTTCGATCGCCTTGTCATAGATGATGGTGTTGGAGCCGATGAGGGGATCGGATTTGAAACTGTCGAGTAGCTTGGCGGGGAGACAAGGATGGGATTCTGTGAGACTCGCGGGCATGGTGCACGTCGAAGTGAGCAGGGACAGCCAGTGTACGAGTCATATTCGTCCTTATAACCATTGCGAAGTGTAGCAAGGAGGAAGAGGACTGCCTGATCCAGTAGCAGAAGGGCACGGCGTGAACTTATGTTATCCTTGACAGCGTATCAATTGACGTTCAAGTTGAGAACTAGGTCAACGAGACGGGAACAGACGATCTTCATCCCGTGTGATGACTCACTGTGTGCCTGAGAAGTGGTGAACTGTCTGAACTTATTCGGTGAAAACCGCCTTTCACCAATAAACTTCGGCATTAATTAGTGGATAGTGATTTGGATGTGATTTCCCCTGATTTCTGATCCACCGAGAATGGTAGTGAAATTCACCAACGACGATCCGCGTCGAAACGGTTCGGGAATTCACCACCTACTTGTTGGTGATTTTCTGTTGCGTTAAACTACCAAGTCCAATCAACCCTGCCCTAAATGTTCAAGTTTCAACATGGCGTCGTCGAGCTTCGTCGTGCGCTGGCATCGCTCAACACTGTCTCTAGCTTTGCACTTTCCAGCGCTCTGCTCGGGCCGGCTAATCTGGACTGGCTTAGTCAAATTGATCTCTGGTGTTGTCTCGTCTGCTGGGCTCCATGGCTTGCTCTCTGGGGAAGGTTCAATCCTTACCATGGCAAACAACAGACAGGTATGTGCAAATTTTGACGCAACGAGTGACCTCCCGGCCTTGCTACGGTATTCTGATGTCATCCTATGCCAGTCCCAGCAGACGGCTCTGTTGTGCAGCGCAGAGCGCGGTTTTAGGCGGACATGGTTTTAGGCAGACATGGTTTTAGGCGGACGTGGTTTTAGGCAGACGTTGTTTCACAAATTACGAGGGAGCGTAGGATGTATGTGTTCATTGCTATATATTACCGGAACTCTAGATCTGTATATATGTACTGGAATTGAATCTATATTCAATGTTTCTGGTAGTGAATTCAGTGATTGAGCGGAACCTAGTAGAAATCAACAATAAACAACCGGGTTCTCACGACTCGCCTTTCGACGCAAGGTAGTGAAATCGGACATTTTCTGGGTGATTTTTACCGCTTTCGCTCACCGAGAAAATTGGTGAAACAAGATAGTAGACCCTCGAAAACCTAGTGACATTCCATATGTAAAGTAGTAATACCTCCGAAGATATCTAGTGAACGAAGTTCGGGCTTTTCACCAACTTCCGGGCACACAGTGACTGCTCCTATGATTGAACACTACTGAGGGAAGTATCTCCAAACTAAGTGTGCGCCCCAGAATTTGACTTCGCGTATCCTGAACAGTGTGGAAGCTTGACCCTGACCTTACGGAGCGTCTACGAGCATCACGATGTAGATTATCGAAAAGTCAATGTCATGCTCTAGGTGGGTCACCCGGGGCTTCGCGGCTTCCAGAAGGTCTTTAACAGCGAAGAAAGGAAAGAAGTGTCTACAGTTTTATCGAACGCCGTAACGGTATCGAATCACATCTTCATCATCTACAATACCCGTACCAGCAGAAACTAATTACTTACACAGCTGAAAGACCTCTACAACTTCCCTGCTGACGATCTGGTCCAAGAAGACCAAAAACACGACAGATCGATAGCGAAAAAAACCCGAATAAATCCATGATAACGATAGCACGCGGAGCCTGCTGGCGTTCCGCTGAGAGGCCCTAGTAGTTGTAGGGCAGATACGACGGGTTTCGCCCGAACCTACCGCCCAAACACGTTCCGCAGCCCGCGTTGAAGGCGACAAGGACGAGGACAATAGCCGCAGAAAGCTCCATCCATATCTGTTCCACACCGTAGCAAATCAGCGTTCATGTCACCCAGAAAAGAGCGGGGAACACGGACTGCAGGCCCGAAGGACGCCGTGTAACCGACCGCATGGAGCCTTGACAGCACCGTCGCAAAAACGACAAGCATGACGATGAACGCTGCGAGGCTCGTGAGGCAGGCGAGTAGCGTCAGCAAGAAGAAGATCGGGTGGGGGTAGTATCGCAATCTCGGAAAACACAGCAGCGGAAATAGGCAGAGCAGAGCCAAAATGGATATTCCGGCAGCTACATAACATATTAATGAGTATGCCCAGTGAAATTTTGACATATTGGCGACTCACAAATAGGAATAAGGATCAGAGTTTGCATCAAAACCGCTTCAGAGAACTCGGGCTTTAAGGTGTATCCAAGACTAAAGCCACAATTAATTCGATATACGCGGAAAGTGTAGAACGACCTTCGTACCTCTTCGGTGAGCAAACGTTGTCGCTGAGATAACAGTATCCCCACAAGCCAAATCTGACGCCTCCAAACGCCAACGTCTCCAAGAAGTAGATAACCCGAATGAACGGGGTTGAAAACGTCACCAGAATTCTGGATCGCCGTCAAGAGGAATAACTGCGGTAGGAAACTTACAGTACGCACTGTAAAACGGTTGCTGCAAATAGAGCAAGGAACATAACCCAGGCATGATTGTACATTTCTTCCTTCTACCTTCCACAATTCCGCAAAAGAGCAGTGCTCAAACGCCGCGGTAAAATAAGCAGCAGAGGGTCGCGTTACAGGACGATAGTCCAAGCAGCATCTACTAGCAAACCACGCGCCGATTGCCACGATCTTAGCGGTGTCGTAGTCACTCTAGAGATTTCGGCCGCGTATGTCGTCCAGTAGGCCGTTGGTATCGGTGAAAATCCCGTCAAAGTCAACGCTAGGGCATGAGTAGGACCAAAAAGGCACAGCGACAGAGGGCGGAGCACAACGCCACCAGAGAGTTGGAATCTGCAGATTCGCGATATGAGCCATGCGCTGCACCGGGTATTGCCGGGCCGGTACGCGTAAACAACGCGTACACAACGCGTCGGCGCCGCACGACTACCGAGAGTCAAATGCCTTCGTAGCTACAACCCCACTACATATCGCAGTGCCCGCTAATACTCGAAAGAATAAAATAAATGAGAAAAAAATGAAGATCCATCGCATCGTAATGCCTGCTATACAACCCAAATACCCTTGGCCCCGACATGGATCACCACGCAATACCAGGAACTGGAACGGTCGGAGTGCTGGAGGGGCGCAGCCTCGTCGACGCCTTTGCAAAGAAGTCCGCCCAATCGCGATTGCCCGCACAGCGCTTCGCAGCTCGGTCTCGCTCCTCCGACGAAGGGAAGGCGGCATGCACGACGAACAGACGGTCGGACATATCGCCCAGCTGCAAGAGGCGGACTGTGTTCCTGCCGGCGTGCAAACAGGCTGTCAAGTCCAGCGGACCGTTCGTCGGACCCTGCAGAGGAATAATCAGCTGTAGTGACAAAGATATCACCTAGTACGACTGACCATGTCTTCTGAAAACCAGACGTGCGCTCCCCGTGGATGACTCTCATTCATCTCCACGATGAGGGTGCCTGGTTGGGGCCACGCGGTGGGGATGTCCCACAACATCTGTGCAACATCTCTTGGAGACGCCGCGGGGTCCAGCTTCCGGTTGGCTGTGGCCACCACCTCGGCGGGGAGGCAGAGGAGATGCACCGAGATATGTGCGTCGTTGAGACTGGTGACATATGAGGTGAAATGAGTGTCGTACAACTTGAAAAGTACGAACCTGAATTCCTGATACCGACAGGCCCAGCGCTCAGCTGCACCAGCGACCTCCTCGTCGATATTGATATCAAATTCGAACATAGACGGTCCCTTCGTACCAACATTGACGGACCAGAGACCGGGCACAGAGTTTAAGTGGTGATGTGGAAGATCTTGCGGTCCTGCTGGTGGATTTTGCGATTCGGTCTGTGATGATTCCATCTGAATATCTGACGGAGGCGGTTCGTGGACAGCGGGCGGTGGCGGCTGCGATACAGGTTTCGCTGTTGACTGAGACTCTTCGCGCTCTGGCATGTCACCATCATTATCGTCGGATTTCGGTGGAGTATTGCGAGGCAAGTCAGGAAGTGAGGCAAATTGGGTTGGGACATCATCATTAACAGTATCCATGACTGCGGCAGTGTCGCCATTTTGAACTTGCACGTCTCGAACGCGTGCAGTGCCAAGGGTAGGGGCCATGGTCGTGAGGGAAGGGGGGGTCGGGGTAACACGAGAGGAAGCTGATTGTGACAGATCGGAGCTCACAGTTGAGACTTGCATACGCGCCAAATACTCTTCCACCGCACGCACAGAAGAATCGACGAGCATCGCCCTAGGAGCCTTCGGGATGCTGTCGCTGTCATGGATAAGCCCCAACCTGGATTGAGGGGCAGGCTCTCGAGTGGCACCCAGCGCGTGTGAGACGTCCGAGTGCGGCGTACTAACCCGCCGAAGCTTGGCACCGCGCTCGGGACCCTCCTTCCCCTGCACATCCACGTCTCTCGGCCTTTTTGTTCCCGTAGAGGGCCCCCCTCTCTCCGCCTCCTGTTCAAGCTGCTCCCGCCGCTGCATCTGTGCGCGCACCTCCTGCGCGAGCGCCATGAACTCTTTGCACCGCTCCTCCGTGAGCAGGTCCTCCGCACGCTGGGCAATAGCGTCGCCGTCCGCACCCAGATGAGACTCGCGCATCCACGCGTTCTGTATCAGCTGAGGGAGGAGCAGCCGGCGGCACTCTTCGATTACAGTGGATGGAGACGCATTAGACCGGGGGGAATGGGTGGGCCGAGGATCGGCGCGCTCCGAAACAGCAGAGGATGCCGTGGCGAGCGTAATATCACTTAAATCTAGCACGGACGCGAGCAGCCTGTCCACCGCAGCTTCGGACGCTGGTGAGGAGGTTCGCTCGGGCTGCTGCACGTCGTCGTTCATCTCACCTTCTTCCAAACAGGCTTCTGAGGGGGAAGGAGCCTGCAATTTGCATTATGTGCTGTTTACGTTCGCACAGTAAGAAAACGTACTTGTTCGATTGATGTATCTATCCCCAGGCGTGCCTTTAGGTCTTCCGGTCTGGTCTGCAGTCGAACTTGAAGGGACAGCGGCCGGCTTGACTGTCTATGCATTTGTGGGAAGCCACGCTCGATCAGCTGTCCTTCTTCTGTCACGGACGTGCTCCCCTCCCTTCCGGCATATCCCCCCGCACCAGTAGGAATGATCTCTCCCTCATCCAACTCCACAACATTGCGCGCTGGAGAAGAAGACAGGCGATCTACCAGACGCACGCCCTTGTTCGGACGGACCGGCGGCTCAGACTCGGAAACCAGTCGAGACAAGAGACTGGATTTTCTCGGAGACAGTCGACTGAGCAGAGAGCTGTTTACGCTGACCGCACTAGTACCATGAACGGCCGGCGGAGGCTCCGGAGAGTTCGAAGCAGTTGCACTCTGCTTCCGACCGCGAGGTGTGTATCTTGGCACAGCCATTTACAAGCAGCCGTTGGAATCTCTTGCTCGGACGAAAATGATACAGCTAGCAGTACATCCCATTGACACAGTAGCAAAACAAGGAGAGAAGACGAAGACGTGACTGTCGCCGGTACTGCCGCACTGGCGAGATCATGATGAGTTGATTAGATATCGACCTACTACAGTACTAAGTGCATACGCCGCCGGCAAAATCGTCAGGACAGTCCAACGTTCAGTGGATGCATTGGCATAGCAATGTACAGCAACGGCGACAACATAGGAAAGCTACGGTAGAGTAAAACATGCTAAGTAGTTGTAGGAGAGATTTCGTCGGGCCAGCGAAATCTAGGGAGTTCAAGAATATTGCGGAAACTGCGGAGATACGAATACCATTCTTCATCGCGATCCCGGCGCTGCTTGAGCTCCGCAAGCTGGTGTGCAGTGGGACTGTGCAGATGGAGTACGAAGACATAATCAGAGTAGTCGCCAAGCTGGTGAAGGCAAAGCGTGTTCTTTCCCGGCTTCGCCAATCCACTGAGATCAATGAGAAAGTCCGACCTGAGCTACAAGAGTAGATTCAACACCATTGTCATGAGAAGTATCACAGCTTGCAGACGTACCATAAATGGGGGCGACAGGGGTAGTGACTTTCGTGTCACTCCATTGTCCAGTTCGGCCCAAAGCCGACCGTCGCGTGGCCAAAGAGACGGCGTTGCTCCAACAACCATTTGTTCAAAATTCGGCACTGAGTCGCCTCCTATTGGAGCTAGATGCTCGGAGAATTGATAGCAAGTTAGAGACAAGCACTTGGTCGTCGAAACATCGCTGCAAAAGATGAGCCACACTAGACGTGTCGGGAAAATAGTACTCACTCTTTCGTCTGATAACGCCCCTTCCATCGGGAAAGTTCAGCAGCTTCTTCACCATCAATCTGAAATTCGAGATTGAGGTTTCGCGGTGATGACCCACGGGAACAGTTCAAAACGATTACGTTAGAAGTCGAGTCGAAGACAGGTGCCGCGTTCTCCGGAGAGTGGGAGGGTACTTCGTCCATCATCTTCGCGATTGCTGGCGGTATGGATATTGAGGATGATTCCTCCGGCTTGGCAGTGGGCCTTACTTCCCTTTTCTCCAAAGACATAGCTGAGTCCTGTCTTCCAGATGGCACAATAGCCTGAACATGCGCGTCCTCGCGAACGGCTTCCGCTGGCTCGACATCGCCATTTGATAAGGCAAGCTCATCCGGAATAGTAACTGTTTTGTGGTCGACGTCCATAGCAGTGGTGGCGATCGAATAGGATGTGGCGTCAGCGCTTAATTCGTTCCCACCAAGGGCGCTGGGTTCTGCAGCCACCGATCTTACTGGAGATATCGTCCTTGACTTCCGTCGCGGTCGCTCAACGTCAGAAGCACACGCGGAAGGTGACCGCGGTCGCTTTCTCCTAGCGAGTACACCTGCTTGTTTAGTCGTCTCTACATGCGCAGTCGCGACAGCGTCCCCAGGGACGTAGGGAGCTGGAGTGCCGTTGAGGCCCGCGTGGAGGATCGGCGTCGTCCCCTATCACTGCAATTAGGAAGGACAATAATAGTAAGAAACAGACATACCGGGACAGAGATGTACTCCATGCCCTCTGTGGGGATATCTCTGATGGTAGGTTCAGAGCTCCCAGCAACACCAGGCGATGCCTCCGCTTGTATCTTGGCGGTTGACGCCGCCTTCGACGATGTAGATTTGTCCGTCCCATTTCGAGAAATCACCTGTTCGTCAGATGGACTACTACCTTGTTCATCTGGCTGAGCGTCGGCGTGCGCGCCTTCCGCCGTGACATCCCTTGCATCGCCAGCGGCACCGTCCGTCGCTGCGATAGCGACAGTCTCTAGGGATCTCGCGACCGCAAATGGTTCGGCGGGTCGATGATACACATCAACACCCATGTGAGAAATATCGTCCGCGTCCGATTTGTGGTGGACCTGCGGAGAGTTATCCTCAGCTGCACCTACAACACCGTCAGGCTGGGTCTGGGACCCATCCACACTGGCCTTCTCATCCGACGAAGCAACACCTGCCGATGGTCCCAGAACCGCAGAAGTCATCGATTCTTCTCCAGCGGCTCCGGCAGTGCCTTGCGGCGTCTCCGCCGTGGGTTCTGGCACAGTGCTCGGTGCCACATCCATCTCCATAGACTGCTCGTTCCATTCAAGCGTAGCTTCAACATTAGGGTCCGAGCTTTTCACGGTAAGAGGGTTCTCCGTTACCTCGGCGTGCTTTACGGGTTGCTCGGAAACATGTCTTGACCGATCAACCGAAACGCTCTGCGAGATGTCCATTTCGGATTCAAGTAAGGCAGGGAGTTCCACTCGGCTCGAAGTGCCAACTCCTCCAAATGGCAGCAACAGCGTTGGCGCACGACGATGCGATTCAGTATCTGTAGTCGTTGGCTCGTTCCGTTCTGCATGACCAGGTGGTGGTAGCGTACCCAGAGGTTCCGAAGCACGCTGCTTCCCCTTCCGTTGCTTGTCTGGCAACCCATCAGCCGCTTGCACTTCAGCAGATGGACTGCCAGGGGCCACGGGTGATTTACTAGGGCTAGCACTCGCGCCTGGAGGACCGGTGTGCCCGACGGCGGTTACCGTGCCATTCGGGTTCTGCACGAGCACAGGGAGCGTCTTGAAGCCAGGAGGCCCTCTCCGTGGCTTCTTGCCCATCCTGAAGGCCCGCCGAGGGGAGACAGTTGCGGGGGCAGTCGAGGGTTGGAGGATTTCACGCGCAGGACTTGATTGTGTGGGTGTGGGACCGTCGCTCTCCGTGCTGGTGTTCATCATGGCAGTGGTCAAAGTCCCCACATTCGACACACCCGTGGCGGTTCCAGGAGATGTGACTGGAACCTCCGGACTCGCGGGCCAAGTGGGTGAAACCTGCACGTCGGATTTCACCTGCGGACCGCCTGAATCGACAGTCTCTGCAGATGCAGATTTCGTCTGTACAGCCTCCAAGGGCGAAGAAGCAGTGGCCACCGAAACCGTAGCTGTAGGAGTACTGCACCTTTCTGCCATGGTCACATCCCTGGGTTCATTGATGGCAGCCGCTCCACCTCGCTCGCTAGTTGGTGATGTTGTGGTGGCAGAAGCAGAGCGACCGGACTGCTTGGCTGGTTCCGTTACAGGCTCGGGTGTAGCTTTACCAACCTGCTCCCGACTCGATGAAGCGCAGCTCGAGTCCATCCGGTGCTCGTCGTATTCCTCCAAATCGGCCTGGAGGTAGTTGAGCGCGAACCGTTTCCTCAATTTCGGCTTGATTTTGAGGGTCGCGTTCACCGGAGTAGGAGTCAAAGTGCCATGCACAGATGCAAAAGCCGGAGGGACGTTCGCCGGTGCAGGGGAAGCATCGACAGGGACAGGAGAGACATTCGTCGGTACAGAAAAAATGTCCATCTGAACATTAGTCGGAGAGACGCGTACAGGAGTGGTCTTGTCTGCCGGTGCAGGCGTCAGGGAAGCATCCACGGGTATGACACTCGAGCTTGTACCCGTCGCGCATTAGATCTCGCTACGTAGGCAAACACTTGGTGCATCACCTACCCACTTGCAGTCCGGCTCCTTGAGACAAGCTCATCTGGGTTTAACCCGGCACACAGCAGAAGCGGCCGCAGGCGAGCTATGTCGACGACTCGCGTCAGAGCTCATCGGGATCTAAGGAAGTCATGCTCACCTTGTAGTTTCTCCTCCGAGAAGAACGCGTAGAACGGCGACATTGTGCGAACCATCTTCATGAACGGTGCAACATACAAGTCCGGTGCCTTCGACACGTGGTATGACATTAGGCCCTTTTCATTCTTTCGACGTACCGCTGAATACGCAGCCTGGACATATGCGTGAGCCATGAGCGTGCGTCTACTATCGCGATTCGCGCACCTCGAGAAGGTCCACAATCTACATCGTCTCTTAGGTATTGATCCAAAGCGCAGTATGATGGCACTCACAATTGGTCTCGCCTGCGGATAATACGCCTTGTCTTTGCTCAGCCACAGCGCAAGCTTCTCCGCTGTCGCCGTGTAGGCGCCAATCCCACCCTCGGCCAGGTTCTTGCGGAATATGGGGAAAAGCTTCTCGTTGTTCTTCTCGGCATTCTTCGCCATGATGATGGCTAAAGATGAGGAGACTGTCGGAGGAGAGATAACTCTCGGCTGCTGGGCCTGGGAGAATGCATGGTGACCTGCATTCCCGTGAACGTAATTTCCAGAGTCCATCACTTATGGGCGCCTGTGGGGCTCAATATTTCTGTCAATAACCCCCTTATGGAACAAATGATTATTTCGGTTTACCTTGCCGCGTGTGCGGCGATTTACTTCATTTCGCACTTTCACCGCGCGTCAAGACCACCACTGCACTCGGGTGCTGCTACACGAGCCAACTGTTCAACGAGCGTATTTGACGTTTCCTCACGTAGGCCATCGGAATGGGTGAGTGACTTACTTTTAACAATAGGTGTTCGAGCTCAAGTCATCACTGTCCAGGTATACCCAAGGTCACTTGCTTGTCATATTCCGTTCCAGAGGATTAACACTTCGTTCGGCAGTTCTTCAGATACATCTCGTGAGTCTACAGGCAATCGTGCTGCGTGGTACGGACTGAAAATAAATAACAGGGAGCGTTATCCGTTGACCTCCCAACTGATTCAAGAGAATCACATCCCTGAGTTTGGTAGGTGCACATTCTTGACTGATTGTCACCCTCACCTCGTTCATCCGTTTCCCAAGACAATCTTTACATCGATTTCAATGGGATCATTCACAACTGTGCGCTCCGTTTTGTTCTTACATGTGGCAACCCTCACGATACTTTCTGTCTAGGTTCACATCCTAACGACGGAGATGCTCACTTCCGTTTATCTGAGGAGCAGATATTTACGTCCATTTTTGCATACGTGGACCACCTGTTTAGCAAGATAAAACCGAAGAAGCTGTTCTTCATGGCTGTTGATGGTGTTGCTCCGCGTGCGAAGATGAACCAACAGCGGAGTCGAAGGTTCCGGACGGCGAAGGAGGCAAGGGAAGTGAAAGAGAAAGCCGAGAGCAAGGGGGAGAAGTTGCCGGATACAAAGGCGTTTGATAGCAATTGCATCACGCCAGGTATGTCCGTTCGCCGCTCGCATTCCGTCGTGCTCTCACCTTTCGTGTCAGGGACGGAGTTCATGGCGAAGGTATCGGAACAGCTTCGCTACTTCGTGAACAAGAAGATTTCAGAAGACTCCAATTGGCGGAACGTCACTGTTGTGTTGTCAGGCCACGACGTGCCGGGTGAAGGCGAGCACAAGATTATGGAGTACATTCGGTTGTCGAGGGCACAGCCTGACTATGATCCTAACGTGCGGCACTGCCTGTATGGACTCGATGCGGATCTTATCATGCTGGGCCTTCTGAGCCACGACCCTCATTTCTGTTTGTTGCGTGAAGAGGTCAAGTTCGGACCCCAAAGGGGTAAAGGGAAGCAGAGGTGTGTCAACTCAGTAGCTGTTCATTCCTCAACTCACAACTGCACTTACGCTGTTGAAGCCTCGAGTCCATTAATTTTTATTTGCTGCATCTTACGCTTATGCGTGAATACCTTGATCTGGAGTTCCACGACATCGAACCAGTATTGCCGTTTGATTACAGTCTAGAGCATGTCATTGACGACTTCATTCTGCTCGCTGTGTTCGTGGGCAACGATTTCTTACCAAATCTTCCTGATCTCCACATCCACGAGAACGGCTTGGAGAAGTTGTTCGACGTGTATAAGAAAGCGCTGCCTTCACTAGGTGGGATAGACCTTCGATGTGTTCGCGTCCTGCTAACGTATAGAGTTCAGATGGATACCTCAATGAGAGTGGCGTCATCAACACGAAAAGGTTGCAGGTAATATTAGACGAAATGGCAGAGTGGGAACGAGAAGTATTCGAGAAGGAGTACGCTGACTTGAATTGGTACAAGGGCAAGCAAGCGAAACATGTGAAGGAGATGGAGTTGGCGCGCAAGCGTGCAAAATTGGGTGCGTCCACCTTCAGCGGCTCGTGAGCGAAAGCTTATCCGCCTTTGTAGTTTTGACCAGGCCGCAACGCGAGATCTTCGACAAGGTCAAGGGTTTCGTGTTGGAGCACAGAAGCCCGGCCTCCCCTGCGCATGCGCGGAAGTCGCGTCTTGTGATGCCGAACATATTTGCCGCTCGAGAGCGTCAGTTCATCAGCACCCTCGCACAGGATTTGCACCTCTCTTTGACGTGGGATGAATACGACGAGGAGGACCAGAATTTGGTAACATGGCGATTCCCCGGTGAGTTGGAAGAGCCCCTTCCTGAAGGACAGAACGGGTCTAGCGGTGAGGGGACCCCAGAGACCGAAGACGACAACGATGAGTGGGAAGACGAGGACGACGAGGAGAGCCGGGCTGCCGTTGACCGAGTACTGAACAAGTACGAGAAGGCGAAAGTGATGAAAGACGACAAGGAGGGTGACTTCGACGCGCGTTATGAGATGTCGATAAAAGACAAGATGGATGAGTGGAAGAGGGGCTATTACAAGGTTTGCCCCTCCACTCCTCAAGTGAAGCAAATTCGCTGACACTGCCCGAAGAGTAAACTGGAGATATCCTACGACAACCCGCAGGAGATGCACGACCTTGGGTACCGTTACGTAGAAGGCATGCAGTGGGTGATGCATTACTACTACAGCGGCGTGGCATCGTGGAGTTGGTTCTACAACTACCATTACGCTCCCCGCATATCAGGTCCGTCATTATATAGAAGAGATAAGGGCTACCTTACTGACATTCGAGAAAGACCTGCGAGGTGTGGATCAGATGACATTCTCTTTTGATCTGGGGAGACCGTTCCGACCGTTCGAACAGCTGATGGGTGTCTTGCCCGCAGCCAGCAAAGATATTATTCCCCCAGCGTACAGGGTCAGTAATTGTTGTTGGACGCTTAGCTGCTGTCATGGCTTACGGTGGATGGCATCTAGGATCTCATGGATGACCCAAATTCGCCGATCCTCGACTTCTACCCGGCAGAATTTGAACAAGATCTGAATGGCAAGAAGCAAGATTGGGAAGCCATCGTGAAGATTCCCTTCATCGACGAGAGACGACTGCTGAATGCAATGGCTTGTAAGTAAAAGTGTTTCATCCAACCTCCGTCACCATGTGCTCAACTTTCGCCATATCTCTAGCACGAGAACATCGTCTCACGGTAGAGGAAAGGCGACGCAACGGGATTGGAACAAGCACGAAGTTCACGTACAACCCTGGAGAACCCATGGTGTACCCATCATCGTTGCCCGGATTTTTACCTACTCTTCAACGCTGCACATGCCTAATGGAACCGTTCGACCTACCTACACTGGATGGGCTCCACCTCGTCGAAGGGCTCTGCGACGGCGTGGTCCTCGGAGCAGAGGCACTAGCAGGCTTCCCATCAGTGGAGACCCTCCCGCATACGGCCGCGCTCGGCTACCACGGCGTAAACGTGCACGGGTCCGAGAGCCGCAACAAGTCGATGGTGATTCACGTCGAGAACGTGCACGAGCACCGCAAGGCGGAGGACATCGCGCGGGAGATGATCGGTCAGCGGACGTTCGTAAGCTGGCCATTCCTCCAGGAAGGCATGGTCTGCGCCGTGTCTGACTCGCTATTCAAATACGAAAAGGCGGCGATAATCCCTGGCCGCCCACCAAAGGTCATCTCCAACCCGCACTCGCCGCAGGGTGTCTCGTTGTGGAAGAGCAGAGCAGATAGGATCGAGCAGTTTTATTCCAAGAGGTGCGGCGTGATTACAGGCCATATTGAAGTGCTGGTCCACGTCAGGCCGCTCAAGGGTAAGGACACACACTCTGGGTGCTGTTGCGTCCTGACGCATCTGTGCTGTAGGACTCAAGCGCCTGGATGATGGTTCGTTCGTGAAAGACTACGAAGGCCCAGACAAGGAGACCGAGCAGGCAGTGCAGATGACCGTGTCCGAAGTCGTCTCGGAAGATCCTCGATATGTAGAGAAAGATGCCCCTCCGTTGTCGGAAGACTTCCCCGAGGGCAGCAAAGTCTTCTTCCTTGGGGAGCATGCCTATGGCGTGGCAGCACAGGTCTCCGGGACGACCGCAGATGCACTCTCTGTCGTTCTAGCTGTGAGTGTCTCTGTCATCGCTTAGGATGGTAGCACTGACGCTTTAGGCGGTAGTTTTTTCCATCTGAAAAGGCGGAGAACGACCAATTTAAGAGCATTGTGTACAACCGTCTGTCGAACAGGTACTATCCGTCCTTCAAGGTCGCGGATATGGTCGGTCTCTCGGGGAGGGCGATATCGAAGATCACGTCCAGCTTCATGGTCCTCACCACCGACAACCAGAAGTGCAATCTCGGGCTCAGCTTGAAGTTCGAAGCCAAGGGGTTGAAGGTGATCGACTACTCGCGCAAAGATGGCAGGTACTGGGAGTTCAGCGAGAAGGCGGTGAACTTGATCCAGGAGTACAAGGCCAGTTGTTTGTCGTATTTGCTGCTATTGATCATGTGTTGATTGTTCTCTTCATCAGGAGAAGTACCCGGAGGTGATGCGCACATTGGACCGGGGGGGTGACGGTAAGGCGGTCCCTGTGACTGCTCACATTGTGTCTGATATATATTCCCAGCGATGGCCAAGGCGAGCGACGTGTTCCCCGGTCCCAATGCGGATGCAAAATTGAAGGAAGTGCGGAGTTGGCTCTACACAAAGGGCATCCGCGACTTCGAGCCCGTCTCGCTCTTCTGCGATCAACTGAAGAAGGCATGTGCATATCATAGCATCCCCTCAATGGGTTATACTGATAATCCCATATAGGACACGGTCAAGGAGATAGAAGGGCTTGCCGATCACTTCGCCGCCAACAAGTCTGCGTCTGCTATCAAGAAAGTCATCGTGAAAGGCATCCCACGGCAAGCTGTCCTCAAGCCCTCACATGCAGTCTATCGGCTGCAAAATCAGCATTTCGCACTGGGTGACCGGGTCACCATGATTCAGGATTCTGGAGCGGTACCTCTGTCCATCAAAGGCGTGGTGATCGGGATGAATGCGAAGTCCATGGATGTCGTTTGGGATACAGCGTTCATGGCAGGAACGACTCTGGCAGACCGGTATGCCTGCATATGTAGTCGAGCTGACTGACGACTCACCATATGGTGTCAGGTGCTCTGTGTACCGAGGGTCGACGGTCGAATTCACGTCCTGTCTGAACTTGACTAATCCTCAGTTCGTTGCTTCGACTAATCCCAAGTCGCCGACACAGCAGAAGCCTAACACGCCGTTCAAGCCACGGTTCGGTCCTCATCCCACTATTCAGCCACCACCTGGTCAACAGGCAGCTTCTGGATTCAGACCGGCGAAGTACGTACAAAATGGACTCAGATCGTAAGAGATTTTGAGTGCTGACATTCAGTCCAGTGGCGGTCCGATGCAAATCATGACGAACCCAAACCGAGGCAGAGGTGGATTCGCCAATGGACGCGGTGGCCCGCCTGTCAGCAACCCCGTGGTTCAGCTTCCCGCTCCGAATGGGTATGCCTCGCAAGCTGCACCGCAGCAAGCCAATGGCTTCCAGACCAACGGCACACGAGGGAAGCCTCTGGTGCCCCGCGGTGGTTCTCCGAGAGGTGGTCCGCATGGCCCTCCTGGTCCTCCCAGAGGAGGCTTCTTTCCGAACGTTCGCGGACGAGGAGGGTTTGCACCCAACTTTGACCGGGGACGAGGACTTCCTGCGAGAGGGTCTCGTGGGCGAGGGCGAGGCAGTTTCGCGCCTCCTCTACCGTCATGATCAACGGTTTCTCCTCTTGCTCATCTGAGGGTCTGGGGAACATTGTAGCAAGTATTGTAGACTAATTATCGTGTAGTTAGGTAATTGTAAGGATGCACCGCTATCGTATTGCATTGGCTTTCCTAGGCCTACTCACCCGACAGAGACGCGGTCGCGTGAACGCGTCGACGGCGCTTATTCGAATAAAAAATTCGATCGTATACGTCCACTATATCCAGACACCTTTCACCTTTCTTTGCCGTTAGTACCCGAGATTGGAAAAAGACAAGAGGTTGTGAGTACATACCGTTCAGGAGAATTTTGAACTGCTAAGGCCTGTACCAGGACATGGCGGAAACCCACGATCAATTCGACACCATTCTCATTCTCGACTTTGGCTCACAGGTTGGATCCAGCTCGATGCTCATAGATTGATACTGACAACGGTCTGCAGTACAGTCATTTGATCACACGAAGATGTCGAGAGCTCAACGTCTACGCAGAGCTCATGCCATGTACACAAAAGATTAAGGACCTCAAATTCAAGCCTAAAGGCCAGTGCAGTCCTTCCAGTCCGACCTGTGCTCATCCGGCGTGTTTATACTGCAGGCATTATTCTTTCCGGGTCTCCCTACTCTGTGTACGATAAAGATGCACCCCATGCCGATCCCAGTATCTATGTCTTGGGCTTACCGATCCTGGGTATATGCTATGGTCTCCAAGTGGGTCATATTCGTTCCGCTTTCATTCATACCAGGGCCATGTCTCAAGCTGCTGTCAAGTAGGAGATGGCATGGAACATGGACGGAAAGGTCTCCAAGTGTGACCATCGCGAATACGGCTTTGCTCAAGTGCAAATTGTCAAATCTGGAGATAGCGCCACGGACGCTCTATTCGAGGGTCTGGGGGACGAGATGCAGGTATGTTATGCAGTTACTTGTCTTTGCGCATGCGGTGGGTTCGATGGGTGTGGCAGGTGTGGATGTCGCATGGGGACCAGCTCTCACAGATGCCCCCCAATTTCCATGTGATCGGTCGCACTGATAGCGCCCCATACGCTGCCATCACACACAACTCGAAACCATTCTACGGCATCCAATTCCACCCAGAGGTAACACACTCGCCAAAGGGGAAGGAAGTGATCGCCCGGTTTGTCCTCAACATTTGCGGATGCAAGACTCACTGGACTATGGTGCAGTACTCCCTCCTCTCGTGTTCTGAGTAGTACGGCCTAACGACATGTGCAGGAGGAGTTCATCGAGAAGGAGATTGAGCGCATCCGGAAGATATGTGGTCCCAAAGGGCGTGTCATTGGAGCCGTCAGCGGTGGTGTGGACAGCACAGTCGCTGCAAAACTGATGCACGAGGCCATTGGGGATAGGTGAGTGCTCCCTTCTGCTATCCCCTGCTGTGCTCCCTTCTGTTATCCCCTACTGTGCTCATGACCGCGTCACCCCGGAGATTCCACGCCATCATGGTCGACAACGGCGTCCTGCGTCTCAACGAGGCGCAGCAAGTCCACGACATGCTGAACAAAGCGCTCGGAGTGAATCTGACCGTCGTCGACGCATCTGACCTCTTCCTCTCCCGCCTCACGGGCGTGGAGGAACCCGAGCAGAAGCGGCAGATCATCGGGAACACGTTTATCAACGTATTCGAGGAGGAGGCGGCAAAGATAGAGGCGGCCGCAGAGAAGGAGGAGGCGCAAGGCGGCGCAGTGAAGGGCAAGATCGAGTGGCTGCTGCAGGGCACGCTTTATCCCGACGTCATCGAGAGCATCAGTTTCAAGGGCCCGAGCGCGACCATTAAGACGCACCATAATGTCGGCGGGCTGCTAAAAGATATGAAACTCAAACTAATCGAACCCCTTCGGGAGCTGTTCAAAGGTAGTCGCGCCGTTCTACCCCCATGCAGCGTGTTCACAGAGGTTGCCATCTGCTAGACGAGGTGCGCGCACTGGGCCGTCTGCTGTCTATACCGGACCACCTCGTTCAGCGCCATCCGTTCCCCGGTCCTGGCTTGGCGATTCGTATCCTCGGCCCTGTCACGCGCGAACAGGTCAAGATTCTCCAACACGCGGATAGCATTTACATCGAGGAAATCCGCAAAGCTGGGCTGTATAACGAAATCAGCCAGGCGTTTGCTGTCCTCCTCCCGGTCAAGGCTGTCGGCGTCATGGGCGATCAGCGCACGTACGAGCAGGTTTGTAGAATGTCCTTAGCCCGGTTTTTAGAATAATTGCTGACTGGTGCCCGAATGAAGGTGATCGCGCTCCGTGCTGTTCAGTCGGAGGATTTCATGACTGCAGATTGGTATGTCTTATGTACGTTGGCTGTGAGTAGAATGCTCACGGTTTTTGCACATAGGTATGTCTTCCCAGCCGAAGTTCTCCGCAGGATCTCCTCTCGCATCACGAATGAGGTCGCGGGCATCAATCGCGTGACATACGATATCTCGTCCAAACCACCAAGTGTGAGTTCACCCCTCGCATGAATTGCGGCAGATCTCCACTGACGACACTCACAGACTGTTGAGTGGTTATGAAATCCCAATAGGGTCGGGCGTGGGCACCGGGGCTGCCAGTCAGCAGTGCAGCGTAGAAGAAAACCTGCGTGTAGAAAAATGATACATTTGCCTAGTTGTATGTCGCGCTCTCAGATAATCTACAGCTGCCTTCCAGTTCCAAAAATGTTCCTCGCATTCTATTTGAAGCCTCAGCATCACAGCTCCTTCCAGTTGAACGCGTCGCTCCATGCGAGCGCAGCCTTGTAGAGTGTCAACTCGTCCCAGTACTTGCCGACGAGCTGCATCCCGACGGGCAGGCGCAGTGTCTCGGGACCTTCTAGCGGGGAGATCATCCCGCACGGGATCGAAAGTGCAGGGTGGCCTGTGTTGTTGAACGGCTGGGTGTTGAACGTCTGAAACGACGCCGCGGCGAGGCATTTGGTCAGACGTTGGCGTTGGAGTACGGTAAAGTACTCACCAACCCGTTGTAGTCGCCAAAGTGCTCGAGCAGAGACGCGTCGCGCGGCTGGAGGACGGGATAAGTTCAACGGAGAAGGGAGGGAAGGTGGGTCAGTTTACTAGCATCACTTTCGCTACCCATGGCGTGGTGGGCATCACAAGAATGTCGACCTTCGCCAGCGCAGCATCGTATTCCAGTCTCAGCTTGCGGAAGAGGTTGTGTGTCTTCCCGTGCAACTGAGGGCCGTGCTCAGACACCCGCCAATGAGCAGCGGACATTGCTAGAACTGACCTGCGGGAAGTGTTCGTCGGCATACAATCCGTTTAGAAGGATATTTGCCGAAACAGGGAACAGCTGTGAATTTGAAAGAGTATCGGTGAAAGGGGCCCATAATCCAGGGTAATTGACAGACTTGCCTTGTTGAATTTCTCCTGAGACCAAGGCAGGAGTTTCTCGATGAAGTCAGTCAGGTACAGCTGTCTCGTCCCGCTCGCGCGCCCAAGCAGATTGTTAGACTGAGAGAATCTTCACCGACGCGATTCAGAACGCGGAGCATCACAACGCTAAGAAACGCTACACGCGCACCTCTGCACACGCCCAATCAAGGGAGCCTTGAGGTGCCCGGGCACGCTGACCTCGACGACCTCCGCGCCGAGCTCCCCAAACTTCTTCGCAGCGGACTCCACACACGCCAACAGGCGCGGGTCCATCGTCTGTATGAGCCCGCCCTCCCTCAATATCCCCACCCGCATCTTACGCGTTGCGCCGGGTTCCGCGATCCCTGCAGCCGTGGGTGCGCTGACGTCGAGCAGTGCGTGCGCACCGCGCGCCGCGGTGAGGAGCGCGGGGTAGTCAGGTACGTGCGCACAGGAGGGCGTGCCGGCGATCTGGCGATCGTCGATGCCATCGACGCCTGCGAGCGCGCGGAGGAGAAGCGCGTTGTCGAGGACGTCGCGCGACATCGGGCCCGTGTGGTCGAGGGAGACCTCGTTGGAGGCGATGCCCGTGTACGGCACGAGCCCGAAGGTCGGCTTTAGGCCCACAATGCCGACGTGTGCGGCGGGCTACGTGAAGAGAGTTCAGCGGGTGACGGAGGAAGAGGAAGAGGGGGAGGGCGTACGAGACGGATCGACCCGCCTTGGTCGCCGCCGATGGCAAGATCGGCTTCGCCGATAGCGAGGAGGACACCGCAGCCAGAACTGGATCCGGCTGACGAGCGCGTCTTGTCGTATGGGTTGCCGACTGGGCCGTGTCTGGAGGAATTGGAGATGGCATATGCGCAGACTAGAGTACATTCGTGAATTGCGAGTGCGTGAGCGATGAATGGCAAACGCACAATTCTCACAGGTTGCCTTTCCTGTGATCTGATGATGTGGTGAAAATCAATCCTAGGTGCAATTAGCGGTTAGGGAAGCGCACGATTCCTCCGGCCTCTAGGACGCGAGTGACTACTATTGCATCCGTAGTCGGAACCCAGTCAGTAAAGACGTCCGTGCCAAAGTAACATGGCACCCCTGCGAGACAGATGTTGTCCTATCGGGAATCTGATCAAGGGTTCATTCATCGCCGCTCCATACTGTCTGTATTTACCTTCAGTACAACACGCTTGCCTGAAAGAATACCGGCTGCAGCCTCGTCTTGGTTGTTGTTCTGCACGGTTACCTTCGTAGCCCACGCATTGTACGAGTTATCCTCCGGCGATGGCGCATGCATATCAATTCGAGGATACTTCGTTGTATCTGGCACGGGCATGAAGTCTAACAACACGGAAGTGTAACAGTGCTCAGATCGACATGCAAAAGACATAGCACACCGTCCATCTCTATAACCTGCTCCATGGCCTCCCGCGCACTGGCTAACATAGTAACAAACGCCGCCTCCTGGTCCTCGGGAACCTTGACCCCGATCTTCGCAGCTGTCTGCTGTAGGACATTCCTGTTAATCGGGGACTGGTCGACGTTCACGGTAGTCATCTCTGGGCACGTCTCTGGCAGGACGAAGGGCGATAGTCGCAGTGAGCTGGGGAACTGCGTTACGAAGCGAACAGAGGAAGGGCTGGGGAGCTGAAGGCACTCCGTATTTTTGGAGGAGAGATAACAGGAAGAAGCTGGTGGTCTGACATCTTATCGTGGGTTTCCCGGTCTTCCGCAGTGGGAGGAGCATATCATAGCAGCAGATAGCGTGCTGGGGTGAATAAAAAGGCTCCAGCGTTTGAGGTCCAGCGTGCCGTAATGCGTGTGCTTGGGATGCGCACACCGATGTAGACATGCAGCTGGGTAATTCCCAGTACCACAGCGATAGCTGCCCATATACCGACTGAAATCAGCAAAGATTCAATTAGGTCAGACATAGATCAACACTTGACGGTCGACGTCTACTTTAAATAATTTATGAGGTCCTGCGGGCGAAGCAGTACAGTTGAGAGCCACAGATCCAGGTAGGTAGAAACAAAGTGACGAGCGTCTGTTTCCTGCGTACATGTTTCCTCTTCGACGCAGTGTCGCTCAGGTTGCCGTCTTCAACCCAAAGGCCTACGCCTCAACCTTTGTCACACGAAATCCTCTCCCAGCAACTTTCCTGCGCGGCGGGACCTCCAAGGGCATATATCTCAACCGTGCTGATCTGCCAGAGGATCGGACTCAATGGGACCGCATTTTCTTGGGCATCATGGGCTCTCCTGACGCAGAGTACGGTCGCCAGCTGAATGGCATGGGTGGTGGCGTCTCCAGCCTGTCCAAGATCTGCGTTGTCGGGGCTCCCTCGGATGAGCAGAGGGCTCAGGGATTTGACGTAGAGTACACCTTCGTCCAGGTCGGCATACGCGACAGCGCGCTAGACTACTCCGGGAACTGCGGGAATCTCTCTAGCATGATCGGCGTCTTCGCCATCGACGAGGGTCTCTACCACCCTGCTGGTGCACATGCAGGGCCGACCGTGACGGTCCGCTCGTTCAACACAAACACGCGGAAGCGCATTGACACTACGTTCCCCGTGGCTGTTGCAGAGGATAGGAATTGCGTCCCCGTCCTGGATCTCGAACAGGTTTACATGGCGGGCGTGCCCGGGAAGGCATCCCAGATTACCTTGGACTTCATGTCTCCGGGCGGTGCGCGGACAGGGCATCTCCTGCCTTCGGGTGCGCCCATCGACACGTTCAGTGTTCGGGGAGAAAACAAGGACTTCGTGCCCATCGACATCTCCCTAGTGGACGCGACGAACCCCACTGTGTTTGTCCCAGAGGACAGCATAGCCAAGCTCTTCCCCTCTCTCCTGCTTCCGAATCTCGCAGACGCAGATTTCAACGCTGACTTGAAGCACACGATAGAGGAGATCCGGATGCGCGGGGCAGTGCGCATGGGACTCGACCCCACCGCGCAGGCGCAGCCGAAGATCTGCTTGCTGTCGCCGCCCGCGTACGACGACGTCGATGCCGCCGACATCGTCGTGCGCGCGTTCTCCATGGGCGTCCTCCACAAGGCTATCCCCATGACAGTCGGGCTCTGCCTCGGCGTCGCGGCGGGCGTCCGGAACACGTTGCCGTGGCAGATTGTCACCCAGGCCCGGAAGGCGCGCGGTGTGGATGATCCTGTAGGAGAGCTGGTCAGGATCAGGCATCCGGGGGGCATCGTGGATGTGGGCGCATCGTTTGGCGCAGACGGGCAAGTGCTGAGTGCGAAGGTGGTGAGGACTGGCCGGAGGCTGATGAAAGGCGTCGTGTGGTGGTGATTGTGCACCGCCGGAGTGAGGAATTTGGCCTCTTCCCTCCTTCCTGGGCAACGCACGCACGGTTTCGCAAGCGCGTCTACCACACCCCAATGATCTGGACATTTTCCTGCTCATTTTTTGGCTGCTGCCATGTCCAGGGATGCGACTCGTAAGTGTGTCGGGGTCTCATAATATCTGGGTGCCGATATGTGCACTAGGTACTATGCTACTTAGCGCAACACTTGCAGGTGTAACTGACGTTAATATACCAACAAAAAATCGGGAAGTCTGCCATTTCACGAACTCCTCTCTGGTTCGGACCGGCAGCTCATCGTATCCCACAATGTCGCGAGCATGTGGCACTGTCTCTCCTGATAGCCTTTCGTACTTCTTCAAGGCGGACTGCCCGCTCTCCATTCATATTGCTGCTGTAACTCTTGGCGAGTGCTTCTGCACTACTAGTAAAGTTAACTCCACCAGAAAAGAGTTCCGTTCGATCTGTAATAATATGGAGTGAAAAACTGAGGGAGTCAATCCCCGGAGGATAGTGATTGGCTCATTCCAAGTTGATCTTACTGTAGTATTTTTTGATGATAGGCTTCTGTGCCATTGATGAGATAGCCTTCAATCTTCCGAGGCGCTGACGTGTGCGCGGCCAATATTTTTTGCTTACCAAGAGCGGAATCGCGCGCTAAGAGGAATACGTCTGTTGCTGTCTCTTGACTGGACTCAGACTGCGACCACCGCTACCTCCACAGCACCTGCAGGTCGACGGGCCTAGGGACTGCCACAATCTTGGGATAGGTCAGGATTGTCGTGACGCCAGGCAAGTTCGTCATATTCTGATCGATCTTATGCCTTACATATGAGTTCTGATAGGTTCTCTAACGGTTTCTGTAATCGTATTGTATGAATTTCCTCGGAAGCCTCAGAGCGACAACGTTACCGTCTTCATTATCATGTAGTCGACGACTACTGTCCTATCCCGAGCCTGGTCCCTCGAGACTCGTCCTACAGCTGGCCTCTGGCAAGAGTGCACGACCTCGCGTGCCCCCACGACGTTCGTTTTATTCATCTACCGTGACCGATTGTGCCTCTACGCAACCTCTCCGGTATCCTAGATGGATCAACGGCAAGCTGAACGGGGCGCGAGATCATAGCCCTGCCCCTACACACTCGGAGCAGTCGCAGACTGTCCAGCTCGATGGTTCACAGGACGAGCAGGCCCCGGTGGACTCTGCGCCGCCTGCTTCCTCATCTTCCTCGGGATCATCATCATCTTCGGGAGATAACCCAGATGACTCGGACCCGCCGCCCTCGACTCCGCCAGAGTCGCCGTCACAGCCGCAGACGTCCATCTCGAAGCAGTCTGTGCCTGAAGTATACCCTCAGGTCCTTGCGCTCCCCATAGCCCGCCGTCCACTCTTTCCTGGTTTCTACAAGGCTGTCGTCGTGCGCAACCCCGCGGTCGTCGCCGCCATCAAGGAGATGATGCGCCGTGGGCAGCCGTACCTCGGCGCGTTCCTCCTCAAGGACGAGCACACGGATAGCGACGTCATTACGGACATTTCGTCGGTTCACCCGGTCGGCGTGTTCGCGCAGATCACGAGTGTGTTTACCGCGAGCGGAACCAGGGAGGACGATAAGGAGGAAGGCCTTACCGCGGTGCTGTACCCCCATCGGAGGATTCGGATAACGGAACTTGTGAAAGCTGGAGGCGCGAAGGTCGAGCCCACAGAGGAGTCGTTACCGACGCCTCCTCCCGAACCAATCGCTCCGGGTACGTGGCCAATCTACGCGTGGCAGACGACCGGCTGATCTTTCCTCAGCACCGATACAGACCTCGTTCCTGCAGAATTACAACATCTCCGTTGTCAATGTTGAGAACCTCGTAACACAGCCCTACAACAAGGACGACCAGTACATCCGCGCGTTCATGTCCGAGATCGTGTCTGTGTTCAAGGACATTGCACAGCTCAACCCGCTCTTCCGCGATCAGATTACCAACTTCTCGATAAACCAAGTCGCCTCGAATGTATTCGATGAGCCGGACAAGCTTGCGGATTTCGCCGCGGCCGTCTCGACGGGCGATGTGAATGAGTTGCAGGATGTTCTTGAGAGCCTCGTCGTCGCAGACCGGCTGCAGAAGGCGCTGCTCGTCCTGAAGAAGGAACTGATCAACGCTCAGCTACAAAGCAAGCTCGCGCGTGACGTGGACAGCAAGATCGCTAAGCGCCAGCGCGAGTACTACCTCATGGAGCAGCTCAAAGGCATCAAGAAGGAGCTGGGTATGGAGTCTGACGGTAAGGACAAGCTGATCGAGAAGTTCAAGGAGCGTGCTGCGACCCTGAAGATGCCCGAGCTCGTCCGCAAGGTGTTCGATGAGGAGCTCAGCAAGTTGATGGGGTTGGAGCCCTCTGCGTCTGAGGCAAATGTCACTCGGAATTACCTGGAGTGGCTTACGCAGGCGTGTCTCTTCAAAATAAGTTGTTTGTTTGATTCTCACATCAGTGTTATCCTTAGATTCCTTGGGGTCAGCATTCTGAAGAGAACTACTCTATCACGCACGCACAGAAAGTCCTGGACGAAGATCATTATGGCATGAAGGACGTCAAGGACCGCATCCTGGAGTTCCTCGCGGTCGGCAAGCTCAGAGGAACGGTCGAGGGCAAGATCATCTGTCTTGCGGGCCCGCCCGGTGTCGGTAAAACCTCTGTCGGTAAATCTATTGCTCGCGCACTCAACCGCCAATTCTTCCGCTTCTCTGTGGGTGGCTTGACCGACGTTGCGGAGATCAAAGGTCACAGGCGTACTTATGTTGGGTGAGTCGTTTCTCCACTCATCCGTGCGGCTTGATGTTGACCATGATATACAACAGTGCGTTGCCAGGTAAGATTATACAGGCACTCAAGAGAGTCGGCACGGAGAACCCATTAGTGCTCATCGACGAGATCGACAAGATTGGACGTGGTATCAATGGAGATCCCGCAAGCGCATTACTGGAAATGCTTGATCCCGAGCAGAATTCCGCGTTCTTGGATCACTAGTACGTCGCATGAATTGACACTGCCTCTGCAACCTTCTGACGCTTATCGCAGTATGGATGTCCCGGTTGACTTGTCACGTGTTCTATTCGTCTGCACCGGTGCGTATTTGTCCATGTCGGGCGATAGATCTGGCTTTCTGACTTGTTCAAAAATCCAGCCAATGTCCTCGACACGATTCCTGCCCCCTTGCTGGACCGTATGGAGGTCCTGGAGCTTAGCGGATACGTTTCAGAGGAAAAGTCCGTCATCGCGGATAAGTACCTGGGTCCCCAGGCGAAGGAAGCTTCCGGTCTCAAGGACGCGGACGTCATGATCGATCCTGCGACCGTCGACATGCTCATCAAGTACTACTGCCGTGAGAGTGGTGTGCGGAGCCTGAAGAAGTTCATTGAGAAGGTACGGTTGCAATCCTACCGTCACCCATGTAATTGTAGTGTTCCTAACGTGGAATTCGTCAGATCTACCGCAAGGCTGCGTTAAAACTCGTCCAAGACTTGGGTGAAGAAGTGTTCCCAGAGTCGGTCGCCACTAGCGCCATGGACCACGATATCGAGGCAAAGACTGTTGAGAAGCAGGATGCACCTCAAAATGAGCCGGCCGCATCGGAAACAACCGTGCTCCTGACAGACGAGGATCAAAGTGCGGAACGCAAGGTCACCACAGTGGTGCGCAAGCCGCTGAAGGTCCCCGACTCCGTGCACGTTCGCATCACTCCAGAGAACCTCAAGGATTATGTGGGACCCCCGATATACCACAAGGACAGGATGTACGTCAAGCCTCCACCACCCGGCGTGAGCACCGGCCTTGGCTACTTGGGCAATGGTTCCGGCGCAGTGATGCCTATCGAGGCTATGGTAAGTAAAAAGGCTCACTGCGCCGTCGCGGAGGGACTGATGTTTGCCTCGAATAGACTATGCCAGGAAAGGGACAGTTGCAGCTGACCGGAAAGCTTGGCGAAGTGATTAGAGAAAGCGCCCAGATCGCGATGAGCTGGGTAAAAAGCCACGCATATGAGCTGGGTATTACGGCGTCTCCCGATGAGCAGTTCCTAGTCGAGCGAGATATCCATGTCCATATGCCTGAAGGTAGCATCGGCAAGGAAGGTCCCAGCGCAGGCACTGCCATCCTGTCGGCGTTCGTGTCTCTGTTCACAAAGACAAAGATCAATCCTGATATTGGCGAGTAGCTCGCGCTATAATCGTAGTGCAAGGATTGCTGACACGAATTATTAGCTATGACGGGGGAGATCTCCCTTGTCGGACAGGTGCTGCCAGTGGGCGGGCTGAAGGAGAAAATCCTTGCGGCGCATCGCGCGGGCATCAAGACCATTATCGCGCCCGAGGCAAACCGGCCAGACATCGAGGAGAACGTTCCCGAGAGCGTGAAGACGGGCATTCGGTTCGTGTACGTTGAGGACGTGCGCGAGGTGCTGCAGGAGGTGTTCCGCGGAGAGCCCATCGCGGAGCGGTGGAAGGATACGCTATCGCTGTCATGATCTGGTATATTCCTACGCATAATTTGCTGTGTCGATAATCGTTATATCTTTGCCATATAGAGCACCGTGACGTCCCTTCTATCCAACACTACTACAGTACTCTGTATTTTAACATCCCACAATCCAGCTCAGAGCATGTGTATCAACACCATGGACACGTTCTCATGAAGGATTCCATTAATGATGCTGAAACCAGCCCCCCTTCGCTACCTGCAAGAGGGGGATCTAGACTGCAATACGCAATATGTTGGAATTTGTTCCCCCGCTTCATGCATGCTAGCTCGTCACCGTTGCTCGCGACTTCGCGTATACCGTCCATCCATTCTGGGCACACATGTATATCGACGCGTCCAAATTTGAGACCTACTTAGTTTGTTGGGGGCTTCGTGAGTCGTTGGGTTTCGTCACTACGCTGGCGACGGGCCGTGCGGACCGTATAGGTATTACTTGTCGCCTCCAACTTCTCTTGAACTCTCAACTCCAAGAGGTGTTGGCGAACAACGCCACACCTCTGTGACACTGACCACATATTTTCGACCATTCGAATCTCCATGTGGCGGCATGCATTGGTGCAGCGGCATTTCCAAGATTCTGCTGAATTCGGGCCTCGGGCTGTGCGACATGCATCTGTCATGCGGTAACGCTCCAACAACACCCGTGAGTACAATCACTCGGTATCTAATACTATGTATTCAGGCACTCACCCATATTCTCAAGGTGGTCTTGCTTCCAGCAGATCATCGTGCTCCTTCCGCAATTCTGGCGACGTGTCCATATCTACTCACCCCCTGGAGCCCTTGCGTAATCAGATATTCGAGGCCTGAACAACATTCACCGTGCACCGGGACAACGCGACTTAGTGCGACTTGTTTGTATTCGAGACTCTTCAACGCGCACACGTGACCGCTGATAGCATGTGTCGCCATACCCCCTTCTGCTTGCGCCAGTATTCGAACGCAAAGTATCTTCATCTATAAAGAGGTGAGTAGGCGTGCTCTAAGAACCCAAGGCGCTATCTGACAATGGCTCCCATTGCTACAGACGAAAATTCGAAGCTCGACGGTTCTGCCAGAGTGTCCGCACTGAAGGACGCGGTGAAGGTCGTCAATCCTTTCTACTCTCCTTCCGTGGGCGATGATGGCGACGACAAGTACGAGTTCGCTCAATACAAGGTTCGTGACGCGCTCGCTTACTGAGCGCTTTCTGGATGGTTCACTGACATTCTTGGTTAGCCCCGTTTCCCCGAAATTAAATGGGCGCCTCTCGGAGAGATAGCCGTGACCGAGCGTGGCTTGCTCGCAGACAAATCGAAGAAGAACCTTTTTTCAGCTGCAACCAAGGTGCAGAACTTGACGCCAGCCATTGGGACCGAGATCGAGGGCATCGATCTCAGACAACTGACAAGCACGCAGAAGGATGAACTGTGGGTCCTACTTCTAGTTAAGACCTCCCAATGTTACTGATAACTCATGCTTTCATCGTAGTGCCTTGCTCGTCGCCGAACGCGGTGTCGTCTGTACGTGAATCCTCTATAACGATGGTGCCTGTGCTGACTGCTCGTGGCAGTCCTGCGGGACCAAGAGTTTAGCATTCACGAGCAGCTAGAGCTCGCTCGTCATTTCGGCCCTCTTCACAAGCATGCTACCACGCCTATTCCTAGGGAGCCTGGTCTGGAGGAGGTTCATGGTGAGTCATATTCCGAAATTTCCGAGAATCCAGTACGATTCTAACTGTTCTCCCTAGTCGTCTACAATGACGCCACCCGCCGCCCAGACTCGAGCACCTTCTCCAAGCTGGAACTCTGGCACTCGGATGTCTCTTACGAAGCTCAACCTCCCAGCACCACTTCCCTCAAGGTGATCAGCGGTCCAGAGTACGGCGGTGACACGCTTTGGAGCTCTGGGTAAGTGCACATATTGAGTGCACAACTAACACATACCGACCCCCTATCAGCTACGCCCTTTACTCGTACTTCAGCCCTGCTTTCCAGAAGTACCTTGAGTCGCTGTCGGCGGTCCACAGCGGGGTTGCACAGGCGGAGGGGAACCGGGCTGCTGGGCTTCCGGTTCGCCGCGAGCCTGTGGAATCGATCCACCCGGTCGTCCGTGTGCATCCTACCACAGGCTGGAAGTCCATCTACGTGAACCCCGGTACGCAATCTCATCTCATGACACTATCGTGATCTCATCGTCATCGGCGATTCCTCCAGGTTTCACACGTCGCATCGTGGGCCTTCCCAAGGCGGAGAGCGACGCTATCCTTAACCTTCTCTTCCATCAGATAAGGTGAGCGCCATCGAGCCCTGCCTGTCTTTTATACTCTGACGCACCTGCGCAGCGAGAACCCCGATTTCCAGGTGCGCTTCCATTGGAGGCCGAATTCGATTGCCATCTGGGACAACAGAGTGAGTCGCCGTGCCCTCCTGATACACGTAACTCTCGCAGTGCTGATCCCTTCCCCGCGACGATGGACAGGTTGTTACGCACTCGGCAACGTTCGACTTCTGGCCGCAGCGGAGGCATGCGCTGCGTGCGACCCCGCACGGCGAGCATCCCATCTCCGTGGACGCGTACGAGGGGGATGGCAAAGTAGCGAAAGACAGGCAGGTGGAGATCTGGGCTGAGCAGGGCATCTCCCGCGTGGAGAACGCGAACCCGACTAAGCCTCGAGGATACAGTGACTGAGCGATTCGCAGATGCATGCGTCCGCAGCGAGGCAGTCTCCCGACGCATGGATCATGCCTGATCTTCCTCGTTGCTTTAGATCGATCATCGTCGATCCTGTCATCTGTCACGACTTCATCCAGAGACCGGCGAGATAAGATCGTGCGGATGTTCGCAAACTTGTACTTGTGTAAATGTGGTGTAGAAAAATGAAAGGGGATGTATTAGTGACAGCGTGGAAAGTATGTACTCAGAAGCGCACAGTTAATCGCGGACTCAATAGAACGGTCAATACCATAGGGAACATTGTGAGATAAAGATCAAGAGGCAGGATGACACGGGCACATCCGAAGAGAAAGCGCGGAACAAACGCGGAATACACATGCGGAAGGCATTCGAGAAGGGGACATAAGACGGAAGTTGACTTTGTACGCTCCGCTGTCACTGAGGTGAACCGCGTGCGTGAGAGGGGGTATGCGACGTCCTCATGTACGACTGATGGTCAGAGCTGTAACCCGACCGCCCAGCGTTAGAAGAGGAGGATGTCATCCATGGCGGAGGTGGAACACCACCGGTCTCATGGTGGGTGGCCGGAGGGGGCGGTGGAGGCATCATCTGATGAGACCCAGAGCCTGCGGACGGTGGACCTGAACTTACCGGCATCAGCTGGTAAGGCGTAACGGGGTGTGAATGCTGGGAAGTATGGCCAGGATGGTGCGGGGGGTGCTGTTTCTGCTGCTCATAAGTAGTAGGTATGAGCCCTGGGCTCGGATGATCCCCTTCAGCCCCTCTAGCCGAAGCAGTGGACGCGCGCAGGGTCTGCATATCGATAGGCGCCAACCTGCCATCTGCCCCCTTGTCCCGTTTTCTCATGAGCTTCGCGTAATCTAGAGATGACAGCGTCAGAAAGCAATCCAAAAAAGTTATCAAACAACGTACGCAGTCCGCATGCATTACACAATGTCCTAGCCCCATCAGGGCCACGTCTCCATTCTGGTGTTTCACGGATGTTACACGAGTGGCACTTTCCTGGAGGAGTCGCACGCTGTCCACGACGTCAGCCATGGGCGTACGACCAGGCATGAAGAGTACGTACACTTCGTTTCCTGTACTTGCTTTTGGGCTGCCCAGGCACATTGCCGCCAGTACTCGTCGCACGCTTGCTGCGAATGATTTCCATGTCTTGCTCAGCAGTGGAGGGCATGTTGTCACCAGGTTGAGTGAATTGCTGACATGAGCAATATTTAGTATTCGCGAATCGCGTCAGTAAGTAACGGTCGACTTACTTCAGCGTAATTAACCGGAACAGGACTATCTTCCCGAGACATATCCTCCCAAGGTCTTTTGGGAGGACGAGATTGTTCTTCTGGCACACTGAAGGGTGGAGCATTCTCTTTAGGCATGCCTTCCCCAAGCTCGCTCAAGCGACGAAGATCCTCGAGAAGACGAACGACAGTGCTGGCATGATGTGTCATCTCTTGCAATTCGGGCGGGGATGGTTGGGCGTTGGGAATGTTGGACTGAAGCTGGGCTGGGAGACATCGTGTCAGCACCGCGCCAAACAGCGACCAGTAGGTTCTCACCATAACGACTAGCAAAGGTGTAAAGGACATTGCAATGTCTGAGAATCTAGATGTCGTAGTTGGTGATGATTGCACGAAGAATGACTGACACAAAGAACATACCTCCGAGATTGTTCCTTGACGTGCAGACACCTTCTCATTGTCAACGGGAGTGGAGACACTGCTTCGCGTCTCAACATTGGCTGGCACCAATGCGGTAGTCCTGGGAAAACCAGTATACTGATGCGCCTGCTGAGGTGGCGGCTGGTGCTGCTGCCAGTTGTCAGGTGGAAGAGGAGGCGGATACGAATTTGTAGGAGGACTCTGATGAACAGGGGCAGGCTGTGGCGGCGGCGGCACCTGATAATGCCGTTGGGACATATGCGGAGGATAACTCCCGTAGCCAGGTGGGTGAGAGTACCCAGGAGGCTGATGGACACTTTCGTGCGACGGTGGAACAGAGACCGGAGGCCCTTGCTGATAGGATGGTGGCGGCGGCTGAGACGCATACGGTACATGCTGTGAATACGTACTCTGACCACACAATCATAAGAGCATGATGCAGGTTAGACAAAAGGCCGCATCATACAAGGCGCCCACTCACGGGAGAAGCGCTGCTTACGTGTACACGCCCAGGAGAGGCGTTCACAACCGATCCTGAGCGAGGACGCTTGCCTGATTGCTGAGACGACGCTTCGCGCCCAGATCCTGACCCAGAACTCAGTCCGTTCATACCCTGCCCCGGTTGGGGAGGCATAGGTGTCATGTACGCCGCATCCGTTTTTTGGTATTGATGAGATTTGGGGCTCTGTGGCGGAGCCATGCTCGTCTGATGCTGAGCAGGAGCTCCTGAGCTAGAGGAATTCGAGCGACTCCACGAAGAAGAATCATGGCGGGAAGGACGCTGATGTTCGCTTTGTTGCCCAGACCCATTGGGTGGAGCGGAGCCGTCTTGGCTCGGAGGAGGGCGATACTGGAAGTTCAAGTCCTTGAGAGAAGGCAAACGAAACTCGTTCATATTGCTGGGAGGCGGTGGCGGGAGTGAATACGAGTGTGATGGTTGGTGCGCAGAGGCCATTACAGACGAAGAGGTCTCAAGGCGGCCAAAGAAGTAAGCGCAGAGGTTGAAGACGTCGCTACGGGGTCTTTGTACGATGCACCAGATCTGGCATTATTGTGAATCGGGAAAAGGTTTGCAAGACAAAAAGATCAAATGAAGATGAGCGCACCACGGCTAGATTCTATCAGCACAGACCGTGCACACAAGAGCAGAACAATACTCGTTTAATGCGGGAGGAGAAGGCAGGTCGTTGGCAACGGCGAGGGCGAGCAGCGTTGGGGACGGACAAGGAAGAGGAAGGAAACAAGGCCGAGAGGCTCCAACGGGAGATCATCAACAATCTGAGCGGAGTTCAATTATTCGAACGCCGACGGAATCGGGAACCAGGGGCCGACTCTCGGAGACTGCCTGTTCCTCTGCCTCCTTCCTGCAGCGTCGATCGCCCCTCGACGCTCCCGTCCAGCATCACATAAGATATGCATGTTTTCGCTATGGCTCTGCACGCAAACTTTGGGCAGCATGTTGAGATTCAGGATTGTGGTTGAGATCCATCACCAATCTTGAGAACCGGCAGCCGGGAATCTCTCGAGCCCGATGCTAGATCCATCCCTGTACGTAAATCCATCGCGGCACGGTGAATCTGCGGCTCGGCGCCGCTCTCTCCCTCGCGACCTAGATGTCATCTTTAAAGTTCTCTCTCTCTCTGTCGCCCTGCTCTTCCAGTGCACGTTACACTCTGACTCTGAACGCTGTAAGCAGACACTGTGCACACTGCTTTGCTCGCAGTAGTGATGGTCTCGCTCTGACGCGACTGATCATCACCTGATGACTTCGAATCTGCGGTTGGCGGCCGATATGCCTTTGGTAAGATCCGATGACTTTATATGTAAGACTTCGATCTGGATATAGATCGGTGCACTTGTTTCACGCCGATAAGACAAAATAGCCAGGAAATGGAGATGCAGTATAAGTGACATAGACCCCGTCTGGTCCTAAAAAGCCAGCCAAGCACTCCAAAAAAAGAGAGGAGAATGACCGAATTTTATCAGTGGCCACGATTGGCAAGCTCTGACACAAAAACATTTGTTCACCGACACTTGCCCGAAACCGGAGCGCGTAGGGTATCGGAGGTCATACAAGCACCTCGTTTTGAGCTGTTTAAACGTATTCACTCCTTGTCACCGCCGATAGGACCTAAATTGTTTAGTCCCAGTTCGCCGTTGGCGATCCCGGGCGCGCAGTAGACCTGAGTCAGACAGACAACAATTGATGAGAAGATGAGGCAGTGGTAGATTGACAGGTACTTCAATCCTACTGACGGTAACGTTGACGGAGGTTTCCACTTTTGTCTTGCCTTGAATTTCAGAAACCAAGAGATGCCGAATGCTTTAATTTCGGATTGCCGCTGTCAAACTTATTCCTTGCCACAACTTTCGCACGCTGCAAATTCATACCATCAGGGGTAGCTAGGGTGCCGAGAAGATAGAGTCAGTGTGGAGTGGGCGGGCTGCTATCTGTCCTAGACCTGTCCTTCAAATATTCACCTCCATCTGGGAACATGAATTACACAGCAGAGGAGATGTATCCGCGTGGAAAGAACGGCGATGTCGATGGAATCGACTCATCGAAGATGCGAACGGTGACAGTAGCAGATGCGTGCGCTGGTGAGATCTGATTGCTGCTCCAAACCAAACCGGAGTTACATCCCCCTGTCTGAAACGTCTCGATCTGGTCTAGACGAAACTTTATCTGCTTCGCCGCGATGGTCCCGCAGTTGACTTGTTGACTCGACGCTTGTGCTTGTAGAGGAGACTTCTACATAGCGGTTGGTAGACTGTCTGAACCTCTCAGTTGCTGCACCAAGTTACCGGGATGGAATAGAAGGCTGATATAATTATCGAAATTACATAATTCCGGAGGATCGCGGGGGATGAAACACTGTTATGCCCGCCGAGGCCGCTCCGGAGCCTCCGTTGTGTCTGGAGTTCGACGGCCATGTCCCAAAACAGCTCTTCTTCGCATCTTCGTCGCCTCATGCAACTCCAAGGGCGAAGCTCACCTTCAAGCCAAGTCGCGGTGGCGACATACTAATGTCTTCACTGCAGTACCGTCCTGTCCTTTTTTCAGCCGCTTCATGTTGCATCTTTTCCATATGTTTGGAGAGCCTTTCGTGATAGCACATTAGCGAGATCGCCTGGCCCTTCACACAACCTTTCAACTCATTCCCGAGCCATTTGCGTGGGTATCCAAAGCGGTTAGCAGTTGCAACTGTAAGCACTTCGTTTGATTCTGTCACGAAACTGAATATCTATACAATACGTTTACGCGCATCGTTTCAGCCGCTTTAGTTTCTATGTTCTCAAATTAGTACGCAATATACTGGCGAGCGAATGTCTCGGAAATGCATATGCCGTGAACTTCACCACCCAGGTCCTGCGTATCTCACCCTTGGAAACAGAATTTGCGACGTGACATTGAGAACAGCTGCAATGCAGGCGGTGTGGATATTTGTGTAGAATGGAATGTCAGCTTTCATCCCTCTGGAGCAAGCTTGCTTCGTGTAAGTTCTTCGAATGCCTCATGGTGCAGGCATGCACAGTTACTCCAATCGTTGCAGGAATCATTGAAAGACATACATCATATATCATTCAGGCAGCATACTAACGCTCTCAGGAGGGGTGTTTTACATATCGGTAAGGTGCCCTTTGCACCTGCACTGCTGGAAACACTGACTTATTTGCTCTGCACCAGTCACGGCACCGCGGAATCTACGGAGCGCGTGCCTTGATACAAAAAGCGGAATGGATCACCATATCTGCAGGCTTCATTGGTGCGCATGCCTGCTACGCGCTGTATGTGTCTAATATAGTTCCACTTAGCACGAATTGGAGGTCATGGAACACGACCTTGCCTTATCAAGTCATTGAGCGGGTATCTGGGTCATGCACCTTCGGGACATCTAAATGTGCTTTACGTTGCCCTTACCTGCTGTTCCTCAGTTGCTCCGGAGATGATGGATAGGTGAACTTCTTACTGAATGCTGCCCAAAATCCAAACACTGATCAACGGTGCGGAACACATTTAAATTTAGCTGGTTCGGTGCTTGTTACTGTCAGGCCTTGGTTCTACTCGTACCTGTACTGCATTCTATGGGTACCGCCCTCAGAAACATGTCTTCCACGCGCTTCGTCGAGCAAGTTCAAGTTTCTGTTCATGGTAGGTGAGTGCCATCGATCGGAACGAGATCCCGACTCTTCTGATCAGATGTAGTCATATGGTCCCTCCGCGCGCGTTTCCTGGTGCAAACTTGGAATCGCACTAGAGTGTTCCCGATGATACCCCGGCGTGAGTTGCAACTTAAAAGCAGTCTCACGTTGACGAATACTTACAGCACACCCGTTCTCCACCCTAGCCCTGTACAAGGATGTCGCAGACCGTGAAAGTCGAGTTCCAGGCGAAGAACATGCCGTTCCGCAGGCTGGGGCCTAGCGGTTTGCGCGTGCCTTTGTTCTCGCTCGGCGGATGTAAGTGCAACGTTTGACATACGGCGAGAATGTGCGTGCTCACCGCGCTCGTCAGGGCTCACGTTGGGTGGGTCCGTCACTGGTGACCCCGTCAGGGTGTGTCCCAGCGTGTTCGGCCCATTCTAGAGTTTACTGACGTTGAGCAACGATTAAGGAAATCATCAAGACCGCTTTCGATAATGGTATCAACATGTTCGATACTGCTGAGGGCTATGCTGGCGGTAAATCCGAGATTGAGATGTGAGGGCTGGTTCTGGTTCACTGTTCATCTGTCGCTCACGTTTGTTTGATGCAGGGGACGAGTGATCAAGGAGCTTGGTCTCCGGCGGACTGACCTAGTCATCACGACCAAGCTCTTCTGGGGTACCCATGGCTCGCCGAATGACACTGGTTTGTCCAGGAAACAGTAGGTCCAAACAAGGAGATGCTTACAGAATTGACGCACCGTGCTGGCATAGCATCATCGAGGGCACGAAGGAGTGTCTCGAGCGTCTTCAACTTGATTACGTTGATGTGCTCTTCGCCCATCGCCCCGATGTCTCAGGTAAGACTGGTGTCACTCCCGTTCATGCTAAGACTCGACTGGTTGGAAAGTGCCAATGGAGGAGGTCGTTCGAGCCTTCAACTTCGTCATCGAGAAGGGATGGGTGAGTAGGGACTTCGCGATGCGAGGCTTACGGTACAGATTCTGACCCCTTTGCAGGCGTTCTACTGGGCGACTTCCGAGTGGACAGCTCAGCAGATTGAGGAGGCGCACCGTACGTTGCCCCATGCTTACGCCCAAACATCTTCTTGACTTCTTGGACTGTCTACAGTTGTTGCTGAGAAGCTCAACCTCATTGCACCCATTGCCGAGCAATGCAAGCATCAGTGCGTGATTTTCATATCGACATTCGCGGAGCGCTCATGAACTTCTCGAACATCAGCATGCTCCACCGCGAGCGTCCAGAGAGCGAGTACGAGTAAGTGGCCACGCTCGGCTGTTGGTGAAACCCTAAAAACTGATCTTGTGCTAGCCCTCTGTACCGGAAATACGGTTTGGGCACGACCGTCTTCTCGGCACTTGCTGGCGGTATCCTTACTGGCAAGGTAAGTATCCGCAGTCTTCTGATTATTAGTGTTTAAGTGACATACATCCGAATAGTACAACAACGGCGTCCCCGGAGATTCACGCCTGGCAGTAGAGAAGGAGAAACAGTTCCAGGACACCGCGGCGCAGCTCCGCACACCCGAGGGTCTGGCTATGATCGCAAAGATCAAGACGCTGTCTGAGTTCGCCGAGAATGGTCAGTGTTCACTTGGCGCAAACTGTCGTCAGGAACTTGATCCCGGTTTTGCTAGAACTGGGCTGCACGGTCTCGCATCTTGCTCTGGCATGGGTAGCCAAAAATCCGAACACCTCAACTGTCATCCTCGGTGCTTCGAAGCCGGAACAGGTCCTAGATAACCTGAAGGCTCTGGAGGTCCTCCCGAAGCTGACTCCCGAGGTATTGGAGAAGATCGAGAGTATCATCCAGACGAAACCTGCCCCTGCGGTATGTGTCTTCTCTTTGAATTTGGCGCAGTGTGAATAGCTGACCACGTTTCTACATAGCCGACATTCGGACGCCCACCTTTGGACAAGTTCGGTCGGCTGTAGCTGAAGGGCCAAGTGGTGGACCAACTAACCGGTAGCATGCAATAGAATTGTAACATATTTGTGTAAATTCTGAATGATGCAGAATTGCACCCATGGCATTATGCGCCCGGAATTGTACCGTATCTTCTGAGCAGATTACGCCTGGTGCTGCAGGACTTGCCATCGCGTTCTGCCATGAGGGGAGCATGAGGGAAAGGAACTCGCTGTGCCACATCAAGCGCCCAACGAAGGTTCAACATGCATCCCTTGCATTGCCTGCTACGCTCACGCGCTCACCAGCCCCTTCTCCTCAACTTACCTGAACTTGGCATACAAGCCATCTTGCGATGAATACAAATGGGATCTCGAAGGACCCTGAGGTGCCGTGTTGTGTTTTTGTCTGCGAGGTCTCGTTGAAATTGACACCATAGTAGATCCCGCAGGCTCCTTCGTCCGCCACATCTGAAACTCACGAAGAAGCGTGGGAGGACGTTCAAGATTTGAACTATGTTCGCCCTGCGCTGAGGCCCGCACGCGGCGGCAACCCCCGTCGACGAAGAGCTGGGTACAAGACAACCCTCGTCGCGCAGACTGCACCATCTCGCAAGGCAGCGACGTTAAGACCTCTGCATCAGGACGCAGCGGAGCCACCAGTAATCGACCAGCACCAGGTGCGGCGCGCCCTGAGGGTCGTGGCAGCGTTCACAATCCGATATGTGGGCGACGTCCTAACCACCGCCGTGCGCCTCTTGCGTAAACCACTGGGAATCCTCCTTTTTATCTGGATTCTTGGTGTTCTCTTCACCACACTGAATCATACATTCCGCACCGTCTTCTCCCCATTCTGCATTATCCCGGGTATATCTCGTTCCGCTCTGTGCATCACACCACAGCCCAATGGCGGGAAGAAGCAACATTCAGTTGATTTCGGGAGGTTGATGGACGTGCAGGGTTCTACCTTTGAGCAACTGCTTGATGACTCTGTGGACAGCTCAGGCTTGAGTCTCGAGATCAAGAAAGCCGAAATAGCCACAAGCGACCTAATCGTGGTAGTTCGCGCAAGTAATCTGAAAAGCAAGGAATTATTGGCGGATACCTTGGCTGAATTTCACGAGACGGGTAAGAAGGCTGGCCGAGGCTTGCAGACATTCGCAGCCAAGACGGCAGGTGCAGTAGACAAGTATGTTTGGCCAGACTCTTGGTTTAGTGATTCTGCCATCACGTCTTCAGCATCATGGCCGTTAATGACTTCGCTATGCGACAAATTGAGGCGGCTAATGTCAAACCTTCGGCCTTGAGCATTGTGTGGCCCTTCTCCTCCCGTCCCCAAACTAAGGAAGTGGTTCTGCGGACATTCCGTGCAGCTATGGATGTTCTTGCGACCAATATGCAGCGACTGATCATCGAGGCTGAGGCGAACCTGCTGAACTTAGACAGACTCGAAGAAATTCTCGTCACACTGCATGACATCGTCCATCGAGAGGACGCGTCTATCTCATCTGCACACAGCGAACTCTTGTCCGAGCTCTGGACCAAGTTGGGCGGGAATAAGCGCGAAGTTCGCAGCCAGCGGCAGCATCTCATGCTTCTGCGGAACCTCACTGCTTACCGGAGTCGTGCGCTCGCTCATGTCGTAGGTGCCTTGCAGACCCTGCAGGCTATGAGTGCCGACTTGGAAGACCTGAGAGAGAGAGTCGCTGCACCAGAGCTCATGGGAGAGCATATTCCCCTGGAGGTGCACATGAAGAGCATTGGGAGCGGTATCGAGAGGTTGAAGGAAGGGAAGATGAAGGCAAAGGAACGGCAGGTGCAGGTTTTGCGCGGTATCTTGGGCACGGAGGATCTCGTGGACTGATGAACCTGACGTGGCGTTTGGATATGTGCGTCGTACTTTCTTGAATAGGTTTGTTGTCCTGCATTGCTTTTGACACGTCCGCTTCGTCCCCTTATTTACATGGGTTTTCCCAGTGGCTTGAGCCTTCTAAAGGCGGTTGGCCTCAGTTGATTACTGTCAACCCTTCGTTCCCTGTCCCGTTGCTGTAGCTGTTAGATTGTCAGTGTACTTACGGAAGATCTATTTATGACAGGTGCCATATGCTAGCCAATGACTTGCACAGGAAACCTCGATGAGGATGGCGTGCGCATGTGGATTGTGAGGTTTGCAGTATACATGGGAGACTGATGGTGCCTGACTAGGAACGAGGGCTCGCGGTCAACAGCAGTATTGTCGGTGCCGCGGCATTCAGATCCCGATGGATTCAAAGATCCCATCCCTTCAAGTTCTTAGACTTCTAGAGTCGTCCAAACTTACATACGTGTACAGTTGTTTTCTCTGTCGGTGAGTGCTCTGTCCGATTAGACACATACTATAGGAGTCCGGAAAGGAAATGCGCTGACTGCAGCAATTAATGAACTAGCACTTTCACTCCTGAGCCTCCTCCTCAAACGCACCTGAAGCTATTGCTCTACATGTGTGTCAGGACTGATATGCACATGGTGATAAGGCGTGGAGATACTCACGTCGCCTCACGGAGGCCGCATCTGACTCGCGTGTCTTCTCAACACCCGGGTGAGCTCTTCGTATCCTCATGCTACGGTAGGTGTAGGCTGACTAATAGATACAGTACCTCTTACGCGTGCGAGTACGATTGGTCCCCGTCCTACCGCAAGTGCCACACCAGTACCATGTGGTACACTCATCCTGGTTCCCTCAGAGGTGTGTTTCGGTGCGTCAACGTCGCCCTCAGTGTTCGGGGCCGTCCACACGCCGATGCTCTCGTCATTGTGCCAGCGCACAGTCCCGCGAGTGTCAAGGAGTTACGGCCCTGAGAGAATGTAAGACCCTTAACTCGGGGCTCTAGTGCAGTATCTATGCTTGATTGCAACTTGTGGAGACGTTACTGATTGCCTCAGTATCGTTAGCTCATCCGGCCATGGGGCTTCGTCTGGTCGTCCTCATTGTATCATATCAGATGGTAGTATACTTCTCTGACCTGACGCATATGAACAGGGTTACTTGTCCTATTCAAAGGCCAAGCCAACCCTGTTCATGTCCATACACAGTTCCCCACTATGGTTTACCTGACCCATGACCATTACGGACACTGTACGTTCTCGCGTACGTGACCCCTCCAAATTAATCACAGATCAATCAGGTTCTTCCTCACCTCAGTGACGACATGGTCTCCCACCGGTGAGACTTCTAGCTCGACAGAGCATCCCTATCCCAGAGGTGTGGGTAAGTTATGGTGAGATTCCAGCACTGGCTGAGATACGTTGGTCTTTACTTGTGACCATCTTTCGATTATCCTTAGATGCCAATACTCCTCTGCTGTCTCGGCTTGTCCCAGAATGTTTCCCTCACATGCGCCCTCCACCTCAGCGCTCAGCTCTCAGTCCTATCCTCGCAACTCAGAACTTATCTTCTTATCCCGTTCGACCAATTTCCACATTTCCGGGGAGCCATCTTCGTCCACTCGTTAGTTTGACCCTCACGCAACCTTCCTTACGAGCGTTATTCGCCATGGATCAACCTGACAGACCCCTTCTTTTCTTTAGTTTCGTTTAGTTTTTTCAGAAACCAAGCGTCTGATATACAGCAGGACCCCGGTGAGCAGCGAGTCGACGATCGGAACAACGTCCTTCAAAACAGTCCTACATCATGCTGTATGTCGCGGCGATTTGCGTGATGCGCGCAAAATCTTAGTCAAACTACGACACACGCGTGCCCTCAGCCAACGCGGATTGCACCCCGAGTAGATTTCCTCGTGGATCTGTCTACGTGACGAGATAAGTTTTTGCTGTCAGTTTCTTGGACGAACTTTAAACTAAGAGGCCGGTTATCATATGCATGTCACCATATGTCCATTATTATTGTACTTATGCTGATATGAATAATAAGTGCTCGCTAGTGAGTAGAAAAAGAAAACTTGGAATAATTAGGGAGAGACGACGAGCCTGAAATGAGAGCCAGTAGAGACATACATATGTATGTGCCTGCGAGACTCAAGTACTTCACTGAAGTGCACTGAAGGGTGTGTAAATCTGCAATCTAAAAGCGACGAGAACGTGGTGGATCGGGTCTGATCATGCGAAATCTGGCCTAGAATAGGGCTTCCTGCCTCAAACCCATCATCCGCCCAAGACAATAAGCTCGACGCAAATGGTGATCCCTATAGCAGTCCGCAGCGCACGGGACAGCCCGTGCTTTACTTTTCTTCCTACCTTCATCGTCGTCGCCCGCAGCGAACCCAACGCCCACTGTGAGTGACTGAGCATCGAGCAGGAAACCGACATACACTGCCTCTTACGGCACGCGCACGTATCTGATCGTGGAAGTCAGGTTTTATACGGTTAGTCCCTTGATTGCATATTATCCGAGGCATATGCACTCTACTCCACCCGCTTCAACAGAATAATCTCCTTATGCTGCCTCTGGGGTCCCCATGGCTTCTGGACCAGAGATGGTTAGTTTATCTACCCTTCCACCTGTACGTGTAGCGTCTACTCACGTCGCTGCAACCATGCCCTTGTCACGACAGGGCGGGCCCGGAATGGGTGCGCTTGGTGGGCCACCACTCCAGCACGTACGCCGCTCGCCACATACATGGTCGCCTTCCACTGATTCGCCGTTTAGAACTACAAACGGGCCGTACAGCGCAGCGCCCCCCGCGAATTTGTAGTAGAAGTGCTACCACCCACCAAATTTGGTGTGTTCCTATGTCAACGGTTATCGCAACCAGTCCCTGACCGTCATGCAGGTAGTGGCTTTTGCTATGGAATGCGGATATGTCCCATTACGGGAGACGTGCGGGATGATACGTCCAGCGGTAAGTCGGGCAACTCCCATACCGAATACGAGGTCTGGCGTCGCTGGGAAGACTGTCTCTATCTCCAAGAGATATTGGAGGAGGAGTACGGTATGATGGCTCGGAATAAACGGCACCGTCTCGCAGCAGGCAAAGGGGTGAAGAAAAACGGTGTCTACATCCAGTCCGACCAAGCTGCTTCGTTCGAGTCGTTACCCCCAGGTCCGGAGGCTAACAGCGTTGCGAAGGACGTTCACGAGATCATACCCAAGCTCACCAAGAAGGGTACACTCTTTCGGCCCAGTCAGTCGACCGTAGACCAGAGAGGGAAGGAATTCCAGGCAATGATTGAAACGTTGCTCAGCGATGATGTTCCCACTTTGATCAAAGAACTTAGGGAGTTGCGTACAGTGCGTGATTTTTTTGCGTACTGGAGAAGAGACAAGGACCACGAGCGCAAGGCTCGTCGCCCATCTACAAGTGCTGGCGGCCGCGATTCTGTCACAAGCAGCGCGTTCTCCATGTACTTCTCCGCGTCGAATCTCTCCCTGCAAATGCCGAATTCGTATGCAGATCTACCCCCGAGTCCTGCGCTTCCAAGTGCCATTTCCGTCGCCTCATCGCACTCCTCAAAATCAGCGAAGGGGAAAAGTCCAGCGTATGCGCGTTCAGACTCATCGGCATCGTCTTCGAGTCTATCACGTTTCCCAAATCCTCCCGCTGGTCCTGCAGCTCAAGCAACACCCATGTCTTTCTCCGTATCTGCTCGCGGTTCATTGTACGTTGATACTCCGGAGAGAGTAGGCGGTTACACTTCGGAGCCTGACGATCGTCCTCGGACGGCACCACCAAGATCGCAAACCGGATCTTACCGCCGCAGTTTGAACAGGCCATTCTCCTCCCAGACATCTGTGGATGGCGTGGAGATGCCCATCATGTTTACTCCGGATGATCACTCATGGTCGGACGGGTTGTCGAGTGATCATGGCATGGGCTTGCAGGCATTGCCGGAGGACCAAGAGCTCGCATCTGACATTCGGCATCTATCTATAGGGAACTCGCCACAGGACGCTCCTCCGCCCGTCCGACGCTCGCACAATAATTCATGTCCAGGTCGCGCGAACAGGAATTGCGTCATCTTCATGACAACCCCTCCCGACCGCCCTGAATTTCCTCAGCGTGCAGCATCTCAGGTGCTGCACCCCGATGTCGAGTCGCTCAACGTTCAAGATTCTCAGCCTGATAGCAGGAGTCCAGAATTGTCACATTCCGCCAGTGTTCTCGCCGATTCTTCGCGAAACTCGACAGCGAGTTTTTCTCGTTTCTCCGCAGAGACTTCGCGGCGATCATCATGGCGCACGTCGGTTGCGTCAGAAACGAGTGTCGCGAGCGACATTACATCCGGCGCGCCTAAAGATTCAGACTTCGACCCACAGCGCAACTCGATACTATCATCATTTTCCATGCAGTCATCGATGTCGTCGATCGCTGAACGGTGGATACCGTACTCTTCCCCTCAACCATCTCACGCATCAAGGGCTTCCGTAGCCACCATCAATTCGCTCATTTCTAATTCATCCGTAGATGCAGTACTTCCTAGGCGTATGTCGCCTCCACCAAACGGGACTGCTCTTCGTTCGCTATCAAACCATTCACGTCGTTCAGTCGATACCAGGTCCAATGGGAACGTGGCAGAGGACGTCTGGTATGAGCAGCGAGATGATTGCATTGATGCGTATTTCTATGGTGAGGCTTTCGTCTGCCGTTTGCCAGAGAGAGCGATTGACGAGTGAGTAGACCCCAGCCTTCGGTCTACCCCTGCTTCGTCAGTCCTTCCTGACGATCACCAGTATGGGGGACGGGAAGTTCTACCACTGCGCTTCGACAAGCACATGTCCACTCCTGACCGCTTCCCTAAGCCGTTCCAGGACAGACCACCGGGGCAGTTCCATTTACCCTGGTCACCTCCAGCGTCTCCCCCTAGGATGACCAGCCCTACAGGATCCGACACCTACACCATCAAGGCCATGCTACGGGAGTCTATTGTTCTACTGCGCGCCAGTTATGGCACGTCGTATCCCGAGGTCCGTGAACGTCTCCGTGACAAATTCGCGAAGCAGGAGGAAGTGCCGCTCTCGAACACGTTCGTCATTGGTTACCTCCCCCAAAGTGCTATTCCCCAGACTCCTTCCACGCGGGGCCGTCCTCGCTCCAGCTCTCTGTCAAGCGAACGCTCACTTACTTCCTTGCGCTACATCTACTCTGAAGAGGAGTGGCACACCGCCGTGGCTGGCTGTGCCGGAAAGCTTACCATTCGTATCTTCGACACTAAATCCTGAGCCTCGCCCATTCTCATCGTTGACTGCTTGACAATTAACTGATAACCATATAGCGCCCTCGTTTGATTTCGTCCTTCATCCTGGTTATCTGTTTAACTTTCATCGTTGCTTCCATATTTGTCTCTTTAGTTGTTTACCCCTCTTTGATCCCGGACATGCATACCACTGTATGTCCGAGTGGTTCTTGTACGTGACGCTCACGGCTGTTGTATGTCTGTACTTCCGGTCTGTGTGCTCCTCCTTCGTTCAACAAAACAAAAGGTATGCTGTAGAGATAGAAGATTCGTATATAAACTTTCGAGGATCCGGATCAATACATTGCTATGCTCCGACGACAGTCTCAGCGGCTGCCAGTATGGTCACTTGCGGGCGAGCATGCGCAACAGACGGCGCTCCTGCGGACAGCGGAGTTCTCGTCCAATCTGGGATGATGCTCTTGGGGGACCGCAGTATCCCTTCCGGCAGGACGACCACCGCCTCGTCTTCGTCCGGCTCAGCCTCGTCTGCATCCCATTTTTCCCGGGGCACTTCCACGCCACCGGTTTTCAGTGCACTAAGGATGGGTTAGTGAGACGCCGCGTGGGAGGACGAGATTGAGGGGGGGGCGTACCCTGCCAAAGATCCACCCACCCAAGCCATCGTAGCAGGTGTGAACGCGGGCGCCCGTCCGGCATTGGCACTCGCACTCCCGGACGCGGGAGGCTGCGGCAACGGGTTGTTCAGAATTGCGAAGTACGGCAGCAGCGGACGGAGCGCGGCGTAGCGGTCGTACGGCGCGGGTCGCTGTTTGCCGGGTCGACTAGGCGGACGCGATGATGGCGCAGACGACGATGACATAATTGCATGTGCGAGTTCTGCATGCAGTCGCGGGATGAATCCTGGGAGCATCGGGGTGCCCCCGACGACCACGATAGTCGACGCGAGAGTCTTCCGGAGATCTACCGGTACCTAAATTTGTGAAATAAACTTAGCCAGTGGCGCAGACGAAGGACCAAAAGGGTGCGAACCTTAAGGAGAGAATCGAGGACAACTTCCGCCACGCTGCTCTCGTCAACGTCGCCGCCTTCGAAAAGGACCTCCGCAGCCCGCTCCCGAATCCATCCAGGTATGATCAACGTTCCCTGTCCCGTGCCCGTCTGTTGCGATGGCGGAGGATCTACGCGCATGTGCAAGTCGGTAGCAGTGGAATGCCGCGTATACATCGTCGCGAGGGCCTGCAAATGACTTTCTCCTGGCCGCGGTCCATCGGAATTCACTTGTGAGTGCGACACCACGGAGTATCCTGATGATGCCGCGTGCTGCGAGGAGAAGTTACTATCTATGTCTGCGGAGACACGCGAGAACTCAGACTCTGACATCGCTGGGTCGCTAGGTGGTAGATCCAGTTCGGTAGAATCGTCTCTAGGAGACATCATGCGGACGTCTGATGCATCGAGCGCATCGCCGACGAAACAGCATCGGGTCTTGGCCTCTTCTATCACAGAATCGGTAAGCACTTCTTCCGGAACGCGTGTGGAGCGGTTTGCCGCGGGAATGTTGGCTGCTGCGCTCAGAGATGTTGGTGGTGGAAGATAGGTTCCGAAGAGAAGGAGAAGAGCTCGGAGGTGGGATGATAAGCGAGAGCCTGCCAGGGGTGTTGTACGTAGCTGTGGGAACAAAGGGCGTGAAGAAAATATCTGTATGCAGTGTCTGAGTAAATGGGTTCCATTAGTAACAATCAACATACCGGTAATACGGTAGACTCCAGGTGGCCGCAGTCTAGCACGAGTCCTGTTATCCTCCCCGCAGCCAACAAAGAGAGCAGGTGGCTTGAGGCGAATGAGATAGAAGGTACCTAAGGTCTTCAATGGTTACTTCCACGAGACAGTGCATTCAGGAACATACCTGGAGATTGTCGAAGAGTATTCGCGCTAGGGTATCCTTGATGTACAACGGCAGTAGTGGATGTTCCACCAGAATTACTTTGCGTGACTTGGGATCCGTGAGCAGCGAACTTGCCTATCAATGTGAGAACGTCACAAAGCGAGGGAAAAACGACCGTACTCATGAAAGACCGACCGCAGGGATGCCTGCAATCTCACATCAAGCAGCTTATCCTCTTCCTCTCTCTCAGCCGGCTTCGTCGCACGATTTAAAGTCCATAGGGACATGCAACTCCCTCCTCCAGCAAAAAAGACATCCCTTGGCTTACCCTCACCGCTGAATCCTACTTTCCATACCCGAGACCCAGGATCTAGAATGATTCGGTCTTCTGTCCCATACAAGGAATGTCTGCGTGTCGTCTGGTAGTGAGGAGATGACTGAACGATATGCGAGCCGGTGAGGCGGGTAGTCTGTGGAGTAGCAACAGGAGTCCCTGATTCATGGCTGGTTTGTCTGCGTGGTGTACTTGATACTGCAGACATCCTCTGCGTGGAATAATACCCAAATTTTAAAGGACGAGTATCAGTTCAAGTACAGATTGGTAGGCAGACTGCACTTGGACGCCAGTCGTGTCACGACTGTCACAGTCACGTAATGTTCCGTCGTCACAGCGTCCGGGGATCTTCCACTGGCAGATACAATAAAGAGCACAATTGACAGTTCTCGCAGCAGAGCAGTATTTCATGTTGTATTCCACAATTCATGTACAAGAAGATTCAACGTTCGGCCACCCCGCAGTCATTCAGGAAACGCGAAGCACGTGATCGCGACGCGGTGACGACGAGGATCTCACCTTGGCAGGCAGGATCTCACTGCAAGTTCTCAGACATTTTAGGCATTGGCAAGGCTACAGCATCAAGCATCGAAAACGTTGATTACAAAGCCAGCCGTTCCCCACATATCGGTATATGCATTTATTGTATATCTCCAATCTCCAACAAGGGCCCAACAAGTCGCAAATTCAAGCGTAGAACAGCTTACTTGGCATTGATGCTCTCCAAACCGAATTCCCCTCCGCTACCCCGGTCCAATTCATTGAATGGATCCCGCATACTACCTGTCCGTGCGCGCCACAGCTGTGTATACAGTGCTTTGATTTTCTGCAGCTCCGCATCGAGCGCAGCAGTCTTGCTGGCGAGAGCAACGAAGGTAGCGTGTTGTGCTTCCAGAGTGGAAGATATAGCTGACATATTCCGTAAATATTGTCAAGCAGTAGAGAGATAAAAGAAGGAAGCACACCTTGAGGGGTATATTGACTCTGCGTCGCTGCAGAGGATAGCTTCCGCTCGATTTGCTATTGAAAGAGGGGATCACTATAAAAATTCCTGGCAATAGAAATCATACTCACTTCAATGGTCGCCTTGTACCACCTCAGCCGCTCTCGCATTTGCTCCGTCACACGGTTGAAGAATCTTCAGATAGATCGTAAATATAAAGAACGTACTTGCAAGAGGATATGAAAACACGTACTCCAATGGGAAATCCGCATGGTTTTTGAGATGCACGCCGTACTGCTGAGGGTTCCGGAAGCCGTCGACTATGCGTGTTGCGATGATGGTGTCTTGCACGGTCTGATCTACCTTCGCCTTGAGGTCTCGTGTACGGAGCACATCCGAGTGTAGCGTCGTGATAGCACTTAGCAGATCCTATCGGTAGATGCCAAAAGGTAGGCACTGGAATATAAGGACGACCAATCAACTGAGAACGCACCTTGTGTACAGAGCGGACTACTTCCTGGCCTTTGACCGCCTCTTCACCTAGCTTCCGCTGCTTCAGGTCATTGCTTATTTGTATGCGGCCTTGAATTTGCCCACTGTACCACTAGATGATAAGTTAAAAGAAAGGGATGAGAGAGTAACCGTTACTCACTCGATATTCTCAAAGACTCTTTTGACTTCATCTGGCAGGTCATTAAATCTAGTTGACTTCGTGAAAGGCGGCGTAGCCGGCAATTGGTTAGCCCCAAAAGTTCTGCATTGGGACAAAATGTCTATTACTGTAATTCGTGTTCTGGTTTTGCGGCACGGCGCAGCAATGTCCGCAATAACAATATTATACTCACGGTTGTTGGGACGGCTGCCTGCCAAACAGAGATGGACCGGTCGTTGCTCCAAAGGCACTAGCGGTCTGTGTCGGTTGCGCCTGTAGAGGATTCGAGCCCCAATTGCCAAAACCACTAGTTTGACCAAGCGTCGAAGTGTTGGCGTTGGCGTTGCTCCCCAGTAAACCAAGGCCATATGCGCCCTGCTGTTGTCCCGTCTGCCCAATCTGGCCTGTCTGACCTGTCGGTTGGTTCTGCGTGTTTCCAAAGAGCGAACCGATGGAACCGATTGAGCTCGGTTGCGTATTCGTAGGAGGTTGGCTGAAGAAGTTGGACGGCACCTGCTGCTGAGGCTGCTGCTGCTGCTGGTTCTGGCCGAAATTGCTGCCGAGTAACGATGAGCTTAGCTGTGTCCTTTGTTGACTTATGGGTGCTCCAAAAAACGACGTCGTTTGCGTGGGAGCTTGACCCTGTGGCTGCTGAGTCTGTCCTAGAGGTGCACCGAATAGTGACGGGGCCTGGCTTGAAACCTGGCCCTGGTTTTGCGCCCCAAACGCTGAAGTTCCAGGTTGCGAAGAGCCAAAGAGAGGATTTGCTGGTTTGGGAGGGTTACTCTGGCTCAGCAGCGGATTTGTGGATTGTTGAGGCTGTCCCCATGAGCTACACAAACATCGCGGTTTCGCGCTCGGTCAGACGAAAATGAGGACAAAGTCTAAAGATTATGCTTGCCCAAAAGACATCCTGGTCCAGCAACTTCACAAATTCTTTCTAACGTTCAACTTTTGCCCGTTCTACGATGACCAGAATTCAGAGATATGAAGTGGACTAACTTGAAGTGCGATGGCAGATGTGAACGCCACAGCGGCACAGCCACACCGGAATGTGGCTTATGTCAGCAGCGCTCCTTGTTCATGTTCATTGACTTCGAAGGCTCAGCGACCCTTGCGACCTCTTGCTTCAAGGTCAAGTCAAATTTACAGACTCTGGATGAATGTCTTCGTGCCACCTTATACTAGCTGCATTTTTGGTGCCTTTGATGCGGGCTAAAAATCTTGTTCTGGAGTAAGCATCCGTGCTTCGCGACTGATCTTCTCGACCAGTTCTCGCCCTATATTCAAATAACCAGATGTCTCGTCAGCTATTGAGAGAGAGAGGATGTATTCTTCTCTGAGCCCTGGGCGACGTGTTTTTGGGCCTGGCCGTGCTTTGTGACGCGCTTCTGAAGGCTTGAAATGGCAGGTTTAATATTTCGTATATCATCAATTTGCCCAGTGCTTTATTGCATGTACACATTGCCAACACACTGCTGATTTTTTGACGGTTCCTCCAGGATGTGTACTCGTCTTTCATCCCGGTTTCGTGACTATCATATGCAGTTCTTGCGCAACCCGATGCTTGCCGCGAACGTTCCTTAAGCGCCCTAGCGCTTGACCATTCCGGCAGAAAAACCGGGACACCATCTCGGAACAAATGTAAGTGTTGGTATTTGTTACTTCCGATCCCACACCGCGGTCTATTTTTCCGCCGTCTCATGCAATAACCGTCCGCCCTTGTCGTATGTCCCATCCATCGGCCTTTTTTTCATCATTTGCGCTACAATTCAGTGAAGGCTGATCTCGCTAGAACATTGGCGTTATAAAATTTTCTCCTTGGTCATGACCATATCACAGAACCACAGGAAGTGTGATTGTGGCTCTCGCGTGGCTATCATTTGGTGGTAGGCGATGCTTTAGCTCAGCTGAATGTCTCGACACATCACCACGTTGTGCATGAATACTAGCCACGGTTGGCCTACAGCCTACAGTTGTTAGATTTATTATCCTTCCCCCATTTTCTGCTTGGTTTTCGCATCATCACCGAAGCTCCACCGTCTGTCCTATCTGTGCCCAACTAACGTTTCATCCCGCAGTTTGACTCCCCTTGAGTGACTGCTGTTGATAATCTCCGGAGTCCATTACTCCACTAGCCCGACCGTTTCCATCGGCTTCCGTCTCTCCCGTGCAATACTCATGAGCTTATTGTTCCCGAGTTTGTTGTGGCGGGCCCCTCTCAACTTCCAGACTGGCGAACCTGTGGACTTTTCTGGCATGCTGTGGTCCCTTACACCGGTAGTTCTTCCTGGAATTTGGCTTGCCCCAAAACATCTCTCCCGACTGCAGCCCAGCAACAGGTCGCCTCGGTGACGTCGGAATACCTGGTTGACGTTGGAATGAACGTTGAATGCGAGTGGTAACCAACGTCAAATTATTCGGTTCTGCATGCCGCTTTACTCGGTGCACCGAGTTTTTCATCGGTGAATCTAAGCTTGTTTGCGAATCCTTGGTTGAAGCCTCGACCTTGCGACCCAGCTCTCTGGGAGGAAACTCGTGAGGCGGACATCGCTCAATCGAGCTCGTGGATGCGCTCCCGATCGAGATCGGCGGTAGCCCTGCGACGTGCAAGTGCTGTTGTCTAGCTGCAAGTAAGCGCTCGCCCGATTGCTGGGCTCTGACTCCCGTGAGACCGAACGTCTCCGCGTCAGCGCCGAGTCACCGCTCATATTTGGACCACAAGCATTCCTTTCTTGCTTTGACACTATGGATGTCACGTCGCAGTCATGCTCGGAGCTTTAGATCTTAGACGTTGCGAGGGCTTTTTGCTGTGCGCGCTGTATGGCTCTGTGCACGTTGCGTGTTTTTCTTCCCCGCCTATACGGACATCTCTGTGATCAACCCTGCATGAGCGCGAGAGGTAACAACCTGAGGCGCGGACGGCCGTAACGTTTGCAGAACAACTTTCGTTTGGGATCTCCGGCCAGTCTATTCCTCGGCCCACGTGGCACCACGTGGATGCTGGTTATCTACATTCCGACGATTGGTGAGTACGCCATCGTTGACGCGCCGCAAGGTCCTGTTTCATCTCTCTGCCGCGAACTTTTTACCATGGGTCGATGCAGGGTCGATGTTTCCAAAGCGACACATCGATCCTGGGCCGCTGGGTCCGTGCATCCGATAGAAAACTCCTCCCGCGCCGAGGCCAGCTGCGCGTGCAGTGTCGCGGAGAACGATGGTGGGAGACGCCGTCGTGCGCCTTGCAACTGTCACCGGCCGATCCGATGATGCCAAAAAGGTTACCCGACGCCCGCCAGCGCCCACCCAGTCATCACAGCGACAATATTCGGGGGCTCCAGCGGTACTGCGGCCAGGGGAGAGACAACATTGTGTCAAACAGTGGCACCGGAAAACTATCATAGTCTATCCTCTGCCCACCTATGGAGTGGACGCGCACCCCTTCCGAGGCCGCTCCTCGGGTACCGAACCCACGATCATTTCGCTAACGTACACCATCTCCCTTTAGATCTAGACTAAACAAATTCGTCCAAGCGGGTCGGTGTGCCAAAGTATCCCGGAACGAAACATGGCTGGCACGACAGCGGTGCCCATTTGTGAAATCCCGCCGCTGGCGGCCAACCACCTCACGAGAAGATATCATGTAATCCGTCTCGACCGCCCCGCCGCCCAGGCATATCGAAGTGAAACGCGTAGCGTCGCTCGGCACATATATCCCAGATCTCTGCCAGTCCACGATCAGCCTGGAGGTTCGTCCTCCAGGGCACTGACTACGGGACCTCATCGCCACCATGTATATATAAATCCCGCTATCCCAAGTATGCAGTACTTTTCCGTGCTTCGCCTCCGGCCTGTTGTTCTTCATTGTTCTCTGGTGTTGTTCTATTCGTTTCCTCTATCTTAAACCTACTCAAACACATGGACTCTGAGCAAGTAAGTCGTCGTTGATGCGGCCTTGGTCATCTTACTGATAGCATCAGGTTCGGGCTAAACAAGCACAGTACAAGGACACCGACTCTGATTCGGAGTATTATGCTCCGAGGACACCCAGGAGGACACCCATGGCTTGCCAGTTCTGTCGAGGTTCGCGATATACATCCAGAGCGCAGAATCGACTTGAACGTGTCCGTTTCTATTGCTTCAGGGCGTAAAATGAAGTGCGACGGTCGTCCAATCTGCGCTAACTGCAGTCGGAGGGGTATTGCTTGTTCGTATGTACCAGTGTGAGTTATTTTTTTCGATCTCTCCCGTCTAGAACTCTAGGTGACGATGTGCTGCCTGCTAGCTCCGCCCAGAAGTAGAACTTCGTCGACCGTCCAAGATTCACTTCAACTGGGCCCTCTTCCTCACAGGCGCGGGGCCGCCTCTTCCAACAGTCTTTGCGCTCTCTATCGCTCTCATACTCGTCCGCATCTCGTCGTGTTCACGATTCGCCTACCTACCCTCATTCCAGATGGACTGCTTAATCACTGTGCTTTTTTGTAGCTTTAGTCCCAGCATAGCGTATCGATTGCTCCGTACTAGTCGTTGCATAATCTCCCCCTTCGTCGGTATATACACGCTATAATGTTCGTACGTAGAGGACTTTGACAATTATTTTTAGATCTGCCCATGTCGCGCAAAGTTGTCACATGCTCCGAGTCTAGGCAAGATTACGACTATGCTCAACCAACGAAGTTCGTCTTCTCAGTTCTGCTTACTCTGTCGCTGCTAGATGATGATGCGCGGCCTAAAGATGTCTCTCAGCCTCTGTGACTGCCAGTGGTTTACCTGTGACGGTGTTGCGCATCGCATTCACTGAGAGAATTGTATCGAGCACATGCTCGTGGGTGTCAAGATTAGCTGCAGAGATCATTAATCATTATCGGTGTCAATGCGTTGCGCACCGTGACTATGCGAGTCAGTAGGTCAGTTTCTGACTGTGTTCTCATTCACACCCGTCACCGACAATGGAGCAGGACGACGCCGCAGAGCCCCATGAGCTGCCTGGGTATTCTGAGCGCACGCCGCCGACAAGTACTCTTTCTGATGAGACGTATTCACTGGAAAATGGCAAGGGCCAAGCATGGCTATCGCTCACGGTGAGGAGCCGGACCAAAGGCGCGAAGCGGATCCTGCTCCACAGCGGGGACGTGCTTCTCGGGACCGTAGAACTTGACTTCGACAAACAGGATGGAGTGAAGGCTGTATCAATCATGGTACGTCCAACTTCGTAGGAAGCTGAAGTACGGGACACGAACAGCGTTTTAGGCAGACGGTGGAGTCACTCCGGTTGGTCAGGAAGAAGCCAGGTTCCTGCATATCACACAAGACCTGTGGGACAGCAAGGCGTCCGGTGGGGAGAAGGGAATGGTATCCTGGTCATTCACGATCACTTTCCCTAACGAGGTCACACTGCCTGAGAGCCTGAAGGGGAAACAAGCAGCCCACATGTATCCGCTGCCACCCAGCTTCTCGGAACGTGCAAGTCCTATCTACATAGATTACAAACTGGTCGTCACCGTGCGCCGTGGTCTGTTCAAAGTGAATCATACGTGAGTTGGTTTCGGTGCGTTACGTCTCACAGGATGACCGATCTTCTGCAGCCTCGCGGTCCCGATAGTGTATGTCCAACTGTCGCGTGCCGATCCCCCTTCGCCTTTACGCCAAGTTGCGTACACCGAGGGAACCGCAATCATTGGGCCAGATGGCGATCCTGAGGGGTGGAAGACGCTTTCTCCGGTGAAAATCATTGGCACTCTCTTCAAGACCCGCCAAATCGAGCTGCAATGCACTGTACGCGGAGGTGTCGTTCCTAATATCGATGCCACTGACCTCTGCCCATGCAGTTAAGCATAGCTATGCCAGTCAGTCCTAAACGATATAGACCGTGAAGCAAATCCTGATATCGACCCGCACAGGTCACCTATGCGAAGGGTTCCCCGATCCCGCTGTTCTTGACGCTTGCGAGCGAAGACGAGCACGCGTTAGACATACTCTCCGCTCCCACTGCAGCCCGATTGTACCTCATCCGCGTCCGCACGCTTGGAAGCCATGCTACAGACGAAGCAGCGCTTGAGCGCAGCGACAGCGTGTTCCGCGAGAGCGTTGGCCAGGCGTACTTTTGGGTCACTGCTGAGACCGCGCCTGAGCCGGGGAAGCGCACCTTGCAGGGCGAAGTACGGGTCAAACCCAGCGTGAAACCCAGCTTCACATTCCCCCAGTTTACACTGCGCGTACGTGTTCGTGTTTAGGTCAAGCCCGTCAAGGTCTGATCCTGCATGGACGCGCTGCAGTATCAGCTTGCTCTCTTCCCGTTCCAGGCGCCAGGTTTTGTCTCTTCGGGCGCGGCTAACGAGCATCTGCTGACGGAGAAGGTCATCATCACCACCGTGAACACGCCGGGCATCATCCCGCGCTCGTATGCGCCGCCTGGGTATGTTGCGCCGGAGGAGACAGACTACAACGCCACCGTCGGTTTCCTGGAGAACGGGAATCAGAGGTTCGGGTGTTTGTGCCTGAGCTTCTCGCAGATGCTTACTGTAGTTCCTCGCAGGTTCCTCCACCATGCAGGGGAGGGGGTGTCGTGATCTATTTATTATTCCGGAGACAGGCTGCGTGCATGCATCCTCTGCGATTGGCATATTGCATGTAGCATCTCTCTGATCTCTTGGCGTATTATTGCGGGTCATGGATGTTAGATTGGGCTTACGCGGGTGAGCGTATATTTGTAGAATGAAGGTTATAAATGTATCAATCGTGACAGTGTAGTGCTCTCTTCGTGTGCTTGCATATAGTCAACATTCGGCAGTCGAATTCAACGGGTGAAAACCAAAGTATTGGCAACCGCAGACTGACCACTGTCCAGAGACGTACAAGGAAACAATAAGTATATACACTTCAGCAGCAAATACAGGATGAGTAATGCAACACCTTCCATAAATCCTCCCCCCGCCCAGTATAGGAACATCGGCATCTTCATCACGGTGCCTGTCGAAGCTTGTAGAAGAGGACCATAATCATGAGTGCCCAGTGCTCGAACTTCTCCTTCGACACGAAGAGCAGCGCCTGCGAGATAACCGCCTTGGTGATCTGCGCGCCCATTCCCTGCGGACACAGAACGTCATCAGTCTCCGCTGAGACCATTTAAGGACTACACGCGCTTGGGGGAACACGAACCTTATACCATCCCAGGAACCCCTCCTTGCGCCATACGCGCCCCAAAATCTCGAGCGCACCGGGATGATGCGTGATGTTTTTGTGGTGGTACTCGTGTTGGTGCGGCGGCGGCTGGTGCTCCACCACCGCTTCCTCGAAGTCGGCAGAGCGCGCCTGGATGCGCACCTTCGCCATGATGTACGGATACGTCACCTGTAAGACAGAAGCAACCAGCATCAAAATAAAGTTCACAGAGACGAGCCAGAGGGAACGGAACATACCACCGTTGCGAGCGTCTTGCTGAGCGCGCCCACCACGAACGCGGTCCACGGGTTGAGCTTCGCGCCCGCCTTGCCCGACGCGCTCTCTTGCGCGAGCAGCAGGGTGCCCTTCACGCGCTCGTAGACGCCGTAGGTGATCGCGGGGTTGACGGTGAGCACGAGCCCGGGCCTGATCCCGAGCCAGAGGCCAGACACGCCCTCCTCCTCGACGATCTCGCGCGCGACGCCGAGGAACGAGTCATCGTACGTGTCCTGCTCGTCCGCGTCCTTCTTGTCCGCCTTCGTGTTCCCGTTTGCCTTCTTCGCGTCCTCGTTTGCCTTCTCCGAGTCCCCATTTGCCTTCTCCACGTCCCCATTGGTGGCCTTCGCCGCGGTGACGACGGACGACGCGCGGCGTTTCCGCGGGCGGTCGAGCGAGTGCCCGATTTGCTGCCGCGTCGCGATCACGGCGACGGGGATGGTGAAGATTTGTGCGAGCGCTCCTGCTATTGCGCCGAGGATGAGCTCCGCCGCCGTGGAGAGCGCGGGGGCCTTCGAACCCTTGGGTGACCGCGCTGCGACACGCTTGATGTACGACGTGCGGACGATGGAGTAAAAGAAGAAGTAAGCGTATTCTGCGAGAAATCGTCAGTCTGACGCTCTTGATTACGCGCATTCGCACAAATCTGCCTCAGTTGTACGACTCCGACCTGGCTGGTCGGGCAGATGGCCGAAGACCTCGGCCAACACGCAATTCAGACTGGTGGCAGCACAGCCACCGTTCGAAAACGCGCAAAATCACGGAAATGGGATAGGAGACTCACGCATGGAAAATGTGTTCAGCATCGTTGCTGCGAATCCGCTATAGTAGCCAGAGAAGCCTTCCTCCTTGTATATCCGCAGGAGAGCGGATATGACACCAAGCTTCTCATTGTCATCCTTTCTGCCGTCTGTAGAGGCCTGTATGCGTGTTTTGACTCTGGCTCCAACAGTGAGCTGCGCACCGTAGCACAACAGAACAGATACGCACATATCTAATGGATACACGACGCTGTTCACAGTTAAGACTCGCGCAGGTCGATGGACAAATACAAAACTCACGCGTTACTGAAACACCCGCCCAATGCGCCCGCCAGGGCGTACCCAAAGGGTGTAAGTTGCGTGGGCTTCGAAGACATAGTGAGGTTCGCGGGATAGATAGGAGTTCAGTCACTTCAATATAAGGCCGAGAAGATATAAATTCCTGCACACTACGGGGACGGACGAGGAGGGGGAGATAGGCAGAACAGAGACACTAGCAGAACATATGACTGAAACACACTAAGGCGGGGGGCTCTTATATCGTGCTCATGGGGTGCTTGTGCGTCGGAGTCGGGTCACACAGACCCGACGCCTGCACGTGATTTACCCCGCATTCTGTAATCCGCATTTGGAAGGTTCGTCTATTCGCCTTCAAGTTTCTCCTCTGCATGCAGAACAGCCCAAACTTCCCGCGCAACCTCGACATAAAGCCTTCCGAAGCACCCGTCGTCGGGGAGGATACACAGTCTGTTTGCATCTCCAAAAGCTCTGGCATTAACGTCGGCTCGGACGGCCGATTCGATTACGCTGCGCAGGAAAATGCAATTCGCAGATATGGCATAGCCGGCCGTGTCTGGTGAGTATCTAGTTGTCACTCACCTCTGCCCGCCTCCTAATATCGCGTCTACTCAGGGAAGCGTCGTACGCCATACTCGCCTACGTCGACCGCCCTCCCCACGGGGAAACAGATGTGGAGTTTGATCCACCGCCATTTACAAACTCGCGTTTGTCACGTCGTCTGACTGTCCTCGAACTTGGTTCCGGGACCGGGCTGGTGGCTTCCCGCATCGCAGACCGCTGCGCCCTCGAAGAACAACACCATCTCGTCGTCGCGACTGACCTGCCCGAGGTGTGCCCGCTCCTCGAGAGTAACCTCTACAGACACCAGTCGGTGCGCGTCCGGCCCCTCGCATGGGGAAATCGCGCACACACGCTCGACATCGCGTCCGATCTCGCTCTGCCCGGGACTGCCCCACCGAGTGCGGGGTCACCCCGCTACCCCACTCACATCGTCTGCAGCGATCTGGTACGTCCCCTTGCCCCCTCTGTTGTCTTCAGATCGTGCCCCTTGTTTCGCTGAGTGCGGGACAACGAGATGAGGCGAACACCGCACAGGTATACTTCCCCGCGCTACTTGCGCCGCTCCTGCGCACGCTCCTGCACCTCACATCTCCACCGTTCGTCCCTCCAGAGGGCGCGCCCGCACAGGCAGTGCTCTCGTACAGAATCCGCAGTCTCGTGAAAGAGACACCTTTCTGGTCCGCGTTTGGGCTCTGGTTCTCGTTCGCGCCAGTGTTTGTGAAGAGCGGGGAGGGATGGAGCCGCTTTGTCCCTGTAGCCGGTGACGACGAGACGTTTGTATTTGTTGCAGAGCGGAGGCCTGAGTCTCGCCGCTGGGTGGTTCCTGAAGATGATCGGGAGTTGTTGAATGGAGTCGGTGCGCGGGGAACGAATGAGGGTAAGGCGGACGATACATTTGAGACGATATTATTTATGGGGATGGGTCTAGGCAAGGACGAATAATTACTGTATGTGGCCTTCACACTCTCGGAATTGAGCACTTCGGAACCATTTTCGACAGAATCGTGTCGAGATCGAGCTAGAAGCAGAAAACAAGAACTCTACACACTTAGATACGATATTGTTGTACATGATCTGCTTATGGCGTCTCGCTGAACGCCTCGCGCCTGACCTCGGCGGCAACGAACTCTTCACATTCTACGCGGCTCTTCTGCACATCCACAAAATACAGAAATACGCAGCTCACCACGCCGCTACAAGCGCAGACCTAAGCACGGCTCATAGAGAGAAGGAGAAACGCGCGTACAGGGTGAACAAGAACACGAACGGGTAATTGTCGTTGTTGCCGGACGCGGTGATGATGGCGGAGGAGACAAAAGGTCCGATGAACGCAGATGTCTTCCCGATCTGCGGTCGATGGCGTTAGCGTACACGATGGGCCTTCATCAACATGGATAACGCACCACCGAGAACAGTGCAAAAAAAAGGAACCTGCGTGTCAAAAAGGTAAGAAAAAAAAAGGTAGAAGCGAGCGAACGCGCATTTGAGGCAGCGGAGAGACCTCGCTGATCATCGTCTGACTGTACGCATACCACGGGCACACCATCAGGCCATAGTACGCCTGATACAACCTGTGGATGCGTGAGATGTTCGCCTGCGTCAGCGTGCAGAATGGAATGCGGTACCAGATCTCCCAGACGTGCTTGAATCCGAACTTGTTGGTGTGTATACCAATGAGCCCCCACACGGTCAGGATCTGTGTACGCAACTAAAACTTTGTCTACGCAAGCTCGACCAGGGTAAAGCCTACCAAAATCCAGAACACGTTGAAGCAGAGCATCTACCCTGGGATGATTAGTCGATGCCTGACACATGCCGGGAACGGGCAGTTATAAGGGCTAACCGTTTTTGTTGATATTTGAAACTTTTTCTGAACGATCCAGAACAGACTGCCCGAGAAAGGTCAGCTCGGTGCAAACCGCTGGCAATCAGGACACAGACTAAATTCCTAGTGCTTGAGTAACAATGCCGACAATCAGGAGCAGTGTCAACTGCAGTGTCGAATACGACACAACGCTAGATCCTAGTCAGTTCGTCTATGCTGCAAGATTATGTTAGAAACATACCTGTTCTGCAGCGTGCCGATAACCGTGCTACGGTCAGATAGATAAGCTCAACGGCTTCGCCAACGCACGCTTTTACTTACACTGAAGTGTTCAGAACGTCTCCCTTGCGCGCGTGGTCAGTTCGATTCACACCAAGGTCATCGACAAAGAACACGTACATCAAGAAGTAGAAAATGAGATATAGGAATGTTTGCTTAAGCCTCAGACATTCCTTAAACGCTACATATGTCTGCTTGAACCCCACTGTCAGTAAAGACGACCCACGGGGCAGCGCCAGTCCCGGTCGGCGTCTCTCGAGGAAGAACCATGGCAAGGCGCAGAGAACTAGACGATGCGCATGAATGAGTTGATCCGCCCGCTAATGACGAATAATATTGCGCACGCCAGACGGCACCCGAGAAGGCGATTAGGACACTGAATGCTTTCGTGTTGTTTTCAGTGCTCGCACTGGAATGCAGCCCTTCAAGTATGCCGACCATCACGACCAGGATCAGGATCTCGCCCACAGAGCTTACGGCGAAGGAGACGTTAGAGATGCGATTCCGAGAGATCGATTCGAACTGAGCATGATCTTCGCGCCTGAACAGTTGCGTTCATATCAGAGATAGAGCGAGTGCTATGAAAACACTACAGACAGTTTCGTGCCCTCTGCTGCGTGCAGTGCAGACTCCTTGACCTCAGGCAGATCGCGAGCGAGTCCGGGAAAGGCGGCTGTCCAAAATGTTAGAGCACACTAACACAGGAATCAGACACTTCCGAGGGAAACGATATCATCATCGATTTACCTGATAAGTGATCACTGCAAGTAATATCGTCAGTAGGCACTCAAGCTGGATGGGAAAAGACATGTTGATACAGTTCGTCTATGATGACACCTACATCCGAGAATGTACAATGCGACGCCTGCTTGCCACTTCGACGGATCTTCAACTCCGAGCCATGCAAAGGACACAGCGATGGCCACTATAGTGAAGAAAATCGTTATATTGGGTCTGCCATACGAGGTCAATACAAGTGGAAGGACGATGTGCAGTAGGTACGCAGACCTCCACTGGCCGTAATCCGCCCAGGCTCCTATAAGGAGGAGTACTACTGCCTGTACCGCAAAGCTTATGCCGTTCGTGAGCAGGACAATTGAGTTTACTACAACGATTTGTCCATGTTAGCCATGCTCCCCGGCCTGAGACAGTACGGGTTCCTACTGTCGCGGACGCGGCCGAGGTACGGAAGAACACATTGCGTATCGCTCCCACAAGGTGACGTGAACGGAGGTTGGCTTGGGTCGTATCCCGCGAGGTAAAGCAAGTTTTGAAACTGGGACGGTCCGAAGTTGAAACCTGAGAGTCCGTTGTTTCCCTGACTAAATATTCAGAAGCAAGAAGGCTGTGAGAAACGCGTACGCACGATGTAATAAACATAAAACGCCCACAGCTCGAGGCGAGTTGTAATGAAACCAGTCTTGTCGCTACGCAAACTGGCAGAGTCAACTTCCACCGGGACGTCCAGCTGTTTGACGTCCTCCTGTGACTTTTCCAGGGTGTTTTCCGACATTGCGCGAGTGCTCTGGAAGAGATAGGCTCGACGATACGGTCATGACGCCTGCGCTATCGCTTCTCGTTCTTCTCGACATGGTGATGGCGCCTGTCAAGAATTGAAATAAGCCGGATTTCCAACTCAATTATTTGTGCTAAGGCAAACAAGTTGCCTAACATATTTAAGTAAAATGGATGGGGAATCCCGAGGCCGTCCGACACGATGTCACCAGCACTTTAAAATATCTTCGTACTCAATACCAGCAGCGGTGACCACGCTTCAACACTCAGCGTGTTCACATGTATCGTGCGCTGTCTGTTCCGAAGGGGGTAGGGACGTCTGTCGCGCGGGGCGCTGTTAGGGTAGTCCGTCGGGTAAGTTCTGTCTCCCTTACGTGCTCTACGTGTGTCCCGACCAGCATGTTTACAGCGGCTGGCCACGGAAACTCCAGCAGCAGCGCCCAAGAAGAGGAAGAACGTCTTCCGCCGGATAGTGTTTTTCACTGCGGCTGGTACGGCGACTTTCTACGCGGGCGGCGCGTTCATCGCGGTTAAATTCCCGCCTTACGGTGACATCTTCGTGCAAAACGTCCCCGGAGCTGCCACCGCTGTCCAGTATGCAGAAGACCATAACTGGGACACTCTAACAGTGCAGAAGACTCTCGATTTTGGGCTGAACGCGTTTGATTACGCTCGGGGCCTCGTCACAGGTGAACGCCATGGTGAGAGGACACCCACGGCTCTGGAGAAGACACGGGAAGCAATGGAGATGACGAAGGATGTCGCCGTCAAGACAAAAGAGGCTGCCATTCGCGTTGCACAGGTCTCCAAGTCCTCAGCGACTGACTTGATCCAGGAGTCGAAGGACAGAATTAAATCGGTCACGAGCGGACTGAAGACTTCGGTGGAGAGGAACGAGGCTGAGATCTCCAAGAAGAGCGCGAAGGCGGCAGCCATTGCGCGTAGTCAGTCCGCGGAGTTCTCAGAAGGTGTAGAGGACCTAGTGCAACGCGCAGAAGCTGCGCTTGCTGACAAGCCCGCTGATACGGTCCCTCCAGAGGTTATTACTACTCCCACTGAGCCCACTGTGGTTCCTGAAACTGTCCCCGCTCCCGCCAACGGACCAGAGGAAGTTACAGTACGCAACGTCTATAATATCCCTCTACCCATTGGTTTCGAGCCACCACCCGGCTACTCGCGTCCTACACCTTCGAAACCCACCCCTGTAGCGTCTGAATTCGTACCGGCGGAGCAGTCGGTACTTGAACCATTGCCCCTTGTCGCTCCCGTTGTTGCCGAATTCAGCGCGTCGGAACCATTTATCGCGCAGCTTGCCACCGTTATCGACGACCTCGCGTCATACCTTAATGCCAACCCTACCGCGGCGGACAAGGCCCGGGATATCCTTGACACAGCAAAGGTGGACCTGACGGGTCTTGCGAGCCGTATTGAGCAAGTGAAAGAACAAGAGCGCGCTAAGCTCGAAGCGACATTGGACGAGCAGACTCGCGACTACACAATCAAGCTGCTGCAGCTGGAGATGGAGGCTCAGGATAAGCTGGACAACCAGGAGAATGACTTTAGGAAGTACTTCGAAGAGGAGAAGGCTAAGTTCGTTCATGCATACCGGGAGAAGCTCAACCATGAGCTTCAAACACAGAGCGAGATCATCAATGAACGGTAAGTGAGCGCGTCTTTCCGAAGGTGTGCGCTAATTGAACCCGTCCTAGCCTCAAAGAGGAAGTCATCGCTCAGGGCATCGAGATGCAGCGTCGGTGGATCCGCGAGATCAAGGTGCGCGTCGAACAGGAGCGCGGTGGCCGCTTAGCCAAGCTCGACGAGCTCGCGAGCAACTTGAAGCGCCTTGAGCGCATCGCGGTCGACAACTCTGCGTACCTCGACGAGAACATCCGGATACACGCGCTCTGGTCTGCCCTGCGTGCGTTGAACAGCAGCGTCGACGCTCCCGTGCGGAAGCCCTTCCGCGAGGAGCTGCGCGTCCTCCGCCATATCGCCGCGGCGCGCGAGGACCCCATCGTCTCGTCAGTGCTGGAAATGTTGGAGGCCTCGGACGTTCCGGACGTCGGCGTGGAGCCCTTCGCCGACCTCGCATCGTGGTTCTCAACATCTGTATCACCGCGCGTCTCCAGCGTCGCTCTTGTGCCGGACGAGAACGCCGGTGTGCTTTCGCACCTGGCATCGCACCTGTTTTCGACGTTCCAGTTCCCGCGTCATGGCCTCGTACCTGGGAGCGACGTGCTCAGCGTACTTGCACGGGCTGAGTACCACATGAACGAGAAGGACCTGGACAGTGCGGCGCGTGAGCTCAATCAGCTCAAGGGCACAGCGAAGGTTCTGCTGACCGACTGGCTCGATGCTGCTCGCAAGAGGCTAGAGGTCCTGCAGGCATTGGAGGTATGTTCGATTATCTTAATCTATCTTGAACCCTTTTTTTTCAACCTTATTCTATCTCACAGGTTGTTCAGGCGCAGGCGACGCTTGCTTCGCTCCTGGTTGCCCATGAATAAAATCTATCAGTTGTTAGACGCGCTACATGGGACACATAATTACTGCTTATTGGCGTGAACGCAAGACCCAACCACCCAACACATTCAAATTTGATGAGTTGCTCCAGATGCCAAGCTTGTTGTGCAGCCGGATGCCCTGCAAGCTGGGTGCACTTGCACAGTGGCCAACTATTCTAGTGTCTCAAGCAACCAGAGACATAGTCAAGACAGATTGCTCAATACAGATTGCTCTCGCTTCGTTCAGATGTTCGTGCAACTTGCAGTGGACGAACAAATATGATACGATGGTACAATGATAGAATTCTCCGGGTTCTAGATCTACGAAATCCACAACACCGCTGAACATTCTGCCAGTACGATTAATGGACGCCGTATGACGAAAGTCCGGGTGACATAGATGGCGATACAGCGAGACGGCATAACTACGAAATCAGAAAATTGCATCCACAATACCACCGCCGATAGCAGCACCTGCATAGCACGTCAGAGCCAGAACTGGTGCCAGCAAACACCGGGTATGCGTACCTGCTCCGAAACCAACACCTCCAGCGGCTGCGTTGGCCATCTAACACAAACTCCATATCAACAATGCCTCCATGGAATGGGCCAATGCGACATACCGTGTTTCCCAGCCTGCCGAACCTGTGTTTCTTGGGCTGCTCGGGAGGGGCAGCAGTCTGTACGATAACGGGCGGTGGAGGTGTCTGCTGCATCATAGGCTGCGGTGGTGGTGGCGGGTATCCCCCATAGGTAGGTGCATAGCTAGCCTTCTCGGGCATGTACGGCGTGTACGGCTGGGGCTGCATTGGGGACTGCATGGACATGGGCGCCATGGGCATACCCATGAGCGCCGGGGGCGGAGGTGAAGAGTGTGTAGTGAGCTTCTCCACGTGGTTGGAAGGGAAGAGTCCTTGGCGACCCCTGCATTTGCCAGTCCACCAGTCCGTGTTTGTTTCATCGAGGATCTCGACGATTTCATCAGCAGAGAATGACAGGTCGTTCGGCTCCTGCATGGATAGATGGGTCGTTCGTTAATAATGGAAACATATAATTGACCATACCTGTCCATCCTCGTTGTATGCCCACAATGCCTTGGCCCGCTGTACGCGAGGGGATGGAGCGGGAGGTGGAGGGATGCGACGTCCAGTGAGCGCGACGGGTATGGCTTCGGGAGGAGGCGTCCGGATAGCCATATTCTTCACACCGTTGACAAGGCCATCGGCCTTCTTGGCGTCGGGTAGGCGGGAGACAATGTCAGCAGCATCGGCAGCAGAGATATAGTCGTGCGATACGAGAAAAGAGACGTCCCGCTGGACCTGGGAGACAACGTGAGCAAGGAGGGCAGCTGCTTGCGGGTCGGACGGCGTCGACATGATGGTGAAAGCGAGGGTAAATAATATGAGACTGTCAAGTTGTCAGTGAGATGAGCGAGCTGAGTGCGGTGCCTGCGCAGCGCGGACGAGGCCGGTACGCAATTACCTAAGAAAATCCGTCCAGATATGGCTATCGTTTAGGTTCAGTACTTATGATCATAAACGACGACCATCGCCCGACAGTGAGAAGTCTGCGCGTTACAGCTACACCGTATTCACACCGTATTATTGTGCGGCGAGTGCGTTTCTGAAATTCGTGCATTTCAACTCACCATCTTCTGTTTGACACATCTACCGCTTTATAATTAACTAGACTGACCCAATCCGAGGCTCGGATCAGTTTTTCAAACTCTCCTTCCCGTTACCCATCAGGTGTGTTAGTACTCGCTGAGAAGCCTCTTTGGGACGAACACAGTATCGCGGCACCCATTGTATAGCGCTTTCTGTATCGCAACAGCCTTTTTCCCCGCACCTTGTACTCAGGTGAAGTGGCCATATCGTCGCATCCTTTCGACTCTAATAGTTGGTCTCTGGTCGTATTCCAGCCTTTCAGATGCAGTCATTGCTGTTCGCAAATATTCGGGCTATCCCTCGCGTTACCGTCTCTGCCGCCATTCTGGTGGCCTCCGCGCTGGCCTTTCTGAGAGTGGCTGATAACTGGCTCAGTCTGGAGGAAGACTTCAAGGTCACGAAAGGAGCGCTGAACCACGCCGTCCATGCCCTAGACAGTTTGAAGCAGGAAGACCGCGAGATTATCCAGACTCGTCGTCCAGACCGGCTTGCTCGCCTAGAACATCTGCAGACGAAGCTAGAGGAGTACGTCGCGTCTTGTTCTCTGATTTGCTGATGAAGAGAGTGAGCAGTGCCATTGTTCAGGCTACAGCGGGACGTTCGAACACTCGAGACAAACATGACATTGGCTGCCGTCTGGGAGCAATATCTGGTTCGCCACGACGTGATCCAGCAACTGAAGACCATCACATGTTTGGCTCGAGCTTTCGACATGGAATTATTGGTCAGAGTCGTATCCTAGCCGAGGATCTTTGGTTACTGACGACGACGATGATATGAAGGGTCTCCTCAGTAGATGTAGAAAGTTGGAGCAAGCCGGTGTAAAGCAAATAGATTAAAAAAGCACGCCTCCTCGTCGTTTTGAGCGCAAGAGTGGCCGCATGCGCGTGGTTGATCTTCGTCTTTGTATAATATAATAGCATATGGAACCAAGGGGGAGTGGTCTATGTACGCTGAAAACAACAGAGGAAGATGTTATATATGGGAGTGCTGCATGATTCACGGGATTGACTCAAGTTAGCCGGGACTAGTAGTTGTACTACAATGTTCACTGGGAACGATAGCGCTCGCTGCAACCACCACGCGCGGCCCGCTTCTTAGATCCAGTCTTCCTGGTGCCTTTGTACGCATCGCCATCGCGGTATCTGCTGGCTCTGCCCGTGTCCATCGTCCTCATTTAGTACATCTGAGAGCAAGGTGAGTGGACAGAGGTCGTTCATGACATCCGCGTACTAGTATTTCATGATCATGGATCTTGATCGCATGTTTAGCCGTATCAATGCTGGCCTCGCAGTCATTGTTCTGGATGGGCGCGAGAGCTATTCCGCGAGCCACGATGGTGGCCGGTGCTGTAGTGGCTTCATCGATCGTAATATGGAGCTTGACGAGCAGCTGGTTTCTCCTGGAGAAAGAATTCAAAAAAACGCGCGAAGCCCTCGCTCGCTCCATCCGCGCTATAGATGGCATCAAGCCAGAGGATCGCCAAATTATTCGAAAACGCTCCCCAAATGAGTTCGACGAGCTGGAGCGCTTGCATTCGAATTTGAAAGAGTACGTCCCAGTCTCTTTCCCAAAGGAATGAAAGTCGATTTTCTCATAGGCAATTGGAGAAACTCCAAAAACTCGAACAGCTCATGGTGTCGGTTGGACCCTTAAGCCTGTATCGTGTGCGGTTCCTTGTGTCCACACAACTCGATACCATTGTGATGTTGACCAAATGCGCCGACATACTGTTACTGGTCAGGATCCTTCTGTGAGACTTTGCGTTTTGCTGGGTCGCTGATGCCTTCGCTTGAAGTCATTAATCAAAGAATGCCGGGCAGACGAACAACCCGTAGCCAAATCTGACGCAACCAACCGCTCAGCTAATAGCGAGTCCGAGTCACCAGGTCTTGCAGAAGACAAAGGGAAGGCTTGAAACTTATCGATATTCACGACCTACAGCATACAGCATTTAGACACCGTGTATCATGATATTTCACCTGGTCGGAGTTCGTGAATCAAGTGTATGGCGCCGAGCCATTGCACTAGGATTACGTCTAAACCTCTTCAGACGTACATGCGTTGGAGGTGCTGCAGCCGCGAGAGCGGCGGCGCGGCGGCCATCATGCATACTTGGGGTGTCCGTAAGTATATGCACCCTAAGCCGAGATCGTGACTTCAACCTCCACACCAGGCTCCAAGCTGATGCTCGTCTGCAGTAGCCGAGGTTAGAGTGGGTATAGGAAGCTTATGCTTTGAACTCACGATCTGTTTCACAATTTCGCTGGAGGAGTGAAGGTCAATCAGGCGCTTGTGGATCTTCAGCTCGTATCTGTCCCAGGTCTTGGAGCCTTCACCGCAAGGCTAGCAATATGCCAATACTCAATACGACATGCTAGGAAGATACAACGTGGATATACTCACAGTCTTACGGGTGGTGATCTTAAGGACCTTGGTGGGTAAGCGGACGGGGCCCTTCACACGGAGCTGCTTGTCCTTCGCCCTGTTAATCAAGTCCGTAGAGACTATAATACCGCAGAATAATCAAGAAAAATTCCTTGAACCATCGAAAGTAGCCACTCACACTTCTCTAAGTTCTTGACATTACTGCTCGTGAGCGTAATGCGGATCTTGTGGACCTTGGCGGCGGGGACGGGGGCGCCAGTGGCATCGTATTCCTTGTCGGCCTTAGCGACGTAACTCATCCTGGTCTTGCTGGTGAGACAGAGGTGACTGAAAGGTCGGTGTTGATTAAGGAGAAAAATAGAGTTCAAGCATCTTAACCATGCTCGGGAACAGCCGACAACCTCCCGATCCGGGTTTTGCTGGAATCTTGCTGAGATCTCTCTCTCTCATTGACAAACCTTGGAGCTCGCCGCCGGATGCAACGAACGCGGATGCTTCAATGATGCTCTCGACGTTCGCGAGCTTTCTTGCCCCGCTCCTCGCTGCTTTCATTCGCGATGAGCACTCGGTAGCATTGACCCCTCCACCTTCATTGCAGTTCGAGTTACGGCACCTGCATGCGGTGTCTCCAGAAGGACGAGTCGCCGTGCGCGATGTGCACCATACCAGCTTAATGGCGAGCGGATACACTCCCCACACCGTCCAGACACAAATTACGAAATCTGTTCGTCCGTCATCGTTTGCTGCATTCTCGCGCGCACGCGCAAGGTCCATACAATACCGTGAGAGCGAGTCAATAGACTGGGACGAAGAGGAGGTGCTTGCTCCAGATGTACAGAGCCGGCTAACCTTGCTTGAGTTGGCCAAGATGACGAACAACGCATATCTGACAGAACCAGGAGACTCGGGGTGGTATAATCTTAGTGGAGCATGGAATACTGTGAGTATTTAGATTGATGCAAGTCGATGATCATGCCCAGGACGAATCTTCTTCATGTCCCTGTAATTGTTCATTTAATCTTTAGAATGTCATCTGATTGTCCTTGGGCAGAGTTATCCCTTCGGCTGGGAGCCCGACACAGACGGGTTTCGCGGGCAAATATTCGCAACGGAAGATAACTCCACCGTCGTAGTGTCCATTAAGGGCACGTCAGCGGCTTTCGTTGGCGGTGGTGGTACGACGACGAAGAAGGACAAGTTCAACGATAATTTACTCTTTAGTTGCTGCTGTGCGCGCATCGACTGGACTTGGACGACAGTGTGCGATTGCTACCGCGGCGGTTGGAAGTGTGATCAGGATTGTCTGGAGACAGCACTGATCGAGGACAGCTTGTTCTATTCTGCCGGCATTGTGAGCTCACTTGTTGCGGTCGTTCACCTGTTGACTGACTGCTGCGAGTTGATCGCAGAATCTGTACAATAATTTGACGTATCTATACCCCGAAGCAAATGTGTGGGCTGTCGGGCATTCGTTGGGTGGTGCACTAGCATCTCTCCTTGGAGTCACGTTTGGTGTACCGGCGGTGGCCTTCGAATCTCCTGGCGAGAAGATGGCTGCCAGGCGGCTGCATTTGCCTTCTCCTGTCCGTCGCATTCACTTGTCTTGCGGGGCCATGGTTATCCATGTCGTCTCTGAAGTCTCGTGGAAGACTGCAGAGAAAACATGTACGGCCGTGGCACTCGGGACTTACTGGATCCGAATTCTGACATCATTCTTTCACGCAGCCTTCTGTGCAGCCCATTGTGCACGTCTATCACACGGCGGACCCGATTGCAATGGGGATATGTAACGGTATACTGTCGAGTTGTGCGTTGGGAGGGTATGCCTTGGAGAGTCGGTCAGTGGAAGCACAATTCCTCAGCATCAACGTGTTCATTCATAGACGTAGATGTCACCTTGGTCAATCAATCGTGTACGATACCGTCTCGAACTTGTCCTGGTCCGTGGACATTCGCACACATGGGATCGTCAACGTCATCGACAATGTGCTCTCGAAACCGTGGGGACCGAGCGTATTGGCCGGTAGAGAAGTTCCTGAACTTGCTCCAGAGGAGGAATGTGTGGTGAGTGAGCATGCACACTCGTCGCTGCTGCGTTCGGGATTGCGCGTAACGTTGGTTCAGTCCTGATATGATGGCTCGCAGGAATGCTTCAGCTGGGAGTTCGGCGACTTTCCTCCCTCGGCTCGCCTGCAGGATATGTCTCAAGGGGTGGACCTACCAGGTTCCGACGAGCTTCGGGTATGTAATGCTGTCAGTGCAGAAGCTATTATGAAGTCAACACGATATCACGGCGATGTATCATAAATCCTCCAACGTGCCTGTATACTACATCCATATTATAACAACAGTAGCTGCTCGGGACAGGCAATGGATCACGATTGGGCAACCTGAATTCTCAGCTCATTAATCATCGCATTCCTTCCGTCCTTATGGAATGCTTGGGATGAAATTTGACTTCTGGACGCCCGCATCTCGAAAGAAAAGAAAGAAAATCGATTGACAAATCCGTAGCGACTGAACCAGAGCGCGTTACAATACGGAGAGAACTCTATGTACACGATGGACGAAGTGCGAGAGAAAACAAATGTGAGTGATAATGGTACACGAATACTGATCATGATGCTTGCTATACAATGGAATCGACATCTACGGTCTATGGAATCTCGGAAAGCTCGATGAACGACGAAGTCCGCTGGCAACTGATTATACGCGCACGCGCACTGAATTACGTTAGACGCGAAAGGACCGTAGATGGGAATCCATGGGCGCACGAGGGGTGGTGCTCAGTACGCGAGAGGGGCGGTGGGCCCGGAGGCGAGTGAGGGTAGCTGGAGGTTCTCCATCGCGAGACCGAGCGGGTCTGAAATGCTGGCAGAGTACTGCTGCGAGGTCATGGGTTGGGAGAGGACGTGGCCGAACACGACCTCAGGGCTCGTGCAAGTAGAGACGGCGCGGCGCATGCCCGTAGAAAGGAATGATAAGCCAACTTGGTAGGCAGCTGGACAAATGTGTGAGCATGCTTGGCATAGGCCACGCCAGTCGTGCGAGACACGAACCGTTCATCCATCCGAATCCTTCCCTGGGCACCATCTTGAAATCAACGCCTTGGTTGCCGTACTCAGCGTCGACGAGATGCGACAGCCTGACAGCGTCGAACTAGTAAGAGTAAAGTCTCAGGAATCATTGCAGTGACGTAGATTACTGGGACCCACCTTTTCAGGGACGACTCCATTGAAGTCGACAAACGCAGTGGTCATCCTAGGCAACGTTCATGAGCACGTGCTCACCGTGCACGAAGATGTCACATACATGTACAGGAACCTGTACGCCAGTCTCTGCGCGTCCTCCAGGTAGCCATAACGTTCAAGACCGACCCAGGTCATGATCTGGTGTGGAGGCCTAGGAGGATGCAAATTAATTAGCAGAGAAATGGGACATCAAGACGAAAGACCGACCATGCATAACTGCAGAAATGCGGAGACATCAGAACTGACGATTCATCCACACAGGGAGCAACTCACGGGTAGTCCCATTGTCGGTTCGGACGATCTAGAGAGATCTTCCCCCGGGATTCCTCCGTCCCCGACACCAAACCGCCCAAGACCTCGAACTTCTTCAGAGAGTTCGAGCTATCGTGATCGGGTCAGTAGTAGAAGGAAAGACCACTGGGAAGGCAGAACATACATCAGCTTCCAACATTGCTCCTCGCTCGCACACCCAGCCCAGAGTGTCCAGAATGCAGTGACACTTTCGTATAAGATTTGCTTCTCCTGGACAGTGTCGTAGTCGAAGTATAAGCTCTTGCTCTCGTTCCAGCAGTACTTGTCAATCATCCGCTTCCTGAACTCCGCACGCTCGAACCAAATCGCACTTGATTGCGGCTTCGTCTTCGAGCTCTCACGATGGGGATTCGCGTAAGACTCCACGGACGGCGGGAAGGGCGCCAGCGAGAAGTCTTCCTCGAGTTCGAGCTCGTCATCGAAGACCTCGCGGATAGCAGTCCCGATGTCGACCTCGTACTTGTATAGCAGCGCCTGGAGGTCGATCGTCCCAAGGTTCGCGCAGCGCTTCTCAAAGCGGTACGTTGTATCGTGGCCGGACTCACGCACGGCGCGGTCGTGCAGGAAGTACTCGTCGAGCTCGGGCTCTTTGATGGTCCCGTCGGTGTAGCGCTCGCTGAACTCGAGCACGGACAGCCCGTGCTTGGCTGCGTACGGCTCGAGGATGTGCGTGAAGTGTGTTGCTTCCGTCTCCGGCGGGATGCCGAGCCCGTCGGGGCGATACCGCGAGAGGCCCGTCTTCGGGTCCATGCGCGGCTCCGCCACCCACACTGTGTGATACTCCTTGACCGCCGCCTGGATCGCGCGCTTCAGCCACGCGCGGTTGGCATCGACGTCAGAGCGGTCAAGCTGGTTGTAGATCTGCAGCGCCATGTCCGTCAGGAAAGGCGGCTGCGTACGGCAGAGGTAGTAGCTGCGGCTCCCGTTCAGGATCTTGCCGTAGTGTCTGATCTCGAAGATGAAGTGGTCGACCATCCCCTTGGCCATCTTCGTGTACCCGTCGACGAGCAGGCCAAGGGAGATGAAGTACGAGTCCCAGTTGTACAGCTGGAAAAGGCAGCGAGTTAACGCCTCGTGCAAGGTAGCAGCCGGGTGCCAAGCTCACCTCATTGAAGCGGGCACCCGGGACGATGAACGGGATGCCCTTGAGCGTTTTCCCACCTCTACCAGTATCAACCTCATTCATGGCAAGAGCTAAAATGCCAGGCTTCGTATTCAAACTCTTCACGAACCTCGGATCGTCAGGCTTCGGCGGAAGAACCTGGACGTCGAGGTTTAGATGCGGCTTCTCCCGCGCGACCCTTCTGTAGTACTCTGCCATAGCAGGTTCACCGTGTGGTACATATATGCGCGGGTTCACACGCCCTGTGCGGTTCTTCGGGTCTGCGCAAATGATCTCAAGACCGTCACCGTCGATGCGGCGGGTGAGGGAGTGCCAGAACGAGTTCTTGATCATGCGGGACAGACGGTCGACCGGATTCTCGGTCAGACGTGCCTCGTCGAGCACGATACGCTTTCTGTTGTGATCTCTGGCGAGAGCGAGTTCTTGCAATAGGTTCGACAGCATGTAGTTTCCCTAGAAGACGCAACAGTAAACCAACGACGTGCTTAGCAACTTGGTGGATGGAAGGAGCGCGACGTACTCGAATATCGAAGCTTTTGAACCCATTGCTGGTAGCGGTACCGAGAGCCATGAGCTTCGGACCAGCGTCTGTGATACTGATCTGGAAGTCGCCATCGGTATCCTCTTGCTCAAGAACTACACGGATGGTCTCCTCTACGTCGATGAGGAAACGCCTGGGGCCTGTGCCCTTCTCGTCATGAGACATCCGCCGTGAGCGCATGTACGACTCGTCTTGGAAGGTAGGCATGCGCTTTGGGTTGTACCCATGGGCGAACGACTGCAGCAGGTTGATCAGCTGGGCCGCATTTGAACGAGACACGAACGTACGGCACTATATGTTCTGGAGCGACTGAACTTCTCCTGGCCACCGTAGTAGGTCGCGGCGTCACTGTTGACGTCCGGACGGTGCTGCTCTTCGATGAAGTTCACGCCGGTTGGATGGATCAACACTGGAGCCATGATAGGTACGACAGAGATGGAGTGGGCAGCGAAAAGTAGATAAACAAGGAGAGCAGGACGGGGAGTAACGGATACAAAGTAATGAGTGTTCTGGCGTTCCGAAAAAGCGAACCTATTAGCCAGTCCGAACCGGGCGGTGGTAGGTGCGAGAAGAATATAGCGGGATTATATGAATATTGTCGAGAGGACGATAATGACGACAGCTGACAAAAGAAAAAGGGGACGAGACGAGTGGAGTGCAGGAAGTGTATTGCCGACGCCTACGAGACGGCGCGTGAACTTGAACGGACTCGGAATGAGAGCGTACAGCTGTTTCCCCGGGCCACGCCTCTCTCTCTCTTTTCTGTCTTTCTCACTGGGTGCAACAGAGAGAACAAACCCGCACGGTCGCCACCTGATGCTCGTCTTTATATCCCAGCGTCGGCGTCTGCTTTCCCCACACGGATCTCAGGTCCTGACACTCGCTTCTCACACTTGAATTATGCGATGAACAAGCGGTGGGCTTTACATCTCACTAGGCCCAACCTGGACATTGTATAGTCCCATACAATATTCCCCACAACCCCACAAATCTCTGGAGGTGTCTGACCTTTATTTTCTCCACATCTGACCCGAGTATGCCACCGATCATGCCATGGCCCGCTCAACTCGCTGACAACGCGCTATTCGCTGATCATGATGACAACGCGCTGTCCTCCGTCGTCGTACTTACGCTCGCGTGCAACTGGGCAGTCTCCAACGGGAGATGCGAACGTCAGGCAAGTTCGGTCCGCCGAACCTCCCATGCATGAAACTCTGACATGCGGCGCCAGGGACTTGCATCTGTCCGTCGCTCACTCGCAGGCGCGTTCATCTCGAGGCCACGCTCTTCCTGCACACCGTGACGTGTCATCGTCCACTCTATCACGCCTAACGTGATGTTTCTAGGAGTTCTATTCATCGGAAGTGGGGTTTCTCCGTCGAGCAGTGTCGGCCTCCGCGGTATGGCCTGCTGTTCTCCAGACACAAGGTACAAACGCTTCCCTTGCCCTGTTGCAATACTATATCGAAGACTTCTCTAGACCTGTACCTCGGAGCGGGCGTCAGGCATGTTCGAACGACTCTGAACGATGCTGGCTCGTTCGATTGAGATGTCACCGAAGAACAGGCTAACCCTGGGTTTCTGAGATCCGAGGTGCTCGCTGACACTTCCGGTACTTCTTGATGCGGCCGCTGATAGTCAGCACGTCTATGACCGTTTTGGGATCTGTCCAGGAGATTTGCTGGTGTTGGTCCGACTGGCTGCCGGTCGTTGCTTGCTTATAGCGCCCGCGAGGGCTGTGGATTACTCAGTTCGCAGTTTCTAGCAAAAGAGGTCTTCGCGGGTTTTCGACTCTCTCAGCCAATCCCCCGTTCTTGATGACCACTGACCGCCAGAGCGTCTCGTAATGTGCCTAGGAGGCACATATTCAAATGCCGACGCGCAGGCGACATACTTGTCGTAACTCAGTTCGAGTAGCAGCTCAGATCTGGCGATTACTTAGCCATACTGAGCGGTAGGCCAGACGCGGAGGTCTCCCCTTTCTATGCTGGGCTTCATGCTGTGCGGGAGGTTCGCGATTCTGTCAAACTTTTGGAGATATGTTACGCGTGTGTTACCTTGTATGCCTGCTCTCTGATCCCTCCTTGACTCACAATTTCATTCTGACGTCTGACCTGGATGCACCAACCCTTGTATCGTCGGAGTAACCCAGCTTTCTGTACGTGAAGGGAAATTTTCCTTGCTTTTGTCAATGAATTGCTTCATCCTGATCGGTCGCTTCCTTGTCTCGTCTACCGGTGCGAATTTACGTGCAGCAGTCTGAGTATGCAGTTCAAGGTGCCAATGGCCGCAGCTTGTTGCGACCCCGGTGCGTCATTAACGAGTCGTGGCCATGCGATTGACCGATTTGACATCATCCATCTTGCAGTAAGAAGATCGTGAAAGTCGCGATCGGTATCGTGTCGTCCATCGTGCGCGTGCTTTTGCTTGCCGACGGGTACGCATCGCGAACGGGCGAACGCTGCGACGAATGTGTCGCTATCTCTAGCCGTGCGCCAAATGCTCTCACCCTGACACCGCGACTCTGGATGATTCGCCAAAGCATGTATTGGTCAATCGCATTGGTATCGACGTCTCCAGTTATGTTCTCTGCACTTATCTTGACGTCAAGACCAGCTCAAGGCGCGCCCCTCCTCTGCGGCTATAGCACTCGCCTCGTCGACCAGGGAACGTTCTCCATGTCGGAGGTTAGATAGAACGTTCGTTGGTGTGCGTACACATCCACTCAATATGACGAAATCCAATGCACGTCGATCCAGAATGGTGATTTACGGCAGTCACCTGCACATATCGAAACGCTCAGTATTCATTTCGTCAGAACAAATACGTCCCATGACAGCGTCTGACGCGCGCAATATGGGCGGCGCCGTTGTCTCCGCTCAATGATCCGCCGCATCCACCTACCCCCTGCGGATTCGAATTCCCCAAAATGTGCCCGGTAACGTTTCTCGTGGCGTTATGACCAAAGACAGCGGCCGCGACGTACACTACACATGGCACCGCCACTGTCGCCCGGAGGCCAAGTGGAAGTGGAAGTGGAAGTGGAAGTGGAAGTGGAAGCCAGACTACGAGCCAGCGTTTTTCGGCTGCGGGAAAGAACCGAGTGAGCGCCAGGAATACTCAATGCGAGGGAGTAGGCAATCAACGAACCTTGTCGTACCTCGTGTCCGCCTTACGAACCGCAGACACTACCATATGTGGGCAGCTGCACTTCAGAAGCTCCTGGGCTTGATTTCGTAAATACTGCACCTCAAAAAACGCATTTCGTTCGTACAGAGGCATGTTGGAAGCGACGGTGCGTGACAAAAGTCGCGCGAGCTGTCACTAACACTCTATCAAGAAAGTGGCCCTGTCACGGCGCGTTTGACACTCAGAACGCGATTCGTCTCCTCAAGGCCATCCCTTTTGTTCTAGTCATCACAGGTCTGTATGCCCCTTGGTCAAAGCAGTCATCCGTTGGTCTCCAGCAGATGGCAAAAGTCTCATGCTTCCCGTCAACACTGTGTTAGTATCCGGGACACTCGCCGGGCCGTAACACATACGTGCCATTATCAAGTACTGTCTTCAAAGTTCTGAACTTTAAGTTAAAGGACGGTCGTGACTCGTTGGAGATCAAGCAGTGAGTCCTCTGCACCGACACATAAGACTTTTGATCTAGGACTCAAGACTACACAAGATGTATGGTCGACACCTTGTGGCTCGTATTTCCCCAACCAAGCGGGTTGAAGTCGGGTTCATAGCGCGTTCTTCTTCTTCTCTCTCACGGGCTCATGATTTGACTGACCTCCTCGCTCGGCTTGCTGTGCAGTAACATTGAGTTTTTCCCGAATATTCACATCACTCGGGATCCCGTGATCTGCATCTGCCATAATGCCTTCACCACCACTACCACCACCACCGTTACTGTTACTGTTACCGCGCCGACACTACAGTCTGTTCACAGTGGCAATCCTGCCGTGACTTGTCCCGCTCATGGTGGGGTTCGACGCAGGGACTGCCGGTGCCAGAAAATATTAAAACCACATCAGCCCCTATTATTCGACATTTTGACATTCACTATCTGATGCTTTTGCTTTATTCTTTTCTCTTCCTCAGTGCACTGTCAACTCGGTGCCATGTCCTCTGCATCCAGGAGGCTCTGTCTCAATAGGGGCTCCGACTGATACACACCATTCTCGTGCAATGCCTCTCAGTGCCGTTCTCTCCTCCCCTGTTGATTTTTCATCATTCAACTTTCCATCAACCCCAGTTGCATTGGAAGCAATTACCTTCATAAGCCCTCTTGCAGTACGACATCATCTGTTGTGCACCTTGATAGGTGACCATCTGATGACTGGCCATCATTGGGAGGACATGGATCATGGATCATGAAGGATTGAAGTTGGAACCAGTGAGTTTGCGAGGGCTGCATTTGTATTCATGCGATTTGTGCCGTGGATGACTGGGAAGAATGATGGACTTCATGGCTGCAGGACTTCGGAATGCTTACAGGTACTTCAAGGAGAACAGGTGCATAGTGAGCTTCAGCAGAGCTGCAGAAGGACTTTACTATTGCATTACTTTACTTTACTTTACTTTACCATACATACTTTAGCTGTAGCTGACGAGGTGCCTTTCTGTACCTGAGCCACGTAGTTGACGTAGTCAGCTAATTTCATACGTTTCCACATTTCCACGGGTATAGTTCCCGCACCGATCGCAGAGTGGCTGCCACATGCAGGATCCTTGATGCTCGTACAAGAAATGCAAGTTCTTGCTGGACTGCAGATCCAGGGATAAACCATGGAGATGATAGCGGCTGGCCGGGACAAACAAGAGCACAACTTTACAGTGTGTCTGCTGAGCCTCCCCGGGTTCTAGGGCCCGTCACGAAGCCAATTATGCAGTCTGTTAGCCCTAGAGAGCTTTGGTATCATCGGGTTCTATGGACAAAAATGCTGATCATTGCACGCAATGACAATGGTCAATACTGTATTCAGATAGTCTCCCGAGGGCAGATGGTAGACACTCTGCTTCAACCTCGTACCTCGGATATCCGTGTCTGACGTCTGCTTTCTATTACGGGCTCTTACTAGGAGGTCTTGATTGCCGACCCGGCACATCACGTGCTGGCACAACGCGTCTGTAAATCGCGCTGAACGCGTCGCGTTTCGAGCGCAAGAAGCACCCGTTGTCCTGTGCTGCATGTGTATACAATACTTTCCAATGGGTATATTAATTGAGATTGATTTTGGAGACTTTGCTGTCTTATCTGCTTTGCACTGGTCCAAGAGGGCATTACATGTTTGAATCTCGTAGGAATCCCTCTATTCTCTGTGCCCCGCGCCCAAGCAAAATTTACCATTCCATCACCCATCCATTGTAGCACCTCATCTCACCTGCGATGTGCCCAAACCAGGGTGGAGAGGATCTTCAGGAAGACTTTCGTGAATTTCGGCGGACTTACAGCGCCACCTGCATCACGTGGTATCACAAAGGTTTAAGATTCCGTATTAGAAAGAACTACCAAACTTTAGGCTCCGCCTAAATTGTCCGACCTAGGAGGCGTTAGAAAGCAGACTATATTCAGATCGAGGAGCAGGATCTGGGCAACGTTACCTCCTGGGCCCGAGTGCAAACAAGCGACTTGAGGCTAGATTGAGTGATTGGCCGCAAGGGGAAAGAAACCGTGTTTAAACTAGAGGAAAGACAACCAGTCGTGACGGTTATGTTATGTTTAGCAATAGGGACTTACTCTACGTTGGATTGACGTCTTGAGAAGAAGCAGGACCACGCCTCGCAGCATGCGCACAACATGCTGCGATAGCCACGAAAACAGATACGGAAGTCATCGAACTTCCAGTGGAAGGGTCCTACAATCGGAGTGAGCCCAGACGAACGGGACGTGGCAGGTTCGGCAACAGATCAACCTCCTCCTTCGCTTCGTCGGGATACTGGTGCTCTCCTGGATCCGTCTGATCCGCGTGAACGTTGCTCTTACAGCTGGCCCAGGCTCATAGGCCTGAGTACTGAGTGAGTGACGCAGCTCGTGCTGTACTCTCGTAACTCAAGAGTCAAGTCCTCGGGCCTCAACATTCTATCCACAGTGGACTCTGCCATGAACTGGATGCAGGATATGGGTTTTCTTGTGCAGCCGTCAGGCTCGGAAGGGCTGCAAATCACCCTCACAGACGACCTCTGGATGGAGCTCGGGTCCGGAGCTGGTCTTCTGGCGACTGTCCTCCCGGCTTCTGTGGGCTTGCTCATCCTCGTGTACGATCTCGCCGCGACCCTTCAGTACCCCAAGTCCGTGCAGAAGGTCTATCGGACTCTGACGTCCCCGTTCCGAAATTTCCTGACGTTGGACGACCTGGAGGACGCTCCAGGTGATCCTGTAGCGGTGCCTGTGTGGAAGCGTCGCACCTTGGTCGCGCTTGCCGCCGTGGAGTGCGGTGCATGGGCTGCGGCGTTCGCATATGCGGCGGTCATGAACGATGTCGCGTTTGGAGCCCGCACTGCGGTCGGGGTTGTAACATGGGTGCGTGCTCCCTAACTTGTGTGCGTTGCATGCGACTGCTGAGACGTGAAGACAGTTCTATGCTACGTTGAGGACCTTGTTCAGACCACCCACGACACCTCCGTACCTCTTAATTTTGCACTATCTCACATATGCTGGCCTGGCATTAATCGCCGTCTCACTAGAATTCATAGACGGGCCCGGGAGGAGTAGTCCCGGCGTAGTTGCACTGAATGCACTGCACTTCAGTGTGTCAATGGTGCTCACCTGGATAGCTGGGACGTTCCCCTTACAGCCCGTCCCCCCCGTCAAAAATATCGCGAAAGGAACTGATGTGAGTCGCTCTTCGTCTGATGTTGAAATGAGTTGACCTCTGAACGCCCTGCAGGTACCCTCGAACGACCTGTCCATGCCAGAAGACGGCGTCAACCTGTGGTCCTGGTCGAACTTCTCCTTCATCCAGCCACTCTTTGATGTCGCGAACAGGCGAACGTTAAACGAGTCAGACGTGTGGAGCTTGTCTCCGTTTTTCACGCATAAGAATTTGTTCACAAAATACCTCAAGTATCGCTCGGAGTGCGTGCATATAGTGATGATTTTAAGCGACTGTGCTGACGGTTCGATCGTAGATACCCCACACACTCTGTCCTCCGTTTCCTGCTTGTGTCGAACTCACTAGACCTCATACTAGATATCGTACTAGACCTCTGGAGCGCTGTTTTCGGTAGACACTGTACAATTTTCCTGATATATTCCAGACTGACTTTGGTGGTCCAGGCTTTATACCCCCGTATGCCCTCCAGCGCATGCTTTCCGCACTCGCGGATCCTTCGCCTGACGCGAAGAAGTCCGCCTACCTCTTTGCACTCATCACCTTCCTGGCCAACCTGTCATTCGCGCAGATCGACCTGTACAAGATGTGGCACGCTCGCCGCTCCTACGAGCGCAGCCGTGGGCAGCTCTTCTGTGCTCTACATTACAAGTACGCTCAGCAACCCAGTTTTCTGGGCGTTGCCCGCTGATATTTGGTTCCGCTGTAGAGCGCTAACGCGTCGTGATGTTGGCAGCACCACAAGCCATGATAACGAGGACAGCCGTGGAAGTGCTGACCTGGGCCAGATAGTCAACCTGATGCAGTGCGTCGATTTATATATGCGGAGTTTTACTGAGCTGATTGTGAGGCAGAGGCGATGCGTATGCCGTCGCGCATCGGTTTTGGTTCTTCTCAGGCATCTTCACAGCGCCCGTTCGCCTGGTAATTGCCATGGTGTTCCTGTATAGGTGAGGGGTATAGTCGTCGATGATGTTGTGCAAGCATTGAACTTCGGTCCACAGAGTCCTTGGATGGAGCTCTCTCGCGCCAGTCGTCATCGTTATTGTGACATATATTCTAAACTACCCGTTGGCGAAATATAATATCCATGTGGGTGGCCATGTGCCCTTGGCGCAGACAAGGTCTCATGGTACGCTCAGATTACGCGTCGATCTTGGGAAGCACGCGACCGGCGCATGAACATGGTGAACGAGCTCTTCCAAAATGTTCGGTTCCTGAAGTTCTACGGCTGGGGTGAGACGTCCTCTGCTGGTAACCGTTGTTCGCTCCTTGATGTTGTCTAGAATCACGATGGGCCCAGCTGGTCAAGGGTTCCAGAGAAACGGAGCTCAAATGGCGCGTGAAGCAAAACATCGTGAGCGTCGCGATAGCCTTCGTCTGGACGTGGATGCCCTCTGCAACCGCACTGTCGTCGTTTCTCTGTTACACACTCGTTGCTGGGGAGAGACTGACTGTCTCGAAGGCATTCACGTCCATCGCACTCTTCTCCCAGCTGCAAGGACCCATGACCATGCTTCCCGAGGAGATTTTCGCTTGGCTGCATGGTGCGTCGCGCGCGTGATGTGCGCGTGTACATTCGCACACTGACGCTCGAACAGCTTATGTTAGCATGCAGCGCATTGAAGCGTTCCTCAGCGAGGCGGAGGTGCCCGACTGGGCATCTTCTCTGAAGATGCCGGTTCATGCGAGAGAGACGCTTCCGAATGAAGTCGGCTTTGTGAATGGGTCGTTCGAATGGGATGTGTCTCCTGCAAGAACGCCCTCCAGATTCACGCTTGGCCCGCTAGATATCAAGTTCCCTATTGGCAAGCTGTCGCTGGTGAGTGGAGCGACTGGGTCGGGAAAGAGTGCTCTACTGGCTGCCTTGCTGGGAGGTGCGTCGTATTCTTCATGATTTTTACACAACCAACCAACATTCAATTCTACTTCAGAGATGCGCTGTCTCTCCGGTAGTGTCATTCTGAATAAGGCCTTGCATCGGGTCGCGTATTGCGCCCAGAACCCCTGTTAGTGTGAATTTGTTACTCGTATCCGGCAGCGTCGATATTCAGGATCCTACAGGGCTTGAGCATGCCACCATTCGCGACAATATCATTTTCGGCTCGGCATTCGGATACGACGAAGGACGCTATGCCGCTGTCATCGAAGCCTGTGCTCTTTCGAAGGACCTTCTAATCTTGGAAGCCGGTGATATGACAGGTAAGTCAGCCTGTTGTTCAGGACCTTCTATATCGACGGCCGTCGCAGAAATCGGTGAGAAGGGCATCACGTTGTCGGGTGGCCAGCGCGCTCGGATCGCGCTGGCGCGTGCGCTGTACTCTCAAGCCACAGTAAGTCACGGAATTTTCCATTCAACACGGTCCTAATCCGGCTGGTTATCAGTGTATAATACTTGATGACCCGTAAGTCCTCTCCCGAGAAGACGCATGCATGACTCGATGGATCCTCTCTGTTAACAGCCTCGCAGCAGTAGACATGCACACGGCACAGCACTTGGTGAAGAACGCTCTGTCAAGGGAGCTTGCTCGTGATCGGACGATAATTCTTGTTACTCACCATATCAGTCTCTGTCTGCCGTTGGCATCGTACCTCGTTGAACTTTCCAGTGGGACCGTCTTACGCCGAGGTTCCGTGCAAGAATTGCAAGAACAAGGCCAGCTTGACAAGGTGGTTGAAGCGGAAGACATGGCTGAAGGAGAGCCCCAATCGTCGACCAAAGAAGTCGAGAATGAAGCTGATCTCCAGGTGCAAGAGGACGAAGCACAACCCAAGGCGATAATTTCCGACGGCAAGTTGATTGAAGCAGAAGCTCGCGCGGAAGGCAGAGTCTCGATACATACGTATCTGACCTACGTCCGCGCCGCCGGTCTCTTCTCTTGGTTCATGACCATTCTTCTTATGCTGTTGATTCGCCTTATCACCATTGGTAACCAAGTGAGTTCTCATCCTCGTACTTATTGGCAAAAGCTCATGGTTAATTCTTGTTTAGTTCTTTTTGGCAAAGTGGGGTGAAGCATACGAAGATTCCGAACCTTCAGTCGGTGTCTACTTCAGGAAGATTTCGAACATTTCAACCATCTGGGAAAGCCTCCCGCCGCCGGATGTGGACGTGAAGCCATGGCTCATGATACTCTTGTTGATTTCACTGTCAGGAGCGTTCTCTGTCCTTGCTTATATCTCCATTGGCTACTATGCAAGTCTTCAAGCATCTCGCGTGTTGTTCATATCAATGCTACAAAGGCTTGCAAGGGCGCCTGCCCGATTCTTTGACGTCACTCCAATTGGCCGCATACTCAACAGGTTCACTTCGGACATAAACACTGTTGACGACGCTCTCCAGAGTTCGGCTAGAGCAGCTTTGTCTGGTGGTCTCAATTTCCTCGCATCGTTCACGGTGATCATTTCTCTCGTGCCGTCTTTTACTCCCTTCGCAGTGATTATTGCGTGGCTCTATATCCGTATAGCTCCGTCATATGTGCAGGCTTCCCGGGATTTGCGCCGACTCGAATCGATCTCTCTGTCACCTGCGTTCGCTGGTTTTGATGAGCTGCTAAGAGGTCTCGCCCATGTGCGCGCGTTCGGCATGGAGGAAAGATATCAAGATAGGTTCTACAAAAGGGTCGATAAGTTCCAGTCGTTTGATCATGTCTATGTAGGTGGTAGCCTCGATGCTTCGGTTGAGTCAAATTCATATGATTGCACTATCAGTGGCTGGTGACTGGTTGGCTGTCCTGGAGATACGATTGTCAGTGAATACGTTGATAATGTACTGTCGGCGTGGATGCTGAAGGCTTTTTGCCCATATAACTCTCAGGTCTTGGGTCTGTGGTTGTATTTATGACTACGCTCTTCGCGTTGTGGAGTTCGGTCTCGTCAGGCTTCGCAGCCGTGGTGATCGTTCAAGCGGGTATTTTCGCAGATGCGTCACGGCAGCTCGTCAGGTGTGTGTGGAGTGTTCTCTTCAGTGTTTGTATGCCAACAGCGATACTAGGGTTCTGGCTATGCTCGAACTAGATTTCAACTCTGTGGAGCGCATAGTGGAGTATCTGGGAGTGCCTCAAGAGGCTCCGGAGATTATTCCGGAAAACAGGCCTCCAGCGTACTGGCCTTCGAGCAACGGAGAACTCGTCGTCCAGGATCTCGTTGTCAGGTATGCTCCAGAACTGCCGTCGGTGCTACACCGGGTATCATTCTCTGTGAAGCCCGCGGAGAAGATTGGAGTGGTGCGTGATGCTTCTGTCACAAGTTAACCTTCTAGCTCACATCGCACTGCAGGTAGGTCGAACGGGCTCTGGTACGCCATGCGGCGCATTTCTACCTTAGCATAAGCTCATTCGGGTGCGTATTCTGACAGGTAAATCTACGCTCGCGCTTTCCCTGTTGAGGATCATCGAACCGAGTGAGGGCAAAATAATGTGAGTTGTATTCCACATTGCTATAATGATATATGTGTGAGGTTCCTCCTAGAATCGACAACATTGATATCACCAAAATTGGATTAGATGACTTGAGAAGTCGGATTGTGAGTACTCTTCTGACAGGCTGATGTTGTCGCCCTCCGTGATTACCTCTCCATATTTCAACAGACCATTGTCAGCCAAGACGTGTCGCTCTTCTCTGGCACGATCAGGGGAAACCTTGACCCCTTCGGGGAACATTCTGATCAGGAATGCTGGGAAGTGCTGGAGAGATGTCATCTGACATCCATATTGAATCAATCCGCGGTGAAGGCTGAGAGATCCGAGGTCACCCTCGATATCCCCATCAGTCAGACAGGCTCACTGAGTGCGGGGGAACGGCAACTGGTAGCCCTCGCTCGTGCAGTTCTGCGACATAGCAACGTTATCATCATGGATGAAGCTACGTCTCAAATAGACTCAAAACTAGACGACCAGGTGAGAGAAGTAACTAAATTCTGTACAAAGGCGCTCATGCGTCGTCATCGTTAGATCCAACGGACCGTTCGACAAGAATTCTGTGGTGCCGTCGTGATCACCATAGCTCATCGGTTGAAAACCGTCCTGGATTATGATCGAATCCTCGTCCTCGGCGGAGGGCGGATACTGGAGTTTGACACCCCAAAGGCTCTAATATCGAAACCAGGCGGCGTCTTCAGGGAGATGTGTAGAGCAAGCGCCGACTGGCCGGACTTATTAGCTGCGGTAGAGCATCGTTAGGGACTTTCATGAATCGAGTTAACTAGAGTATGTATATACGTCGTCACTTTCTTGGAGGATATCATTGCAATGGGCTCATGGCTGTTGTTCGAAGAACCGGATCAACCTGGAAAAAATGGAGCGCACTGTGATTTGTAGTTCCACCCATACATGTCCAGCAAAAAAGATGCATAGACATTTTTTTTTGCTGTGTGGTGAATTGAGACTTCATCATCATGTACATGCATGTAGCTCTTCTGTTCACGTGCAGCGGCTAAGTACAGTCTTCCGTGTTCCCCGACTCCAGGAACTGGAGGAGGGCTTTGGCAAGGGGAAACGGCAGACGCCTCTGCGAGTGAAGTTGCCCGAAAACAACATGAGTAAATAAGTTGAGTAATAACACTTACGATTTTGAGTCTTGACTCCGTCTAGGGTTCCGGTCGCGAACGTCGCTGTTGCACTGGACCTGTCGACACTGTTCGAGCGCAGGTCTATTTACGCTTGCGAACATTATGCCCTTGCACATCATTCTGTTTTGCATGTGCGTGTATTCCTCTTCTCGTATTATTGCTAATCTAATGATCCACCACTAAACCATGTGGAATCTATGTGGACCTGCTCTCTTGAAGACTTAGTTTTCTCGTTTTTTGCGACTGTTTCTGACCAGTGTAGCTGGAAAATAGGTGCATCTATGGATGTTCACTTGTTCAAATAGATGCTTGCCACTACGACACTATACCTATTCCACTAACTTCATTACCTAGTGATGATGATGCTTTATTGGTGTAGCTATGAATGGCATTCCCTTGAAACACACACATTTCCGTAGCTACTACTTTATGTACTTCTACTTACTGCGTATTAATCACAACCCCTCATGTGAAAGTGTGACTGCACGTCAGCCTCCAATGGAGTCGGGGAATGGCGCTCGCGCCGCTACGATTGGATAATGATTCACCCAAACGGGCCAGGCAGGCATACGCGCACATGTGATCGTTCTTGTTTCTTGTTCAAGTTGTTGTCCCTGAATTTGCCTGTATACTCAGCTCTGAGATGATTCTGTTTTTTGACCGACTGGCTTTTCCTTAACTACGAGCTCTTTCTCGAGGACTGACGCACGTACAGATGCTTTTCTTGAAGATCAGGCTACTCTAGCGAGCTCGCGTAAACAACTGCATCTCGTCAATTGCCGCTACAATTGTTGCAATCCGCGAGAATACTTCAGCAAGGTGGGCGAGACTTTCAAGAGGGCAGAGAGCTCTCAGGAAGTACAAAGAGGAATGGATGTAGGTAAGCTTCGATTCATACACGCGTTTCGGACACTGTGAACAGACTTTCTAAGAAAGAGGCGCAAACTGTATCTTGTGTTCCGGTTCGCATTTCTCTGGGCGACGATAGCGGCAATTAGCTGCTCTGGGCTATACCTGGACTGTTCCCGTTGATCCATGGTTGCCTTCCGGACTGGAGGTCGTGTGATACGGTGTTCAATGAATAGGTCTGGAGCGCGACCGCCAGAACCAGTGCTTCGTCGACGCATCCATGCGTGGTGACCATAGCTGAAATATTTTCGGGCGTTGAACTTTGTATCTTCGTGATTTCTGCAGGCTTCCTGTTATCTTTTGCACGGGGTCTCCATTGTGCATGCACTCTGAGAATACACTGTGCCACTCGGCTGACCTGTTTCAATTCGCAAGCACACCATTGAGAAGGGGGGTTGCAGGACACCGACCTTTGGCGTCAGATAAGCAGTGGCTTCTCGTACCAAACTCTGGGTCATGGGTCATCATTTAAACTGACACGAAGTTGATGGTTCCATCTCACATGAACCAGGACTGGCGGCAAGTAGCGGCAATAGTGTGAGAAGGGACTGCAACTCAGGCTCATTATCATCCTGTGTCAGCGAACAACATAGAGGTGATTAATACTTCAAAACCTATACATACGCATGAGACTCACAAGTTGGCACAGGCTGATGAGCAGTCACCGAGGTGGAGTTCAGACAAATTATGCCAACGGGAGCAGAAGAGGAGATCTTTCCACCCTTCCAGAATCCGTTTGAACTTCCTAATACTCCAAATACAGACAACGGACGGCAGGAAGATATCTAAGTTTGTCCTCCATTGTCACGATTGAACACAGGGAACTGGGACTGACCGAGTAAAGTTGTTCACGATAAAATCCATTACGGCATCTCTGAATGGCAGACGGCATACATGAAATGGCTTGGTTGACTCGTCTGATCGGCACAACCCAAAGATGGTCACTCTCTACGCAGAGTTTGGCACCGTTCAATGAGGTATTAGTCGCGATTGCCTCGCGGAGGAGATCTCGACACGTGGACACCTCAACGCGGGTTCAAGCGGGCCTAACGAAATTTGGTCATTGCATGGATCCGCAGGCGCTGAGTGAGCCAGAAGTGAGTCCGCCATTTCGATCTGTATATGAGACATCGCCGGTTGCGCCGCATGTGATCCAAAGGAGACTCGTACAGATCAACCTGAGTCGGCGGTGTGTTTATACGTTATTGACTTGCCTCCTCACGCTGTACCTCGACTCAGGATTTCTCGTGAAAGTGACGGCACGACAGGGAGAAGGTGGACAATCCAAGGACAATCGTGGAAGGACGGCTGCGACCAGAGACTTGGCCCATCAGGTGGAGCCCACAGTGATTACGTACGCAGATCGAAGAGTCCATTAGATCGGAGTTTGTACTCTAACTTCATAAGCGCAGCGCGACCGGCGTTACGTCAAACCCCTCTCTTTCCTGCCCACCGTATCGACCATTGCAAGCGTCCTTTTCATCGAAATAATGTCTTCTAACGACAGCAACAACGTTCGCCACTCCAAGCCAATTGCCATTGATCCGCATCGCCAACCTCGTCGTCGTTCGGACTCGGCCTCAGACTCATCCTCTTCCGACGATTCATCTCCTTCACCGAGTTCTCCCCCCCCACAGTCCGGGTTTCCAGGTACCCAGCCTCACATCATACCCATGTCTCCTACGACTTCCCCTATCTTGTCCTATTTTTTGAGTGGGCAGTCACCGAAGTCTGCAAGCACTACATTCCCATTCCGGCGTAACGTCGGTGTTCCTGTACCGGAAGGTTAATCTTCATACAGTGTACCTGCCATCCGCATTAGTTTAACTCCCTTCACGCAGATGATGAGGTGGCTGATAACGAGAGCAAGGCTACGAAGCATGGTCGTCGCGCGAGCACTGCGTGGGCTGGGGGCGAGCGTTTTGCCCAGCCCCCTCCTGTATCGGGCACCCAACAGGAGAGAGCGGCAGGTCTTTTACGCCGTCTATCCTTGGGCGGCACACTCGCCAGGGTATACTCCTAACTTCTTTCTGCTGTGAATATGGTATTGATTGTTCACGCTTGTAGCCACAGTTTCCCAATTTGAAGCCAGTCAGTGGAGCTAATGGTGCTACCGCGGCTTCGACCACGCAGCGCCCAAGTACGCCACCTAACTCGCCCGCTGTGGATACAACTCCTCGTAGACCGCGGCGGGCGAATACTGTCAACCCGAGTGCACCAAGGCCCCCGCGAGCGCCATCGCCCATGGGTGAACGCATCCTGTCGGGGCACTTCGACGGTTTCAACTAATGAAACTGTATCGTACTTCTCCCTTTGGTGCGACTCTCCTGATCCATGTCACCCGTATCCCTCACTCGTTCTTGTCGCTACCTTGCAAGTGCGACATTCATCACAACAGCAGGTTCAACTCTTCGCATTGTATCATCTTGTAACCGAACCGAAACCGCTGGCTGTTTCGCTGTATTCATAGCTGATCACGCGCATCGCGCATTCTGCCTTCATGTCGCCCAAAACTGGACAGGCGCGGTGTTCTATCCTCCTTGACGACATCTCATCTCGATCTCGTACCCAGTTGTCACCGGCATCACCTTAAAAGAACAATCCGCACCAGATGCTCGTCCTCGACAGGCGTCACACTCGACATACGGAAGAAGATGATCGTCGATTCGGAGTCTCTTGTGCAAGTTCTATTCTCCTCGGTCTATATCGGCACAGAGCGATTCGTGGCATCCATTGCCCCAAAACCTTTCTCCTCCAGCATATGTCGGTTCGAGATGGAAGGCTGGTGGTGGTGTTTACCGCGGTTGAGATGGTGGACTCTCTCTTGCATTTGTTCGTTCGTTCGTTCATTGTTGTAATTTAGTATTGCTTCGGCTTTGGTTCTTCTATTTTATGGTTCAAGTTTGGTGTAAGGAATTCCGTGTATTTATTCCATTGTAACCCGTATCTCTGTAGCTACTGTGCGTATACTCCCTGTCGATTTGTACGAAGTAAAATCGGTCCTGCATCCCCACGCCCTGGCACGAATGCTTATCGCTTTATCTTTTTGAGTCCGGATAGGACTTGCATGTCTGGACCTCAGACATGTCTTCCCATGATACGACTCTACTGCCTTCGGGAACAACCATAGAGTATGCTCTATCGCGGCCGCCTGTTTCTGCTTCGAGTGTAAGTTCAGTTGAAGGCGACTCAGAACCAGCCGAGAGCAAGCTCGCGATCTGCCTGCATCCTTGGTCAAGGCTGGGCGGAAGAATGGACGATCCGTGCGTCTGCTGTCTACTTCAACTACTGGACTGTCTGGTTAATTTAACGTCCGATCGTACTGCACTGCTGGTACTGGCTATGTTGGCTGCAAACATGATCGAAGCATTCTGCACATACTCGTCGGACCGCTGCTTGAAAGGGGCTATCACGTCCTGCGGTACAACTCGCGCGGAGTCGGCAGGTCGTCTGGATGGGCATCTCTGACGGGCAGTCGCGAGGCGCAGGACCTGAAGGAAGTCGTGCAGTGGGCCCTCAGCGTCGTGCCGGCCGTCGTATCGCTGGTGGTAATGGTATGTCCTTTGGAAGCTCTATTGTTTCGCATTTTTGCGACCTGACGCGTCTGCAGGGTTATTCGTACGGCTCGCTGATCGCGTCTGTCCTTCCCGTCCTTCCGAACGTGAAGACATCACACGTCCTGCTGTCGTACCCCCTCGGACCACGGCACTGGCTGACCGCTTTCCGGGGCAAGGCTTATACGAGCGCGCTGCAGGCGCTCATTCAGGACCCACATTCGAATGTCCTTATACTGTTTGGCGACGACGACGAGTTCACAGATTCGGAGAGCTACGAGACGTGGTCGAAGAGTCTGTTAGAGGTTTCCGGAGCCAATGGTGTGGAACGCAGGCTGAAGGTAGTGAAGATTGACGGTGCGACCCACTTTTGGAGAGAAGGGGATGCAGCTAGGAGGTTGATGGACATTGTCGAGAAGTGGTTGCCATAGGATGGATGAATGCCGTTTCTGCATGTTTTCTCCCTTCGCATTAAAGGTCCCAAATGGGCGCCTGTACGATACTAGTCCTCATTAGTTTCATCTTCAAATGGATGTTACATCGCGTTCAAACTCCGAAAATGTGCCGCTTTCCAGCGTTTTCAAAGCAGGCTTCAACCCGTGAATATGCTTCGCGGCACTGGATCTGACAACGCCATCACGCAACCAGAGTCACATCGTTCGTTCAAGTTGTTCTGCAGTCGTGTTATTCATTGCTCTCGCCGGCGAGGGCAGCCTGCTCTTAATTATCGCCGCCGTTCACGCACCCAGCTTTCAAGCATTTGTCGCAGAAAATGTGCAGTGCGCTCCCCATCTGTCCCGATCATCGAGCCTAATCATCTCGTCTTGCACTGCCAGGCCGCTGCCAGACGAGCGACCGCGTCAGAGCGTCGCCAATCTCATAGGACGCTTCGAGGAGCAGAATAAGCGGCAGTCTTTCACGTCTCCCAGCGCTTCTCGTCCGTCAAGTGCCGTGTCGTTCGTCGTGGGCGATGCAGCCAAGGAAGAGATCAAGGAGAAGCGCGAATGGCCTCCCAAATCCAGGCCTGTTCCTTCTACTGTTCCTGTTGAGCCACAGAATGAAGAGATGAAGCGAAAGTCTCAGTTGCCGATCTCTCCACCAGAACCCGCTGCCCTTCTCGTTCGAGAGGCCGCACCCTTTTCCTCAGAGGATGTGATCGCTGCGGGACCTGTCCCCCCTCCTTCGGTAGAGACAGCTGTTCCTGTGCCAAAGACAGTACCGCAGCGGCAGTCTTCGATCGGAGCCGCTCCGCCTGCGCGTACTCCCGTTACTCCGTCGAAGTCTACGCCCGCTAGAAGTGCTGCCGCCACCCGAGCACCTGTTCGTACACCTGCACGGTCCCCGCCAAGTTCGTTTCAGAATACATTGTCGGCGTCTACCTCGACACCGATTACGAGGTCGTCTTCGAACACGCCAGCAGCTGCGGCTAAACCTCGCCCGTCCTCGACAACGCCACACCGTCCACCCGCGCCGACCACTCCAGCTCGCCCCAAGACCCCTTCCGTATCGCGTCCTAAGACTCCGTCTGCGTCTCGCCCCAAGACTCCCTCTTCGGTAGCGCGACCGAAGACGCCTGCGTCAGGGCTATTCGCACCTACAGCTGCCTCTCTCGCTAAGGCACGCAACGCGAGTTCTCCCGTACCTCCGACGCCAACCAGGAAGCCAACCGTGGGTCTCGCTACGCTGGAGAGGCTTAGCAAGCCGACTGCCTCGAGCATCTCTAAGGTGCGCACGCCGACGCTCCCCCCTCCAGCTGCACACGCGAGAGGCGGGAAGGTGTCAGGCAGGGGTGCGGCACCGACAAGGGGGATGGCTGCCAAGACTCGTGGCGGAGCTGCAGCGAAGGCGCCTGCGAAGAAAGCTGCGGCGCTTGCGACTGTTACTGCTTCCGCAGCGGATGAGCGCGCTGTGGAGTCGGAGGTCAAGGAGCATCCCGAGGAGGTCCCGGAGCATCAACACGAAGAATCAACGAGCACGCTAGTGGACGAACCCGAGCATACTGCGGAATTCACGGAGGAGCCTGAGGTCCATCACGCGGACGGATCTGATAAAGAAGCGATCGTGCAGGAGGTGCATGCCATGGGGGTGGAGGAAGCAAACGACAGACCCGAAGTTACAGCCCCTGTGGACGATTATTTGGATGAACTGTCGCACACTTCCGAGTCAGGGCCGCTCGAGCACATCACAACAGAGTCAGTTACCGATGAGGCTGTCCATGAAACATTATCTGATACGCCCCATCACGACTCCGATCACGACTCCGTGCATGTCGAAGTTACATCTGAAGTTGCCGATTTAAATGAGGATGAGCATGTTGAAGGAGAAGTCCACGACCATAATCACGAGAAAGGCGACATTTTTTTCGCTGATGATGCCCACGTAAATGGGAAGACTGGGACGGACGTCGAGGATATCGTCAATCTCCTGGAAACCAAACCCCGACCGGCGAGCATTGCAATCATACCGGATGAAGTGGCAGAAATTCCGGACGAATATTGAGGACCTCTAGAGGGATATTCACTACTGGAGCAGTTGCAGGTATCTCTACGTTCGTTTTCCGATTATTCGTTCTTACCGCAACTGAAGGAGCTAAAGTGAAACCACCCTCCATTGAACTCATACGTCTCCTGTTTTCTCTCTATCATTCAGCCCCATGATCTATGTATATCATTAGCATCTTATACCACTTGTACGCTTTCTGCACTATGCTCCAGATCCATTGCAATCTCGGTCCCCGTCGTTTGCTCTCTACGTACACAGAAACGTTAACTCAAGTTGTCACGAGTGCTCTCCCAACCTTGTGGATGCTGCAAGTTCAGAGGGACAAGCAAATTGGGACAAGAGCTTGGTTGCGAAGTGTTGTTTTGTGGTCGACGTCTAAGATAAAGACACATGCATGTAAGTACAGCGGGCTTCCTGCGCTCACACTCAACAAGCGCTCATTTCTAATTTAAAATGAAGTTCAATTGCAATCAGACACAACTTGATTCATAGTTTCTCGATTGGCTCGAGAGTGCCCACTGAATTCGAGTAAGCTTATTAGCAATGTACTCCATGCTTTCTCTGGCAAAATGTCTGTAGTGGATTTCACTGCTTGTCCTCTGGCGTAGTCAGAATAACGTGTACCTCTGACAGGATATCCGCGTTGGACCTAACTCACGCTATTTTGGTAAGTGGGTTTATGTAGTTTGTCGTTTCAGGATGTTCCATAAAGCCTGGCGTGAACGTCCCTGACGCACTCACCTCCAGGTTCCACCTGTGGTTATTCATCTCTGATCCATCTCCGATTCATCTCCACTGCACCGCGTAGGGCTCGTGCATCACTGGCATGGGCCACGAGATGGAACTTGAAGATTGTAGCGGTGATGTCGAGCTTGTGGTGTGATATTCTGATAAGCCACAACTTGTCATGCCTAATGTTCTCTGGACGCAGCGGATTCAACCTCGACAGACTGCTGTGCTTCAGCTGATGTAGATTGGATGCAAGTTCAGATATTTCGCCACTGGTCGGCGCCCTCATTACTCCATCCGGAAGGGGCCTAGGAAGATTGACGCATTTGACGCCATGCGTCACGCATTTGACGTAGTCTCCCGAGGGCAGATGGTAGACACTCTGCTTCAACCTCGTACCTCGGATATCCGTGTCTGACGTCTGCTTTCTATTACGGGCTCTTACTAGGAGGTCTTGATTGCCGAACCGGCACATCACGTGCTGTCACAACGCGTCTGTAAATCGCGCCGAACGCGTCGCGTTTCGAGCGCAAGAAGCACCCATTGTCCTGTGCTGCATGTGTATACAATACTTTCCAACGGGTATATTAATTGAGATTGATTTGGGAGACTTTGCAGTCTTATCTGCTTTGTACTGGTCCAAGAGGGCATTACATGTTTGAATCTCGTAGGAATCCCTCTGTGCTCCGCGCCCAAGCAAAATTCACCATTCCATCACCCATCCATTGTAGCACCTCATCTCACCTGCGATGTGCCCAAACCAGGGTGGAGAGGATCTTCAGGAAGACTTTCGTGAATTTCGGCGGATTTACAGCGCCACCTGAATCACGTGGTATCACAAAGGTTTAAGATTCCGTATTAGAAAGAACTACCAAACTTTAGGCTCCGCCTAAATTGTCCGACCTCTCGACAAGGAGGCGCGTTAGAAAGCAGACTACGTCAATGCGTTGGCGCCTGCGTCAAATGCGTCAATATCTCCAGGCCCATCCGGAAGTCTACACACTCCTCCGATAAACCTGCTTCCCGTCGAACTTCTCGTCGAAATACTTTTGATTATGGTTTGCTCGCTTTCCGAACATCATCAGGTTGGACCAGCGCCGACTCTTGCAGGTGCTGCTTTGCTACTTTGCAGAGTATGTAGCTTGCGGTGCAAGACTGCACTCAGCACCCCTAGTCTCTGGCGCTCGTTCACGCTCTACAGTGACTCTCATCAGGATCTGGTTGACCCAAAACTCATGAAGGTCTGGCTTGAACGCTCCCACCCTCTTGCTTTCGGTTCTCATTTACATGGTCTTTCGATTTCCTGAGCTAGCCCGCAGTCTCCGAGGGTGTTGTCATCGAAATGCTCGATGTGTTTGCACGACACATCGCTCGTTGGGAAGAGGTCGTGATAAGGTTGAATAATCCGTTGCGTCTGTACTTACAACGTCAACAGCCTGCGCCTCTTCTTCGTACCTTCACCCTCCTGAGAGACAACGTCCGGACTGTACCTCTTCCTTTTACCTCTGCCCCACAGTAGCGTTCTTTGACCTGGCTTCCAAATGATATCACTCCCCCGCTAGGGTCCGTAACAGTAGTCCCATGGGCACAACTGACGGATATCATGTTTGAAGGTGGAATATCACTGCGCGACTGTCTAAACATTTTGGAAACGTGTCCTGAACTCATCGGTTACTCCTTTTCCCCAGACCACCGGTGATTGGACATGCCACTGGATCGCTTTCCTTCTATCCCGGCATTGAAACACTCTGCACTCCGCATACTTAACATGAAGGTGATTCACAATATCACTTCCCTCTTAGAGCCCTTGGTACTCCCTGCCCCTTATAGAAATCAATATAGAGAACCATTAACCATTTCAGATATGCATATCACTCTGGCGGCCCGCCACCGTCTATACACAACGTTCTGATTAATCTCTAAACGAGATCGCCGTGCGCTCTCACTAGTCTCAGGATGGATCACTTGCCACTCACGACGGCAGAGCTATTAGCATGCCTTGATCTGGCAGGTGCAGAGCTCGAGTATCTCGAGATCTCGTATGTGAACCATATGGGACTGGTCACGGATGAAATTCTTGAACGACTTACCTACGGAGCCCAATCCGATCTTCCTTGTCTCTGACAGAAGCTCCAGAGACTGACATTGGAGTACTGTGTCCAGTCCGCGGATGGCGTTCTCGGGAGGATGATTGCATCCAGGTGCCCGGCGCCAGTCGATGCTAGCTCCGAGGTCGCGTCTCCGAGAAGCTTCAAAGCGGTCCTGCCGAGCATGGATGCCAACATGTTGTCGGAAGGGATCAAACACGGGCCGAAGACTGTCGCATCTGAGGATCTTCCCGACGACGTATATGCGTATGTATTCTGTTTGCTTCTCAATCTGCTTCATGGCTAATACTTATGTTGTCGCAGCATAGAACTGGGCTTTTTAATTCGTTTGAAACGAACCTATCCGGGAGGGGCGACGCATTGTGTCAAGTGTAAGGAAGCAGCGCGAGAAGTCAAAAGCGGAATGCTGTTTGAGTTTCTTATTGCACTGTATACGGAAACAGTACTTTGCTATCGCTCCACTGTGTGACGTGTTGGCGCTGTTACCTTTGCATGTGTATGGACTGCTCTGAGCAGTCATCTTGTTGTGCCATTACCTTGGGCTCCAACTTGGGCTGAAGTTCGCCGTGGCTCGAGAACCGGAATCTCACAAGTCGATCGAGTCGTGTGAGCTTCGGTACGTCAAGTTGCCAGTTATCCCCTTCTGCAAGACCTATGTCTCACATTCAACGATTAACTTGCATGGTGGTGGCCGGTCACGCATCTAAATGGAAAATCTGTGACAGGTATCTTGTATTCATAGTTGTAGAATTCTTGCTCACTAACTACGCTCTCTCTGGAGTCTCCGCCCTCGAATCTGTACCACTGTACTGATGCCAGAGCCGAGTCACTTCAATTCATCTGCACACGCTACATTGGCATCCTGTTGAGCACCTTGCCACGATCTTTTAAACTGACAGATTGTTCGGCCATCAATGCCAATGGTGTACCTTTGTCGCATACAGGCTAGACTTTCTGTGAGTTTCGCAGAGTTGAGGTTATCAAGGAAGTTTATGCGGTAATAACCTAGATGAAGACCTCCACGCAGTTTGTGTTACCTTGCTGAACCAACGATTAATAGTGTTATGCACGCCAAGTATAGGTAAGGTCTTATGATAAGCAACCATCCAATCGTTCAGCCACAGACGCGTGGGTCACACTTCACGCGTTTGTCACGCGTCTGTCGCGACCCGTGACACGTGACGGTCAGCCAGACTGACCACGCATCTCCTTCACCGCCATTCAGAACAGACAGCCATGATTATCCCAATAAACCTCGATACCGTCCCATTGTCTCCTCTAGGCAGTAAATTTCCTCCACAACTTGCCCAATTTGGCACGGACGAGGTTGTGCTCATCGAGCTCCAGGGTGCTTTGGATGTGGAGGGCGATAGGCAGGGAGAGACCGTAGGGACGTTGCGGATAGACGATGTTACAGTGAGTGGGCATTCATCATTTAGTTTTTGATGCTAAATTTCCCTTACGAGCGTGTCTGCTGACTCCTCGTGCAGAAGAAGACAACGTTGCTCATAGGCCATCATCTCCTCGAAGGCAAACTAGTCAACCTTCCGAAACCAATCGCTGTCTTACAACACGTATCATCCAGCAGCAACGATCATGACCAGCCAATAGATGACAACGTGGATATGGTGTCGGAAGGTGAAGCGAAGAGTACACTAGTGGAGTGGAACGTCGTGGCGGTCGTAAAAACCAAAATGGTATTCTCGAGACGACCAATGCCTATGGTTGGGAAAGACGCTACTGCTCTATTGGATCCAAAGCGAGGAAAGAAGGCGAAGTAAAAAGAAGGTATCTGTAAGTTTTTTCTGCTCTTGTGATGTCGATAACTGAATACATACTTCTACCAGAATCTGTACATTAGTTCCATTCTGCACTCTGTTTGACTTAGGGATGGCAGTTGCTGCTGGAACTGCCTGATATGCAGTTACAACTTGCAAGGGACATTCAAGAGCTTGTCGAAGTCGGGTAAGATGTACCACTTCAAGCTATGTGCACATCGTAGGAGGGGATGGAAGGCACAGCAAGCACGTCACTGTCGATGTTCCACATCAATTGCTCTCGGAGAATCCTCTTCAGTGACGTTGCTCATCATGGTTTTATCAGGTGAACAAGAGTGCAACGTATGAGGCCAGAAATCATCCCATTTACGACGAGAACGAAACACAACTATCAAAATATACGACCGGGAACGTACAGCAGAGATGTCGGTTCCCCCCAGTGCTAAGACCATCCTTCTAATCCACTAGCATCCTCGTCATGAGCGCCAGCCGAAGCGATGCCTCCGGGACAGCAAGCAACTAGTCAGAACGGACGAGCCTCAGAACACTGGAAAAAACCCCGATGTCTCCTAGAAGAAAACAAAGTTGGATTGCTCTAGAGGACTGGAACGCGGACAAGGAAACGGAAAAGCATCCACCGAGTCCGAACTTTTGTGTCCTCATGGATTTGTTCAAAGTTTTTTCAGTACGCAGAGGCACTTGATATAGCTCTGTATGCATTACATAAGACATTCCCAGCACGTGAATTTTCCGGGCCCATCGCGTGACAATGCACGGACCGCCGGCCGGTGTCCTGCTGGCCGACTCGGACCCGTCGTCACCGTGACACTCGTCGACCGACGCAGATCCTCTTTCTTTCCAACGCTCGCTGCTTCAGTCTGACCATGTCTCATCCAACAAAGGTACTAACTCTCTCTCGGATTGAAGACCTGACACTCGGTTCGTTTGCATTCGTGCCTTCTTCGGCGACCCTCGACCACCTTGTCCGGTTTCTGAGCACATGGAGTGGCAGCGAGTCAGTAATATGTTTCTACGTTGTTGGAGTTCATTTGACACTGCGATATTTGCAGCAAGTTATTCATGGTCAGTTGAAATACCCCGGCTGATCCGAATGCAAATGAACTCAACGCTGGGGGATGGATCTGACAGGTCATGCAATATGGTGTGAAGCTCCTCGCGCCCTTCCTGCATCTCCGGGCGCGGCTCCAGCATCGCGCAGGTATGCGTCCAGCACCGACTAGTCGCGCCGCAGACGGTCTGGTCAAGTTTTCAAGCATCTTGGGTGACGCGAGGATGCTCTTCCGAATCTGGGGTAAGCAATTAGGCCCTGCGGAAAGGAGTAGCTATGTTTTGTTCTTACGCTTTCTCGAAGGTCTTCTGCCAATTATTCAGTGGCTGATCTCCATCGAGCGAAACCGCCCCCCTACTCGTCAACTCTTGACGATCGAACGTCTTCAGGGCTGGTCCATGCTTGCTTATTACCCTCTCGAGCATCTGTACTATCTTCTTTCTCACGTGATTGTTCCCGCTGAGCTTCCGACGAACCCCCTTTCATCTTTGTTGCCTTGCACCAAGGCCAGTGCCAAAGACGGGGGCGTATCTTGGGACACGAATGCTCTGGGGCTGTGGTCGTGCCGATACTGGGCCCTCTATGTGCTCCTCCAGTTTGTTCATCTCCGTGAGGACAACATGCTCCTGAAGATGCGCCAGCGCACAGTTAATAAATCGAAGGTTTGAATTACGTGAGACTTAGCGGTCAATAATGCTCACGAACTGTCCAGACTACTGCCGCGCAGATTGAGAAAGACGAGCTGAAGAAGAGATTTGATGCCCTCCGGACAGAGTTTGTTGTGAACCTTGCTTACTTGCCGATGACCTTGCACTGGTACGTCTCCTGCACACTATGAAAAAACTTTTTGTCTTGTCTCCTAGTCTTGCTATATCATTCGGTGTCTTCATCTCGTTCCCATATTTGTCGTGCCGCGAGCAGCGCTCTTCGTGCATGAGTGGATGACCTGGAATCAGCGTTATCCTAGACTCGGCACATTCTGTCTTCGTGCAGCTGACTACCATCTGACCAACGCATTTGTGATGCTGGCGTGCTGCCTGCCATTTTTGTGGAGTGCCGGTCGAGAAGATGCCCGTGTTTGCATCGGGCTGTGCATCACAGTTCATGCCGCAGACAAAGCCGCGTCCCTGATTGGAGCTTTGGAGAGGATTGGTTCCGTGGCTTCGACATTTCCGCACGGGGTGTGTTCTACCTGGAAAACCTGATTCTATTCCGCGTGGGATCAACGTTATGGTCCTGAGGCTGTGTTCAGAGAATGCACGTGATCGCGTCAACCCTGGTTCTCTGCCAGTTTCTTCTCATCCTAGGCCGAATCTAGATGCCTTGGAGAGCTCACCGCAGTCTTCGCTATCGTCGTACCTGTTTTATGGCCCTTTATGTCGGCTACTGTCCGGTAGACGGGGCGGAGATGACTACGGTCTCAATGGTCGCCTGGGGACGGTGAGTTTCTAGCCTCGTGACTCGTCGTTTGATCTCACGGTGTGCACCAACTTGAGAGAGGATCGGTCGTTGTCTGTCGCACACATCGGAAGCCCCGTATATGCTAGGGTATTTGTTGCTCGCCTGGGTTTCTCAGTTGCCTCGCGACTATTGTCACCCTAATCGTTCCCAGCACGCACGGTTTCCTGCCGCCACCGTGCCTATCGACTGTCCATCTGCTACAGGGCCATCTGTACACGGACACTCACGTTGGGTGTGACGAGCTATCCCATCTGCTCTATCGCTCTATCGTCTTGTGCAATGTCAACTTGGGCTGTTATTAGCCATAATTTTGATATCCGCACATTCTATTACTAGTATCCGGATGGTCACGTCTTCTCCCCCTTTTACCACGTTTCTCTCCCTTTGCCTTCCGATTGATTGGCTGATCATCTAAATCGTGCAGGTCCTTGGAGAAGGGGCTGTTCAAGAATGCTGTAAGTATGAGTCTCCTGTTGCCTCCATTTTGGTGCCCTTGCATTCAGAGAGGTATATCGCAGAATTTCAGGGCGATCTTCTGTATTTTTTCGTTGAATCTGTATTATCCGCTTTGTTATCTATTATATTCTGCTGACACAAACCTCTCCAGATCTGGATTGATATATGTGGTTTCATTGCCGCGCTTGCGTCCTGGAGAAGCGGCTGGAAGGCCACAGAATTGTCCCCTCCTACCCCTACCGTTGACGTGTCAACCGATACGTTGGAAACGGAGAAGGAGGCTGAGCGCAATGTAGCTGCTGCAGCATCGCTTGATAAGGGCGTTTTGGGTCCGTTGACAATGGAACAGCCGCTTGTCACGGTGAACTAGCGGACACAGGTTCCATGTGACGATGGTTTGAATGTTCGGGTGAGTGAGATATCTACTGAGTGTCTTCCGAGAATCATTGATATTTGGTGCGCTTTACGAAAGAAAAGCAGCATTCTTCTGCAGCATATGTGGAATGTACGATTATCTCGACACGTGAATAAGTGGTTTTGGATAGGACGACGAACTGCTTCGTTGCTTCGGATTACTGTTTCCTGCGACAGCTAGCTAGAGGATGCGCCGTTAGCCACAGTTGCTCTAGTGTGGAAATGATTGTGAGTAATTGGATACTTGCTCTCTCAATATTTGACTGCGCTATAGACGCGCGGTAATTTCGCGGTTCTTCTATGGTACTTTCCCTCTTCTCGTTCGGCTTCTATGTTTTGTCTACAATCTAGTGGACCGGATCCAACACAACACCTGCCATATTCGGCGTGATCTTCGTTGGACAACTTGAAGTCTGCGATCAAGCTCCCATGCAGCACGTGTTCCTAGATTCGACTTCACAGGCTTTCGATACTTCTGCAACGGCCTGAATAATATTGCGATGCGTCTACAGTATGCACTCTTTTGAATGCGCTGGGTGGCCCGACGCCACCGCATGCTATCCGTCGGGATCCCCATTGCTGCGTACTTCAGTGGAGCTAGCGCTGCACAGCCTTCGGGCACCCCAGAAGCCGGACCGTGCATAGTTTCCTCTAGACTCCACCGAGCACCTTCTCGAGGACAATGGAGCGGCGTCGTATGTTCTACCGTTCGATATGCATGCACAATGCAAATTTGTTGGCGCTGTCCCACGAGTGCCCCCTAGTGTTCCTTTCTGCGCATGCATTGCAAAGTGAGGGCAAGGTTCTTCGGAGCATAGATCATCTATTTTTCACTGCCAGTGAATCTCATTGCCAATGGAAAATTTGGAGCTGTACTGTGAGAGCCACATGAACTGCGCGTTGTACTCCAGATCGGAACAATGAGTGTATCCAAAGTTTGAGGTACGTGCACTGCACTCGGGTCCATTGTTCAATTCATCACAGCAAATTTTTCACAGGCCCGCGTTCTTCCCGACGGGGCCTCAGGCCACTTGTGCTTTAGTTCCTCAAGCTTGAATCCGCCCACCCAATCGGCGTATCAGTGACGATCGAATAGCGGCAGGCGGCCGACGTAGCCGGAGTCGCGTAGTAATTCCCGTGCACAGCGTTGGGGCTAGTCGCCGTCGCAGGCCAACGCGTGTGCGCTGTTGCCGCCGCGCTCTCGGCCCGTACGCTTCTACCTGCAACAATCCGTCGTGATGAGTGTGGAAAACCGACTACACATCGTCTGGCAATGGCGTGCACACATGTGTGCATAGCATTCTCATATGGATGTATCACTGTCTTCTATGTGTAACAGGCGTAAGACAGCATGTTTGGATGGTCCCACTCATAGGCGGGCTCTGGCTGGGACAATGTGAGCTGACTTTGATAGCAAAATGGGGCGGTGTGCATACTGTTTATTCATCTGCGTGACGGCTTACGTATCGGTCTCTTGCCCACAGCCCGAACTACGGTGAACAGAACTGTGTGTATTTGCTTGCGTGGGAAGCGTGGTGACGAAAGACGTGGTGTGACGCTGCAATTCGTGAACAAGTAACCATCTCGAAGCCTGTTACTCGCTCTTCGTGTGTGAGAAGAGAACATAAATCCCATACTTCGCCAGCGTTCAACGACCGCAGGGGGAAAAGGTCTATTATTATGGTTGTCGGTGCAGACTACATGGCAAACAGACCGACGTGCCTGTCCAACAAACGGCGCGCATGCTAGTCCATTGGTAGCACTAGATGTCATAAGGCCTACTTACAATGGAATAGAGGAGTAATAATTGCTCCTGTGAGATCTACAACCCCAGGCGCTTCAACCGAGGTCACACATCCTGCCAATTCAAAGGCTCAGTCGCGCCGAATAATTCAAAAGAGCACTGCGCACAATCATCTGACACCACCGCAGTATTTGGCATACAACACGATGCCAAACTGTCATGCAAGGTGGTGCTCGCATCATTCCTGTCGCGACCTGCTAACTGCCAAATATACAAAGTTAGGAACGACGCTTCGCGCCGCTCTCGACTCCCTAAATGACTCACGGTTTCTCATGGGACGTTCTGTTGGGAAAGAACGCGTCCACGGCATGTTGTGGGTTCGCGAACACCATCGCCGGTCTGGGAAAGGTGAATGGCCAACAGAGCTGGCTTCGGTGTGTCTGTGTACAGCATTGCACGGATAAGCGGAGGTGCGAAGATCTGCCAGCACCCAGAGGGTCTTGACTCACCTTCTACCGCGGGTTGGAAGACGTGCACAATATTTATCCTTCTGAGAAGTGGAAGTGGAGCTCCGGCCTTCCCGCTACACGTGCACGTGCAGATTCCACTTAGCATTTGGTTCCACACGTCGAGTGTCAACAAGTGAGAAGATGAGAGATTAGTGCTGTGTCGCTAGCGAACTCATCTGTGATCCGCAATATGCATCGTCAGGGCCAGTGCAACGAGTTTTGTGATGGACGTGCCCAACCCAAGTGCTAACCCCAGAATAGGGTTCGAACTCCTAGTGATTGCACTTCTGGTCCGTTGCGATCATATCTCAAGGTGACACCAGTAAGATCAGCATCATCTAGACTAGGAGACCATACTCACGTACGACAATGGGTTCGGTGCCACTTATCCGATGCGAGTGGGCTTCGTATAGGAGACAGCACTAGTGCTCGTCTTAGGGTTCAGTCAAACCGGAGCGGCGTCATAAGACCTACATCACCTTCGTGAGGGGGAGTAGTCGCTGCACGATCCAGGACTATTACCAAAATATTCGGGGGGCAATGCTGCTGGATGCTCTGCTACACGTCTTGGATCTGATAAGTGCATGATGGTGATTTCGAGTATGAGATTCATGGGCGTGCACCGGGAGCTGTGTATGCTCTCGGGTTGAGCTCGGCGGTCGACAGCTTCGCCGATCGAGTCTCAGAGCTGCGGGCGAGAGAAGACAGTATTGTAGGATGTGAGGGGGCGATTTGGTGGACCCGAAGATGCGGATGCGATTAGGTGGGTTTCGTCTCCGTAGCTGAGTCGGATCGCTGAACGTTGGATCTGTAATGTAATCCCCCTGAAATGAATGCGAAACACTGGTGCAGATCAGGTTCGAACGCTAAACACACTGCCTCGATAACTTACCAGAGCGTTTATCGCCCCTGCAGCGTCCCGAAACATCCAGCGCACAGCTTACTCAGAAGGAATGCTCGGTTCCACGCCCAGATATCGCGCAAGAACCATGGCTATTTGTGCGATCCTCGAGCGCAGTACGCCAGATTCCACACTTGGCATATGTATTACAAGCCGAGCACCAGGGAGGGAAAACATCGCAGTGAGACCTGAGTTAACTTGACCGTAAGTTCATACGGTCTGATCGGCTGTGCGGCCCAGCGGAGTGAAGACGCACGACTGTCGCGACGAGTAGCGATTTTTGCGGAGGCACCAGGTGGCCAGCACTGCCCGGAGTCGAGCTCGCCCATCGTACCCGAGTGCCCGCGTCCAGATACGCATGTACGCGTATGCGCTATGAAATAGCGCGCGCGTAGGCTTCAAAGTTCAGAAGATAATTTTCGGACGAATCGAAGGCACATCCTGCGTGCTCAGCGCTCCACTGTCCGGTGTGTCCAATGCGGAATCTCGCTGGCAGTGGCAGTCATCCCGCGAACGGAGGTCCTGGTTGATTTCGGGACATATATAGGCATGGTGTATCTAGTTGCGATGACATCGTATTTGTGGTTTGTGGACGACTCAACCACCGGCGCCAGATTCGCCAGCGCTTCAAACTTTGCTGCGCGTCTAAGTATAATTGCGAGAAGAGTTTCGAAGGCACTATGGGCGCTTCCCGGACGTTCCGCGCGCCTATCTTAGAGTTTCCTGAGGCATGAATCCGGATCGCGAGGAGGGTGGTACTCATCTGATGATTATGATCTGGTAGCCTCGTGGAAGCGGTCAGTCGCACGTCAGAGTGCGTTCGAGGTTTGGTCACTATCTATGGTGGGTGACACACGCGAGGTGAGTCACCACACGGTGGTGCGCCTCGAGTCTGGTGTGGCGGCCGCTACGGGTGGCGCGTGCAGTGCGGGCCACAACGGTTGGAAGTGAACATTGACTCAATCTTTGTGCAAGGTGGGGCCATGCCTGTACGGAGAACCTTGTTACATGCTTCGGTCCGGTGACGCAGGCTGCTGCCAGGGTGTTGGAGTCCCATGGACCTAACATTAGACCTCGTGTTTAATGTTGTAAAGATCGGCTCTAATAAAAGGGCACGCGCATACAGCGCACGTATTGGTGTGTCCACGCTATGGAATGAAAGTGGAGCATGTCGGTATTCATTTAGGATAGAGTTGGACAGTCGTCTGAACTGCCAAACAACGGGGTCTCCTCCAAAAATGGAAGGTGACCTTCCCGAAGCGGCAAGAATAGTCGCAGGCATGTCGAATTCGCTCGCACACTGACCTTAAGTATCTTGTCTTGAGGCCTCGTGACGGACTTAATGATGTCTTCCACACAGCATAAGTCTTACATACCACATACCCCAGTTCCAGATATAGCATCAGTGATAGATCGATGGGAGCTAGTACTGTATATAATGGATGTCATTCATCGTGAATCACCCCTGTCTTCCTGCTGTCTTCCTTCTGTCTGACACCTTTCTGAGAAGAAAAAAAATAACATTGTAGCCAGACAAAGGCACAATAAGCTTTAAAGCAAGGTATATGACTTTTGACGACTCAGGCGAAGACAAGAGCTAAACACAATTGTCATACACTGCTCGCTTTAATTGCACTCGCCACAGCCCAGTCGGTTCTACGATTGTCTGGTGTATCCATAATTGAGACGTCGGTGGCGATACAGGCAGAGTTGCCGGAATAGTTGTGCTTGCGCGTACATCCTGTGAGTGCGTCTTTGACCATCTCGGGCTTGGTAATACGGTTCGGGCAGTGCTTGTCTCTCGAACAAGCCTAAGCTTGCTCGCCGCGGAATCGTATGCACGCAGGGAGACAGCGTCCGCATTCTGCGGTACCCGCTCACTCGCCAAGCATACTTGCACAGAAAATCCTGTGCCATGCTCCGGGCTTACAGTGCACCGGATGCAGAATTAATGTCGTGCACAGCATAGGAAGTTCTGCGGAAGTGTGGAGAAGACGGTGGCGGATGGCCATAATAGGGTATTTTTGTGCGCGGGTTGTAACTTTGGAGACAGGGGCGGAGCCGAAGACGCCGCAGACGCGTCGGGGCCGGCTCGAGATCGAGCATAGTGGAGTTACGAGTCCCGTGCCCATGACGGTGGCTGGTCGAGGGCGCGCCGACTCCGTGAACACTGCAGACACGCTGCGTATTGCGCGACGTTGACGACTGCGTCTGAGAGTGATTATTTCGGTTGGACACTGTCAGAGACTGACAGATATCGTGCAGGTCATTTCGGCAGAGATTCGCACGGGTTATATACGTTTGTCGTCGGAGTTTAGATCGGCATCTGTGAGCCAAGCGAACGCGTTGATTGCACGTGTAACGTGGTTCGCAATAGCCTTCGTGGTATAGAGATCTGTGGTAAGTCAGTGTTGAGGCTGCATCATCGCGGGGTTTGACACAGGTACTATGCTCAGGATCCTGAGCAAAAGCGGGCGCAGGGAGCCTGACGGAGGCGGCTACGGGGAAAACGAGGAACTTGGCGGCATCCAGACACGGAGAGTTCTTCGTAGAAATACCGCACAGCCTCGCCGGAGCGTGCCGACCGTTGAAAAGTCGAATTCCTGGCGACGACATATTTAAAGAGACACTCCTTCTCCCTTAACGTGAACGGCGTTGTGCGTACCATGTCCCTCAATGACAACGGGCCAGACAATATTCCCAGCATCGTGACCACTGACCTCTCTCTCGACCCAGCACCCCCGCGCACGCCCTCTCCGCACCCGTATCCACCGCCATCGCCTTCCTTGTCCCCGTCCTCTTCTTCTCCGCACAATAATCCCAGCCCGCTGTTTCTCTCGCCTTCTCCCATTCTCAGGTCCCCCATTCGCCCGCGGTCCAGCCTGGACGTACCGCCGCACCCAGGTTACTCACCCACTCTTTCTCCGCGTTCCCCATCTCCTAGCTATGCGTCATCAACAGATGACCGTGCGTCCTCTTCTTCTCATCCTCCCCCCTCTCCCACTCTTTCTGCCCGCTCTTCTGTCCACTTCGCAAACACCTCTCTCGCCCTGCGTGACAACAAGCCAGACTCCGGCTTCTCCTCTCTCCAGCTCCTCTCGGCAGATTACCACCACACACACAGTCGACGCAAGGGCAGCGTCAGCAGCGCGATATCCATGTCGTCGCACGCGGAGACCGAGCCAGACCCGCACGGCACCCCGTACGGTCTTGTCACGCTCTCCAATCCCTGGGGAACAGCCCACAGCTCGCCCTCGGCCTCGCCAACGCAGACACACTTCGAGGCGTCCGAGTCCGAGGACGTCGACGGCACCACCGTCCTCTCGCACTCGCGCTCGCGCTCGTATTCTCGCCGTAAGTTGTCTGACGCGCAGCGCAGCTCCCCCGCGCACTCCCCCACGGCGTCCGTGCACGTGGCCCCAGATGCCGACGCACCAGACGCGGAGAACCGCCCGGAGCTCGACCTCACACAGGACGACGCGATCGACCCCGCGCCGTTCGCGTTCAAGCCGTACGCGCTCGCGTCGCTCGTCGACCCCAAGAACATGCCCGCACTCCAGGACATGGGCGGCGTGCACGCGCTCCTGCGTGGGCTCGGCACACACGCGAAATTTGGGCTGGACGCGCGTGCGCTCCAGCATGCGTCACACGAACACGAGCACGCGCACTGGCACGAGCGGCACGCGTCGGAGCGCACTGAGGACACCGCCACGTCGCGTGCAGGGCTCATCGCCCCGCAGACGCAGAAGGCGCAGGATGACCGCCCTGGCGCGGGAATAGGGGCAGGCCTCGGGGCGTCGCAACGACATGATCGGAATACGCGTGCAGGCATCGGCGTCGGGGAGACGGACGCGGTGCCGGGAATTGTAGTGACCGCTCCCGCGAGTGAAGGCGGGTCGCCGTTGGCGTCGCCTGCCGCTGTGGATGACGGGGCAAGCACAAGGTGTGGCGACGAGGAGCCGGAGGGGAGTGTGTGGAAGGAGGCAACGGGTACAAGTACGGAAGGTGAGGAGCGCAGCATGGAAGAGGGCGACGAGAAGGCATATACTGCGCCGATAGACGAGCGCCGGAGAGTATATGGCGTGAACGTGCTCCCGACGCGGAAGACGAAGAGTTTGCTGCAGCTGATGTGGCTCGCCATGAAGGATAAGGTGTTGGTGAGTGCTGGCCACATTATTTTTTTGTGCGACCTCTCACCGGTAACAGGTGTTGCTCTCGATCGCAGCGGTAGTGTCTCTGGCTCTAGGCTTCTTTCAAGATTTCGGTACGCCGCGACCGCCTGGAGAGCCCCCGGTCGACTGGGTGGAGGGCGTGGCAATTATCGTTGCGATCGTTATCGTCGTGCTCGTCGGTTCGCTGAACGACTGGCAGAAGGAGCGGCAGTTCCAGGTGCTAAACGAGAAAAAGGAAGAGCGTGGCGTCAAGGTCATGCGTGCGGGTGTCGAACACGTCATTGACATCAAAGAGGTCGTCGTAGGCGACGTTGCGCTGCTCGAGCCCGGCGAGGTCGTGCCGTGCGACGGCATCTTTCTCTCTGGGCACAATGTGCGATGTGACGAGAGCGCTGCGACGGGCGAGACGGACGCTATTCGCAAGGCGCCGTATGATGATTGCTTGGCTATAGAGTCGGCCCACCACGATCACGACACGCACACTGATTGCTTCATCATCAGCGGGAGCAAGGTCCTTGAGGGATACGGGCGGTACGTGGTCATCTCGGTCGGCACCAAGAGTTTTAACGGTCGGATTATGATGGGTGAGTAAATTTTCGCGCATAGTCTCGTCAGGAACGTGACTGACGTGCACTGCAGCACTCCGCGGCGACTCGGAGAGCACACCGCTGCAGCTGAAGCTGAACGACCTCGCCGAGCTTATCGCCAAGGTGGGCAGCGCGGCGGGGCTCGTGCTCTTCATCGCCCTCATGATCAGGTTCTTCGTGCAACTGGGCACCAACAATCCACCTCGCACTGCGAACCAGAAGGGCATCGCGTTCGTGCAGATTCTTATTATTTCTGTGACACTGGTCGTCGTTGCAGTTCCCGAGGGTGCGTCCTGAAATTTTACGGTGCCGACAAATCCTAATACTCTCTTGACACCTTGCTTGGCGCACTTATAGGACTGCCGTTGGCGGTAACACTGGCGCTCGCGTTCGCGACAAAGCGGATGACGCGGGAGAATTTACTCGTGCGCGTGCTCGGCTCGTGCGAGACGATGGCGAACGCGTCCGTCGTGTGCACGGACAAGACTGGCACGCTCACGCAGAACGCTATGAGTGTCGTGGCGGGCACCGTCGGCGTGCACTGCAAATTTGTGCACCACCTCGAAGACAACCGTGCGCGCACCAACGCCAGCGAGGCCCCCGTTCGCGAGGACCTCGGTGGCGCATTGCGCGCAGGGCCGAGCTCGGGCTCGGATACGTCAATGAGGAAGCACACGCAGGACTTCTCGATTGACCAGCGCCAGCTGAACGACGTGCTCCCGCCCTCGCTGCGGGAGCTGTTCAACGCCGCGATAGCGGTGAACTCGACGGCGTTCGAGGACACGGACCAGGAAACGGGACGGCTCGCGTTCGTTGGGAGCAAGACCGAGACCGCACTTTTGGGGTTTGCGAAGCAGAACGCGTGGGAGGACTACAAGCGCGTGCGCGAGGGGGTGTCTGTCGTGCAGATGCTGCCGTTTTCGAGCGCGCAGAAGGCGATGGGCGTCGTCGTGCGCCTCCCTGGGCCCCGGCCGCGCTGGAGAGTCTACCTGAAGGGCGCGAGCGAGATTTTGACGAAGCGTTGCACGAGGTACGTCGTCGTGCGACATGACGGCGGCAGCGCGGAGGTCGACGAGGTCGAGACGCAGGAGATTGATGAGCTTGCGAGCGATAACATTTCGCGGACCATCATTTTCTATGCCAATCAGACGCTTCGGACCATCGGGTTGTGCTACCGCGATTTCGATGTGTGGCCCCCGCCTGGGGCAGAGTACGTGGACGAGGACGAGGTGCGTGGCAGGCTACTTCAGAGTTGCGGGCCCCTGATTTGGTGCATACATAGGTATCCTTTGATGATCTCGCTTGTGAGCTGACGCTCATAGCTGTGGTTGGCATCGAGGATCCGCTGCGCGAGGGCGTACGCGAAGCCGTTGCGGACTGCCATAAGGCAGGCGTGACAGTCAAGATGTGCACGGGTGACAACGTTCTGACTGCGCGCTCCATCGCGCTGCAGTGCGGGATATTCACGTCCGGTGGCATCATCATGGAGGGCCCTTTTTTTCGCAAGCTCAATCGCGACGACCTGCTCGAGGTCGTTCCGCGTCTTCAGGTGCTTGCGCGGTCCTCCCCGGACGACAAGAAGCTTCTGGTCGAGACCCTGAAGGACCTCGGTGAGATTGTTGGCGTTACCGGGGATGGTACGAACGATGGCCCTGCTCTCAAGACTGCCGACGTTGGATTTTCGATGGGCATTGCGGGCACTGAAGTCGCGAAGGAAGCGTCGGATATCATCTTGATGGACGACAACTTCGCCTCGATCGTCAAGGCTATCATGTGGGGACGCTGCGTGAACGACGCAGTGCGCAAATTTCTGCAGTTCCAGCTCTCGACGAACGTCACTGCTGTTGCTGTCACGACGATTTCTGCGGTCGCGTCGGCGTCGGAATCATCCGTTCTGTCTGCTGTGCAGTTGCTGTGGGTTAACATCATCATGGATACGTTCGCTGCGCTCGCCCTTGCCACCGATCCTGCGTCTCCGGCATTGCTTGACCGCAAGCCTGACAAGAAGACTAGCCCGTTGTTCTCGGTCGATATGTACAAGCAGATCATCGGTCAATCGGTGTATCAGATCATTATCGTGCTGGTTTTCCACTTCTTGGGCAAACGGGTGCTCACCTCGGACTCGAATAACGCGGTGCAGACGGTCGTGTTCAATCTCTTCGTCTTTGCGCAGATTTTCAACTCGATGAATTGCCGTCGGTTGGACAACCGCCTCAATATTTTCGAGGGCATGTTAAATAATTACTATTTTATGGGTATCACGCTACTTGGTACGTTGGCTTGCACCACCCCTCTGTCGTTGCTGATTATTGCATTCCTGCAGAAATTGGCGTCCAAATCCTGATCGTATTCGTCGGCGGTGCGGCTTTCTCAGTCACTCGGATTTCCGGTCGTGATTGGGGTATCAGCCTCGCGCTCGGCGTCGTCTCTATCCCTCTGGGAGCTCTCCTTCGTTTCATACCAAACGCACCCGTTGAACGGTTCTTGAAGGCTATCCGCTTAATGTCTAATCCCGAGGTGCTGCCGACGACTCGACCCGATACGGAGTGGAACTCCGCCATCGAGCTCGTCCGGGACAACCTAAATACTTTCTCCCATGTACGTGGTGGGCGCATGCGCGCATCATCGTACGTGGGTAAGAGTCGCAAAGCACATGCACCGCCGCAATCCCGCGTACCTCTGTACGTGTTTCCTGCTCTCGGGTGTTGTGATAATTGACTTATTGACTTGTGCTCGTAGTTCGTCGATTATGACGATGGTTCCGACATTGGTCGCATCTTCGATCGGTGCTGGCTGGGCTCCTCAGTCTCCTAGTGGTCTTTCAGATCCTGCGCGCTTCGACCCGTCGAAGTCGTCGGCTGCGTTGTGGGAAGGGCGCATACAGTTCCATCCGGACACGAAGCATGACGACCCAGCGTTTAAGCGATGGGGTTCGATAGCGCGACACGACAAATAGCCTTTTCGCTTTGCAGGGAGATTGGCGATTGCTTCTGCACCAACATCGGTCGCGGAACCGAAGCCTGACAGCACCCTCAGAATCGTAGGGCTGTAGGATCTGGCACCGTGGCATATACTCGCTGTCCGCTCTCTTGTGGTCGAGCCTGACGGGCTCGTGGTTTCTTTCTCAGTTTTTTTTTTCACTGCTCCTCCCAACGTCTGGCGCAAATGTAACCAACGCCAACTTTGCTTCCATCGGTTCGTTGCATCTCAAGTTCATGTGCATGTGCATATACCCGCTGCATCACGTCTCCGCCCTGTCTACTGAAGCTGCTCTATAATTTCGCATATCTTGCAAGTTCCATAATGCCGCATGACTCCCATAGATCACGAACAACCACCATGTGTACATATACGCTTATGCATCCGGATCTCTCTCGTCTCTCTCATTACAGGTGATGACACTTTATTTGTCGGTTGTCATCACCGCAGACATGTCCACATGTCCTCTACCTTTAAAACACGCAGAATCTTTTGGTACAACGGGCATATCTGTTTTCATACTGTATACGACGAATCAATATCATTCAGTCACTCTAGATCTGTGAAGTTACGTACGGCGTCAAGTTGTCGTGAGTACTTCATGATCAAATTGCCACGGTGCCTCTACTTCCGCCCTACTTCCAGCATCTGTAGTCTGTGTTCACTTTATTCAAGGGAGCACGGAATGTTAGAAGGTGGTTCCACAGGTGGATTGTTGCTAAATCCAATAGATGGAATTGCACGCCTGCCTCCGGCCAGAAACCCTGCTCCGCCGTGGTCTCGTAGGGCCCGTAAGTTGCGATGTTCATTTTCTACGTATTCTCACCGTATTCGTGTACAGGTGAAGTGGCTGCAGCTACTCATGGAGGCTCGAACGTCTCTCCTCCAGTCGTAGCACCCGTTGTCGTAGACCCTAACGCGCCCCGAGACGTTTACCTCGGGAGTGACTGCTTCGAGAACGCCAGGGCCCATTGGTTTCTATTCGTACCATCCCAGATTCACCCTTCCATCGGTAAGGTGATTCAAGTCACAGGCAATCCATGGGTCGGCTTTGGCTTCCAGGTGAAGCTGAACTACTGCAGCCAATCTCAGGCGCTCGCCGGTGTACACTCTGAGACACCTGGTCAGCCGCAGTACAGGATCACGCAGATGGTCAGGTTGGGTTCTACCGCGCCATCTAACGTGCTGGACGATTACGTTCCCAATCCGCTGTCTGGTCCTCAGCTGCGCGACTTCCCTGTAGACAAGCTGGAAGGGGCTGCTTATGATCTGGGCCTGCCATATCGTGACCCCAATGCTATCTTACCTGATCCCTCGGATCTTGTGTGGCGTAGCAAGGCGCCCCATCCCCAGATAGAGCGGTGCCAAGGATGGGTGAAGAGGGTGGTGGAACGTTGGGTAGAATTGGGTTTACTGAACGGAGAAGCCATCGAGGCTCTGGAGAACGGGAGAAGCTTCGGGGTATGATACCCTCTCTCATTGACCACCGGTACCGGTACCGCTGTATCTCTGTGTATTGGTTTTATTTACATACCTATCCTTTGGAACTGCAGAATTTTTCAGTGGATGACAATCATCAGACAAGGTTAACTGCATGCCCCGAAGTATTTATAAAGTCGAGTACGGCTTTCGCGCCACGTAGATTGACACAGCACACGACCTATGTCACGACCGTCAAACATACCACGCAGCTTGGAATCGTCGTTTTATGATGATTTTACACTGCTCCTTGACATTTCATGCTTCCCGTACTGCACTACCTGCGAATACAATTTCTGACGAATCACATTTTTGGAGGATTTCTTCGAAGTAACCGTTACCGTGCCAGACCGTAAGGTGTGGATTCAACAAGAATAAAGCAAGCGGAAATCTATGGGATGAAGCCACATATAACTTTTGCGCGGAGGAAGTTCGCATGTCTATAGAGAACGACTCTTTCTTCGTATCTACCGGAGGCTGGTTTACGTTCTAGGCGGCATGCGGCCTGCAACTGAAGTTTGACTTTACTGCATACTTTACTAATTTCTCGCTCACAATAGGGTTGACTTAAGGTACACCATCTTACTTCCTACATGTTGAGAAAAGAATACAGGATTTCTACAGGCGAGAAGATGTTTTCGTATCGGATCTGAATTCTTTCACCAGCATCTGCGGTACATCTGCGGCTGGCATTTCTAATTCCTGCACAGATCTTAGTGTCGCGGACTGTCCTCAGGCTGGTTCTCCAGATGCCAATATAGATGAGTGCCTTCCTCGCTATGCCATCCAAGATCGGTATAGCATTATACTGTACGCTTTCAATTTACGAGACTCGGGAAACGACAACGACGATGCGTGAGAATAGAGGGTAACTGATGCTGTACACTTCTACAATGTTTATGTAGGGATACACGACTATTGACTGTTTCAAACATCTTCACCGATTGAAAACGCAAACGAGGAAAGCAAAACGTAGCCAAGTTCTCGGTCCATAAGCCACTGCCAGGGAAATCATCATGCCCAGCTGTCAATAAGGGAATCGCGCATCTCTCCGATAACTGCTGCCGAGCTTTGGCCTTGTAGCTCTGCGATAGTAGCGTTAGGTTGTCACCAGACAGAGTCGAACTGCGGGACGCACTGAATGTAGCCTCAATGACGCTGATCTCTGTCGCCGTGGTGTCGAAACCCGTGAATGCGCACCAATCGTTCACCACAAGACCGGCCCCGATCACGTCTGAGCCACGGTTCACCGTACCCGCCTGATATGCCTGATATATTAACAGATAGCATGGACATGAGAGAACGGACGGCACACACCACGAGTGGAATTTGCAGCAGACTGCTCAGCTCATCCTGATCCTGCACGCTCGTCTTGGGGTGGACGAGCCCACCTTGATTCGTGATGGCGCAATAGCTGCCCACGAGCACATTGTCCGCAATAGTCTGGCGGAAGACTTCCACCTTGAGGACGTCAGCGATAATCTCCTCTGTCTCTCGATCCACATCGGGATGGACGAGCGCGACGTAGTCGTTACATGCAATGACGTTTCCGAGAGCCGATAGTCGCTCTTCTACCCGCTGAATAGCAATCGCATCAGGTAGTGAGTTCCGCAAATGCTGCAGCTCCTGGTCGGTGGTTGTGGAGGGTACAAGAAGTCCGTGACGGTTTCCTGAGTAACTTTCAGATTGTTCAAGTGCACGAGACAGAAATCATACCAACCTGCCGTCAATCGTCCTATTATCCTCGTACCGCCAATACTTGTGTGTACGATCGGAATAACATCGCCTAGTTCGCTCTCGAAGGCGGAGTAGAAGTTTGTGCTGCCTTGAATTGCACAGAGGCAGTAGCTGTTCGTCAGCTTGGCGAATACGCCGATATCGCTGTTGTTTTCGAATTGGACACCTGAGTTTTCAGATTTTACAAATGGAGTAGATTGGATGCTGTATAGATGGGCTTACGGGTAGCCATAATGCGCGGGGGATATCAGGCGTGTATCGTCCGAGAGTCTGTGCTAAGATCAAGGAAAGAACGACGTGCAGTAAATGCAGTCGAGCTATCGAGGAATCGTGGAGGATGTGGTGAGGAGAAAAATGAGACGCGGTATAAAAGTCGAGCATGATCAAGTCATCGCGGTCGCGTGACGAGGAACGGTACCGGCTTTGCGCTTCGAGCTCGACATCCATCTTCTCCGTGACTCTCCCTCAGTCTGACCGAGTCACTGTTGTGCTTATCGCCTTGACATGCACCGCCTGGCATACAACGCATCTGGCATTCGATCTTTACACAGCTTGTCGGCGCACAAGACATCAATTTCTGCTGGTACACGCTCCGTGCGATGGAGGAGAAAGCGATATGTGTCTGCTACGCCATGTCGGCCTTTAGTTAAAGCAGTCGACCATACGGTGACCAATGTGGAGAAAATCCTTTTGGACACGATCAGAGTATGGCCGTTTTCCCCCGTAGACTTGTCCTGAATGCACTGAGATCCTACCAAGGCAACAGGGCCCATATCGTATGCCACCTACATGCAGATGTGTCTTTCACATCCAGTGTATGGCTACTACATGAATCAAGATCATGCTGTTATAGGCTCTCGAGGGGACTTTACGACAAGCCCAGAGATTAGCCAGGTCTTCGGCGAAGTAAGTCACCTCTCGGAGTTGCACAGATTAGCGAAGGTAACGAACTTCCAGCGCCGGAATTAGCTCGTCGGTATATGGCTGCTCTCTCAATGGCTTCATACGGGTGCCTCCCGCAAGATACGGCTAATCGAACTGGGACCGGGTCGCGGGACGTTAATGAAAGATATTCTCCTGGTCTGTCCCCGTTCGTCTTTGTCGCAATGGTTGTTCACCCAGTCGTTGGTTTTAGACGTTCAACAAACTTTCCACGGCTAAATCAGCGGTCAAGGAGATCCACTTGGTGGAGACAAGTCCTGCTATGATTCGCCAACAGAACGCTAGCCTTGCTCCCTTCAATTTAGACATACACTGGCACAGTTCACTGGATGCTGTTCCACCGGACCCCACCAGGTTCAGCATGGTAGTCGCGCATGAGTTCTTCGACGCGTTGCCATTCCATCTTATCGAGGTGCCAATAATATGTTCATGAATAAGCGTTAATCTGACAGTCCTTTAGAAAAGACATGAAGGCTGGCACGAAGTGCTGATAGACCGTTCTCCGGATTCGGTGGACTCGCAAGTTGAGGAGCGCCAACAAAAAACCCAGCTTACCACGTCTCTCGACCTTGGATCATCTCCTCCTGTGTCTCTGAAACCCCGTTTCCGTCAGGTCCTATCTCCAACGCCTACAGCATCTTCTTCCTTGCTCGGGCAATCCTCACCTCGCTTCCAACGGCTCCCCGTAGGGACTCGGCTGGAAATATCTCCGGCGGCATTCAAAACTGCCCGTCGAATCGCAGAGCTTCTTAATCCAGAAGATGAAGGAGAGTCCGGAGGATGTGCCCTCATTGTAGATTATGGCGGAGACAAAGCGTATGGAAATTCGTTCCGCGTGAGTTGAACCATTCGTGCGACGTGAGATTCATACCTGCTAGCCTGTCCACAAAGTTGTTACAACCACACAGAAACTAACTGATTGGGTATGCTATTAGGCATTCAAGGACCACAAAATTGTCGATGTCTTCCATCGTCCTGGGGAATGTGATCTCACGGCCAACGTCGATTTCCAATACCTGAAGGATGCTACGGCAGATTTAGGTATGTCTCCCCCCACGCTTTTCTCTCCTTCTGAATCCACGCTTGGTAGTTCTCTCGCATGGCCCGCTGTCACAAGCCACCTTCCTGAAGCATATGGGCATCGACGTGCGCGTCGAAGCGCTTCAAAAGGCTGCGCAGTCGGAGACGCGTGCCAAAGAAATCAAAGAGGCTGCACAGCGTCTGGTTGACCTCACTGGCATGGGAAGCCAATATAAGGTCATGGGCTTAAGTGGCAAGACGGTGCAGAAAGTGCCTCCTGAGGCGAGATGGCCATTCTTGGAGGTGGACTACAAGACCAGCCAGGGGTGGTAGAATGTATCCATATATCCAGCCTATCGAGAGTTCCAATGCGAGATGCGTTGCTGAAAATTTGATCTTGGATAACGATGCGGGAGATGACTAGTATACTCGTCTGCATCGTGCGGGGCCACGACGGTAGGAAATTTTTTCAATACTGATATTTTGAAGCTCTAACCGGCAAACCACTTACCAAAGACGTTGCACAGGAAATGGTGATTCATGATTTCAGTCGTGCGGAGAGTTAAGGCCGCCCCCGATGATGGCCTCCCGAGTGTCTGCGCGGAGAACGTGATCGCGAACTCCTTCTGCGGGACTGACGAGCAGATTCTATGTCCCCTTTGTGATCAGAATGTCTGGAGGCCTCCTGACCACGGTCATTTCTTCGAACGCGACTTGATGTTCCCCCTGAGAGCTCTTCTGCAATACTGTCTGCACGCTGCTCCACGCCCTGTCTGTCCAAAACACCAGCACGCTGAATATCCTCATCCTCGCCTTCTTCCCGTTCCTTCCGCTCTACCTTTTCCTCCTCTCTCTCTTTCGTTCGCTTCCACACGAGCTTCTTCTGACATTTCGCGCAAAGCACTACTTTCACGAGCGCAAATTTGTTCTCGCCTTCTTCAATATACGAGAAGGGGAGCTCTAGCGTTTGCAGCGACGGTGTCACTGTTCTCTCCCTCATACCACTCTCCGTATGGAGCGGACAACGGGTGTTGCCGCAGGTCGTCTCACCAGCCCCAGAAATCACTTCAGACTCTGTCCGCCAGCGCAGAGAAAACTGAAATTTACTCAGACACAATTAATGCGCGGATATGCGAGGGAAACACTCACATTTCCTGACTTGTAGTGTTTCAGATCGCATACCGCGAACTCGCGATATAAGCTTTGGTAGTATTTCTTCGCGAGTTGCTCGTCCCAAGATAATTCACTCTGCTTATCATCTTCCCTGAGGAACCTACGTGCCAGTGCGGTGCATGATGAATAGTCAGCATGAGTATACCGCGTCGGTGAACGTCGCCACCTGCTTACTTGTGAGAGGCCTTAAGGATATCGAACTCGCTTGTACCCGCTCGTGGGGTAGCTTTTGATGAGCTACCCTGGCTGTACAGCGCCATGCGTGTCGTCAGCTGGAACGTATCCGAGTCGTTGCAGCATTGCACGAGCTGCTTAGTCAGCAACAGTTGCTTCCGGCGCGAGTGCGGCTGCGGGTGTTCCGCCGCTACCACCTATTTGTGAGGGAGTCAGTTCCACGTATATTGACACGTTACGGTCGAGCAAGGTTACACGTTACCGGCTGGCCGACTATACTTCACGCCAACCAACTGCAGGATCAGAGTGAGGATATTTCTACTTGGTTGGTCAGATATCATCACGGCGTCTTTCATCCTGCATGTTGTCTATCACGGTGACCCAGCCCATCGATGATATATCAAACCTGATACTGTGCCGCTGCAGTGTGGTTTGTTATAAATTCCCGTTGACAACCCGACTCCTTCGTTGTGCTACCCCTCACGCTAAATACCCAACGACAGCCCAGAGTCAAGTTATAACGCTGCACTATGGCACGGCCTTCGCTTCCTCCAGAAATCCTGGAGCGTATTTTTCGCTCTAATTTGAAGCAGCGTCCACATGGTATTGAGCCAATTGCTGAGGGTGTAGACGAAGACGAAGACGATTGTGGACGCACCTTCAGGGAGGATGCGAACTTTCTTCTTCCTTGTTGCAGTGTCTCAAAGGACTGACACCGTGTTGCTACAACGTTACAATATCAAGGAAGAATTGACATCCGTCAGTCTCACTCACCCTGCGTATCATACCCCGTTTATTCACCAGATGTCCTGCAGGTTCCCTACGAACGATCCAGCTGCTCCTACGGAGCGTGCAGGAAGATTTCATAGCACCATGTCCCATCCGGCACCTCGCACTGCGTACCTACCCTAGCCTGAGATACCACTCAGTGATACTCAGAAATGAGTTTGCTGCCCTTGCGGCGCTCCTTCTCCCAATTTGCACCGACCTACGATATCTCGAATGCACCAGTGTACCGTTTGGCAAGTCTCTGACTACTGCAGTGGGATCATACCCTCCGCTCCTGTCGTTGCGCGAGCTCAGCGTCGGCCACGTATATTTTCGCGACCTTATTCCTGTCTTGATACACGCTCCCAGCCTCGAGAAGCTGGATATCACATCACTCACCAATTTCTGCCGCTACCCTGATAATCATGCTAACCCTATTGATTATGCCCCGCTGTCCAACTGGGTTGCACTTGCCCACCCGGTTACTCCCACATTCAGCCTGCACCATCTCCGCTTGTGCAGCACCAGACTGCATCCTGACCAAATCCCCTGGTTGCTTGCATACTCGCGCAATGTTGCCCTCATTGAGCTGGAAGGCTACACAGGTGACATACTCGGGGCGCTCGCGACCTCCACCGGCAGCGCCGTTCGCTCACTGAAATTGACCGGAAGACATCGGCTGGAAGATCCCGTGGATTTTGCCCAGCATATTTCTCTCTTCACAGGTCTGAAAGCACTGCAGCTTAGTCGTCAGGACGTAGCTATGCATGCGCTATTACCTGCTATCCGTTCCCCACTCGAATCCTTGGGGGTTTATTATAGCGCTATCACCATCGCGAACCTCATGGTTGCACTCTGCGATAGGACCTGCCTTCCGGGGCTGAAGACAGTAGCTGTATATTGCGACGCCACTGTCCAACGATTGATCGAGGCTCAAAGAAGGCCTCTGGAGGACGTATGTTCTGCCCGTGACGTCGAGTGCATTTGGGAAACATCCCCTACGTGAGTGTTGGCCTTACTGTCCTTTGGCGGTAGGCTGTGGTTATAATTTTGTTGGTAGACCGATTGCTCGCATCGTCTGTGCGTATCCTGATGACTAGATGGATGGTTATTAGAAAATTCTGCGGAGAGCTGGGCGCGGTTCAATTAAGACATATTATCATCCCCTGATTCCCCTGTTTCCTACACTCGCCGCCGCACTACTCGTTTCTGAATTTTTTTTGGTTTCAGCGAATGTCATAGGTTTCTACGGCTCGTATGGACTCTCGTATTCATTCTGTAGACTACTACTGATTGTTGGAAATGCTTATCCTTGGACATTGAATTGGTGCTATTGAAATTCCTCTAGAATAATACCAGGCTCTCTATCGTCGTGATTGCTACAGCGCGAGAGAGTCAAGCAGATCCATAATATCCAGATTATACACTGTGTGCCTATGTCCATTCTCAAGTACTTTCCAATGATACCACGGTACAGAGAATCACCACAGCTCCTACATGCTTTCCGCTTCCCTCGACGAACAACTCCTCCGAACTCAACCCACTTTATCTGGTATCCACTGGAGTGCAAATATTGAAGCACCTCACGTTGGTCCCCTGAAGTGCACGCAACGTAGGAAATCGTCTCGAGAGCAAGCAAACCGGTCGAGAAAGTATTATGTAACAGACTCACTCAGTCGCAGATGTAGGAATAGCAGATGCAGTTGTCTGAGCAGTAAGGCTCATAGAACAACGCAAGACATCTTGTCGCCGCTCCCTGGGTAACACGTGCCCTGGACCGTCCCGTCGCCGCCACTGATGTAGAAGGGGATCGTCTGGCCGTCGCTAGCGGGATAAAAGTCGATATTCGTGCCGCAGAAGTTGGTGATGGAGAACGACTCATACTGGGGCGACTCATCGGACACGCCATTAGTGCCGTCGAAGACAGGCGCGTTCTCTGCCCCGTTGCAGTCGTACTGGTTGGACGGGACTGCGATCGCCTCGCCGTTGTTGTATAACTGGCTGCAGGCGCCTACTGCCTCCCCACAGTTGAAGTTGTGGAAATCAGCATTGGCGAGTGAAGCAAGTAGCAGAGCCACCACGAGCGTCGTGGGAAGAGCCTGGGAGAATTGGAGAGAGAGCATTGATGGATCGGCGTCGCAGGACTGAAACACATACGCTGGAGAATATACATCGACTTTTCAATAGGACATTGTGGTCGTGTTTTATACCAATCATAGGGATATCAGCGGCGCCGAAGGTAAGCAGCTTGATAGGCCTGAGGTGCGGGATCGCATGAGCTTATTGGATGTGCCAATGTTCTCGGGTCCCGGTGTCATTCATGTTAGGTCGCCACATCCAGTGGCTTCCTTACCACCGCTCGTCGTAGATACTCCCTAGGTAACCTCTGCAATAGTACAGCGAAGCCGCGCAGGCAGTCAGGATTGACAAAGACCAGCTCAATGACCAGTGTGTAGCCCCATCGAAACGTAGAACTAGTTCTGCTTGGCGACCTCTGAGCGCCTGGTCACTAGTAGCCTAGGGCAAGATCAAAGGCACCCGCTATTGCATCGCATGCCAACGTCGGTAGGGCGCCGTTGGGAGTGGACGGTTACGATGCACGTACCGTTACAAACGTGTCCAGGTCCGCAATGCTACTAGTATGCGGACTGCCAGTACAAATCCGTGCTGGGGAAACTCTTGTGACTGAAGTGTTGTTTGCAGTACTGCCACTGCCAGTGGCGCTGGGGAGACGTGTACAAGAATAATTAAAGGCTAGCGGTGACTGATGTCAGTGAGTTTGCCTGAAAGATATTGAAGGTTCCGCGAACCGATTGGTGTCATTCCAACTGCGTCTATGAACACGGTCCGACTCCCCGAGAGTGCTTCCGCTCAAAAGTCGACCACTCCCTGGCACGGTATCTAGCGCCTTTACAACTTCACCTTCCATCACATGGAAATGCGTGAGGAGTGTGGCCACGATGCCGTTATGAAGCGGTATCATTCGAGTAACGCTTGGCTCACTGCCTTCAAGCTCTGTAACCTCCGAAGCGCTGGTGCTCTGAAAATGTAGTACCAAATTCCAATTAGCCTCTGGTCGATGAGCCGGCGGAATATGTGGGCCTATCTGCATCTCCGTAGAATTCGCAAGGCGCGATACGTCGGGAAGCTTTGAAAATGGTCGCTCTTGTCAATGGATATCCTGGTTAAATTTCCATCACTCTGGCGTACCCTGGGTACGATAGCAGTTTTGGCAGGAGTTCAGCTAAAGGCTTAGACTATCTCTGAGGACTCGATTATTGTGGGCAAGCTGCGATTGCATGGTCAGAGGTACGCACTTTTCGCTGCTGCTGTCTGGGGAAATGAGGGAAGTCAAATGCTAGCCACTACCCGTCGATAAAGGCTTCGCACGGTCTGCAAGGTGTATGGAACAAGGGCACAATCACACATTCCCCGCTCGATAGTACCCCTTTTTCCTACGAGATTTGGTGCCTATAACTGGCTGCATGGAACATCAGTGTATGTATCCGAGCTCTCGTCACCTCGAAATCCACATGCGGCGCTGTCGTTTCCGCCCATTATCTGCATCCCTAAGCAACATCCCTTCTGGACCATGCGTGAGGTCCTTTGCCACTGATTCAAATACCAGCCACATGACGGGCGCGTCCCGCGAGGCTCATGTGGACAAGCCATGTCACGACTCGTGCACGCGCCGATGACTTGCTTCGCATCTCATATCTCACACTGCATGGCAACGGAACTCTGAGGTAGACGTACAAGCGAATTAGGCACAGCTCAGCTTGAGCTGCCGAACTTCTAGCTTATCAACCTCGAAGCTGCCATGAACTGCGGCTTGAGCTCCCTGTCAGCATTGGCTGTGCGCCCGCAGAAGTTTGAATACCAGTCTTGGCGTTCGTCAATGTATGCGCATTATCCTGGAGCTCGGTGCACAATGCACGTCATTAGATTTCGAACAGCATCACCCAGAAGTTAAAGATGTGTAAGAGCGCTAAAGCAGGCCTGTGCAATACGATGTGACGCAATGATATGGACAATGTCGGTTCAGTACTTGTAATTTGAAGACTGTTCGGGGACGCACCAGTCAGCGTCAAAGGTGAGCTCCACGACGAGCGCCAAAGCGAAGGTTGTCCTGTGAACATTGTCGGTCTGTTACGGAAGAACTAAAGTAAGGTACCAACTTATTCCCCGATAAGTTTAACATGCGAACTGTAGCCCGGGAGTAAGAGTGAGGGCGAGTGCGTCAAGCACATAGTCCAGCTGTCGCATGACGACTGAAATTGACATTGTACGAGTTGTAACGTCGAAACACGTCCTCCAATATGGTGCGAAGAATGCGTCAATACATGAAGATTTCGAGGTAACATGTACAGTAGCTTTGACAGACGCACATTTTTTCAATCTGCAGACAAGAAGTGTGCATTCTCACTCGTCTGCCTTGAGCAACGATAGGTGAAAGTTCACGTTTGCATAGCACGCCAACAAAGAAGCCCAGGAACCAGAGAAAGTTTGAAAGATTTTTCAAGGATACAGTCCCGAGCCGTCGCACGGTCCGCGGACTACCCTTGACACCGTCCTAGCAGGCGCTCTAAACCCGGCGTTACTGGCTGAGATGCGGTGAAATGTTCACCGCTGAAACTGCATGCATAATGAATCGATGCCCCGAACATTGATGGCATCTACATGTGGGAGCCTCTACGGCCAAAACAGAAAAGCCTGAGCCGCACAAACAGAGCGATGATTCGTGGATGAGAGTCGAGGCGTTGGAAGGCCGGGCATAATTACAGAGAAACAGATACAATTTACCATCCGCTCCAATCAGCAGATAGAAGAAGAACGGGCATGATTACAGTGAAACAGATACACGGCACCATCCGCCCAATCAGCAGATAGAACAGTGTTCAGAACGAGGAACCGACTGGTGCCAGAGCGAGAAGACAGCTTCAAGAGATAGCGCACGAAGGGCGGACAAGGGCGAGCAAAGAACATAAGGCATATGTCAGGCGTCAAAAGATAAGGTGTTCGATGATATGGTATGTGCTGAGACGCGGAAGAGCAGGGAAGAGCAGGAACGAACGATGCCTTCTGCTGACGTGGTCCTGGAGATTGGGCGCTCTGAAGAGGGACACAATTGGATGTGTCGCTCGGTAAGAGGCATCTAGCCTTGTGAATGCATGTTGCGGTGGTGTGCGCACCATTTGATCGTTGGTCTCTTCGACCACAGTTTGGCCGAAGTCGACAAAAGCCACACCCACAAAGACGTGAATAACTTTGAAACACCCCGCGGCCATACGGTCGGTGTTACCGATTAGATACCGAAGGTGGGAAATTGCGGTTGACAACTTCGATGCTGCAAGCCACACTATGGACCTTGGCCAATTAATGTCATGTTCAGGAGTCCCGCGTCCGAGTCAAGCACCGCGAGCATCCGCGGCGGACGCTCGCCCTTTTGGTTCCTAGCTGTCTTCACCGACACAGAATAAAACGCAGTGTCGGAGAAGAGCTGCGACTAATTCGCACTGTTGGGGATGCGATGGAGTTAAAAATATGGCCTCTCTGGGTCGCACATGGAATCGATATCAGCACCTGAACAACCCGAGCGTCAGCTGAGTCGGGACGGAAGATCGGGGTCCTTGCAGGGCGCCCTGCCATATAAGTAGCTTACTCCCTAGTTTGGGAGGGTTTCAACCGTAATGGCGGCAGCCCTGAAGGACCCCGTGGGCCTAATATTATAGGTTGATTTGAATCTTTATTCTGAATCTAGGCCTCATTGAATGGGACCACCGGAGATGGACCATGCGCGCCGATCCGCCTCAGGTGGTCGTCTTGTCCCTCGGTTGCACTGACATAAATTCAGGCCCAACATACACCGATGTCTCTTCCCTTTCCCTCTTTTTCACCTCTCCATCTCGTCGAGGAACAGCGAGGCAGGCGCGACTCTTCCGAGACTCGTCTCAGCCTGGTTGATATCCTCGCCACTGATACCAGTCATTTCCGCAATTATTCGGACGACCAGACGACGTCCCTTACTCAAGTCTTTCGCCATATTACTTTCTTCATTTCATTTCATCGGTAACATCAACTACACACTCTGATTCCCCGAAGAGCCTGCGCGTACGGAACCAAAATGGCACGCGTTGCCGCTAGCAAGACTGCACCACAGCCAAATGCCGCTGCCCATAGCGTCGATCTACGAGCCCAAGATGTAAGACGTGGTGGGGCTGTTCTGGATTCTGCCCATGGAGCGGACTCGGACACCTCGACCCCGATCGAGACCCTGCCATCCAGCGCAGCAGCCTGCGCTCAAGACCAGGAGAAGTTCAGCAAGTCAGTTCTCTTCATCGTTTATCGTCTTTTCTCTTCTCCACTGTGCAGCAGGCTGCATCTTATGTTTTTGGAAATTTGTTCGTGTGATTTCCAAAAAAATTACAACCTGTTCTTCCGCTCGACGGATTCGCGAGAACTGCCATGGTAGTTCTGTCGCCTTGAACCCTATCCCCATCCAGTGTGTTGCGCTCAGTTACTGACAGCTTCCTTCCCACAGAGTGCAGACTCGCCCCAGGGGCGATGCATCGAGCCAACCTTCGCATATGGGCGACGCAATGCGCCTCCCCCACGGAAATAAACCGGCCGCGATCGCGATCGCGGCATTGACAGATGGGCCCGTTGCTGGCAATGATGACGAGTGCAGGTTGGTTATTCTTCTCTTGGCATGTACATGTGCCCTCCTGTGCACGCCTGTCTCTCATTTGTACCACCGTACTTCCAATTTCCCACCTTGCGGCGAAAGTACTATATTTTCTCAGTGCAGGTTATCCTGAAGAAGCTCACTTCAGATTTGCTTCCCCCTATGGTGCGAACGCTTATATTCTCTTCAGGATGCCCAAGCGTTCGCAGCAGCCAACATCCACTCTCCCATCAGACTCTCCGACGACGAGTACGGGGATGCCTAGTCCTGCTTCCGCACAACAGCCCGCGTCCCGCGCACACCACGGTGCAGGCATGTTGAAGCGTTTAACGACCAAACTGCGGTCCCCTACGCATGCCTCGGACGCTAGCGCGCCAAGCGCGGCGCACACCCGCAAATTGACGCCGCGCCTGCCATCGATGCCGAAGGCCCCCCGGCCAACCACCCTCACGAATTCATTTGTCTCGCCCGGGCAGCGGCAGGCGGCCCTGCGGGCGCGGGGTCTCATACCCGCAGTCCCTCACCCATACAAGGACGCACATGGGTACATGGTCCCGCTCAGCGAGCAAGAGCGCGAACTCGACCGGCGGCGTGCGGTGCTCGCGTCCGAGCCGCGCGAGCGCCACTCAGATTCAAGCGGGGACAGCGAGGAGGAGTCGGAGGCGAAGAAGATACGCGAGGCGTGGCTCGTGCGCAACCGCGTGCACGCTCAGGAGCGCGGGAGTCTCGATCACGGCTTCGCCTTCCCCTCTCGCGACAACTACAGGATCAATACCTCCGTGTCACCGTCGCGCGCGACGTTCGTCGGGATGCATGATACGCCACTTCTGACACCTAGCCGGGTGGAGTGTGAGGTCTACCCGGTCGACTCGATCCCCGAGGAGCTGCAAATGGTTGCGCATGCGCCTGCACTACTCGAGCAAGAGGATGCAGATAGAGAAAGACGCGGGGTTCCGGGTTCCGCCAACACGGGCAAGGAGCTCCCGGCCCCTCCTTCCTCCGTGAGTATCGCTCCCCAGTCCCCCGACATAGCTGTGCCAAGGCCCGCAGTTAGAGTACTCACACCACCCCGGAGCGTGTCTAGTGATATGACGCAGAAGGTCTCGCGCTGGCTGGATGAGTCGTCCAAGTCGCCGACGCCGATTTCTGTGTCGTCCTTCGGGTCATCGTCTGGAGCTGAGCAGACGTCGTCTATCAACGTGCATGCGACGAATACGCCCCGTGGAACGCCATTGAAGAGGAAGGACAAGCCGGCTCCGATTATCATTACAATGCCGTCTCAGCCTCCCAGCCCATCGTCTTCTGTAAAGTCGTGTTCGTCCCCTGCTCCAGCGATCACGCTGTCTATTTCTCGTTCCGATCCACTCCGTGCGCAAGATCCACACTCGCTTACACCACAGCCAACGTCCGCACGAGGTCGCTCAGCAACAGTGGCCCATCTTCCTAGCAGCGCAGCCCCACCACTATCGTCTCCAAGTTCAAGCTCAGGAAGCCAGAACCGGAGTAGGACGACGACCCTCCCGGCACTCTCGCCCACGCGTACTGTGTCGTCTTCCGGCGCTTCTGCCTCCGTCACGACACCCACAACCCTCTCTCATTCGTTGGAGAACCATCACCATTCGCGCACGAGGCCGTTCGATCTAGGCGTACAGCAACGATCAGGGGCGGAGAAAAAGTTCGATGCGACAGTGATCGTGGAGTCACCCATTGAAGATGACGGATCTGATTGCTTGCCAGACTTCGCAGCATCTTCGCACTTGTTGTCCCCCCAACATACCCTCGCGGCTGACAAGGAGAGGCGCAAGTCGATTACCTTGGAAATATTCGGCAAGAAGCCCCACGTGAACAACGACGTACGCTATTCGCACACTGTCAATTCAAATATGATGCTAACCGGTGGCTTCCGCAGATGGTGCCCCCACGAGCACCACGTCCGTCCAAGTCAATGCTCAGCCTGCGCAAATTGTCGTCGAAACTGCAATTCCGCCCAAAGCAGACCGTACCCATCTCCACTTCCACTCCAGACGTCAGCGCCTCCTCCAATAGTGCTCCGACTTCCTCTCTTCCACCTCAGACATCGTGTCCCCCCTCTGCATATGGGCGGAAAGACAGGAGCCGGACGGTAGGTGTGGGCCTGAGGCCGGCGCACCCCAAGGACATGCTCAGCCCACCGCGGCAGGCCCTCAGCCCGACGATGCACGATCGTGCGACCATGCTGCTGGAGGCGGGTCGCATTCAGGACGAGGAGAGCCGTCGCCTGAGTGAGATGGCCTTCTTGGACTACTGATAACATCGGTTCGCTCGCTGCTGAAAGGAACGTTGCGTGGACGACGCTGTCTGTGAACTTTGAAACTTTGTTCTTGCTAGTCTGTTTTCGCATTGCATTCAGAATCTGTTTCTCGTTCGGTATATTTCATCGAAATGATTTCAGCACGGCTATGTACATTCATGTAGCACTATCTTTTACGTTACTCCCACATTCTCCACTGTTTTCCCCCATGACGACACGTATTGTCATTCTCGTGATACTTATAAAATACTGACCCTAGTAATTGCAGAAACAGATTATACCCTCACTGCGCCGTTGTCAAACAGCGTGAGATGATGTTAGGGCACTGATATTGCAGTACGAAATGACTTGGTGCACATGAACCTCGCGGATTATACCGGAAGAGGATCGACTGTGATCCACTTTCGTATAATTAGAGTCAAACAACGGAGACTACTCGCGGATGTCCACGCCTGTCAAAGTCTCGTTGGGAACCCCAATTGGCATTTGAAAAAAATGACCCACATGCTACAGAAGAGAGGTGGGACCGGGGTTGGTAGCAACGGGTGGGATGTGTAGTGAGCGCTGCTGTCAGGACAAATAACATGCCTCCCGAAACGATGCAAGTTGGTCTTCTGCTTGCAGAATTGTAGGACTGGCGGTAGTCTTTGGAAGAGCGGGTCAAATCTAGTCAACACAATTACAGCCTGTGTTTCGAAGCAAGATAGACCCCAAGTTCCTGAGACAGAAAAGTATTTCGCCCAGGCCGAAAATGACACATGGATAGCAGAAAGTGGCAAAACATAATAGAGTTGAGACGAACCGTAAGTTCTCCGCAGAATTTACCAGCAATCTAGGGGGAAATGCCAGCAGGACATGTTCAAAAGATGCGAATCAGTCTACCAAGAGAATTCCAGCCTCAGCATACCAACAAAGCACGATCAAATAAAGTGAACACCGACGTGGGGTATATTTCCTAAACACGCTCGGTGTGACGCGCAGAACATACATTCTCCAGAGGCTTTTCATGAGCCTCTATCAAGCGTTAGGAAGTGACGTCACAATATATTCCAGCCGCGGAAGGTACACCTTCCCGTGCAGCGCAATCATCCATTCTCGAAATAATGGATCCCTAAGGATTCGAGCAGGGAACGAATACCGGGCAGCAGCAAGAGCAAAACCAAGTCCTGACGGCACAGCCTTAGAGCTTCCAGGCGTTTGGGAAGACATATCTGCTCTACATAATCCGCAGGGCTCTTCGGCTGAAGCCAGTCAACCAGCAAACGACGCTGATGGCGATGGTCCCAAGGTCTGCAACCAGTCAGACAGCCTATATAGCCTTCCAGCTCGCTGCATGCGACGTTGCACGAGTTTACAAACAACCACGGGAACTGTTCAGGACACAGTCTTTTTCGCGCCAGCAGTGCCAGTGCGAAATCTGACAGGCGCGATCGGGCACTGCCACGTGATTTTGATCACGTCACGCCGCGTCCCTGCGAGCGCGTCGCGGCACAGCAAGAGGTTGTGCGTGCAGCGGCCAAACGTGCTACAGTACGGTACCGCGCATTGAGCGAGGCTTCCAGAATGACCCATCGTGGGCTCCGAAACTGAAAGTTTAGCACTGAGTACGTACTGAGTATCCGTTGTATGGCATTGATTGACCTTCGAGCATGTAGACGCCTCGGACTCATGCTCTGCGTACGGTGTACATCCTGATTGGCGAGAACAAAGGCACAACAGGAGCCCATGATGCTTCACCAAGTCCTCCTGGGGCCGATTGTTTCATAGAAGTCCTGGCGCGAGCCGTCTCATGTTTCTTAGATAGTACCGACGCCAAGACAGCAGTTAGGAGAGCGGAACGCAAGGAGTAGTGAGTGTTTTGACAAAGGAGGGAGGCAATACGACGCGATTGGACGCGTGATTGGCCACGAAGCATGGACGATTTGCTGAAACTCAGACAGGTGACTCACCCACGAAAGTAAGTCCCTGCAATGCGAACAGTACTTTGATCAAGGGACATCCGGCGGGGGCCAGCATTGATATAGTCGGACAAAAAGACAATGATCCGCTATCCCTGCTTGCGATGCATAGGAATCGGGCTTGACAGGGGCTACCTCACTCACCTGCGTGGAGTGATTGAGTGTGTCCCTGTCCAGCCTGACGAACGGACCTGTTAACCGTACTAGCGAGAAAAGGTGAAAAAAAAAACTTCACGAGTCGGCAATTGCACTCATCTGGAGCTACCTGTATTCATCTCAGTTTAGATGTCTCACAAATCTGGCTAATCCGGATCGTTGGCACAACCCCCTACAGAATTGTTCTTCACTGGCCGTATCCGCATCGCCTCCTTGCCGCAGGCGTTATGCTTGCTGTACCCGCAAAGGCCGACTTCCACATCATGAACTGCGGTGTGGCGTACGGCACCAGCAGCCAATCGTCGAGCTCCGATAAAACCGTCGCGATTCCGTTCAGTGACTACAGCTGCAACGGATCCCGACGCTCGACAGCACCGGTGGGATCGAGGGGAGGCGCGGCAGGACAGATGGTTCTTTGTGCCGGGTCTGTGCGTGACAGATCCCAATTTCTATCCGAAGGACGACGGCAGCATCCCTTTCTGTATTGATGGAGCTCGGGACGGCAATGTTGTTGAGACTTGTCGGTCGCATGACACTGTCAATTGCACAGGGGCACTTTACGAGCAGATCTGTAAGGACGACTGGATCTGTTGTACGTACATTTGCAACTAGTGACGGTAAGCACTTCTCTTGTCCTCTATTAGCTCATTGTTGACCTTGAGCGGCAGATGGTCCGCCAAGTTCTCCGTGCAAGCTCCAGAAACGAGTTTCAAGGTTGTGATTGAGTCTTGTAACTGTGGGGGCATGGAATATCGGAAACGCATGTCGCGTCTAGTATTTCCTGGGACGTGGGCAGGCACAATCCGAAATCACAGGAAGGGAAATTAGGGAATCGATATAATATCATAGCAAAGGATACGACATCATGATTCAGACAGACTTTGACAGTGAGAGATTGTGACAAACGCGACGCGCGTCACAGTCCACGTGATTTGGCCAAGGTCATCTCGACCTCCGGCACAGCACATATTCTTAGGACAGACTGTCAGAACACCTTGTCTCCCTGCATACTCGGGCCACTCACGACACCAGCACGAAACCTTGTTTTCACTGAGGCTTTGTCTCTCGGTCTTTCCTGCAAGCTTCGTGTCACGATTTACAAAATTTCCCTTACTCGATCATTTTACTTCAAGTTTACCCGTCCCGATTAATTGCAGAGAGGTACAAAGTTCCGTTCGAGTTCTGGACAGGTATTAAAAAGGCGTTAGTGCTACTCAGTCGAGGTGTGAAGTTGATTCATGTACTAAGAAGCTTGACAGGCGTAGCGTCCTCCTCCTCACCCGCTAAATCGGAGAACGACTGCGAAAATTGCATCCCTGTTATTCCGCGGTGCATGCATCGTCGAGTCTTGACGCGACACCGAGCGCATTTGGTATCATCCAGATTTTATCACCCTACAGCGTCCCTCCGAGTCGTGGCATGTCACAGAAACCTCTCCAGCGAGTCGAAATCACATCTCGCCACCGACCGATCATATGCACCTGTGAACTCCGTCACCAAATCGCGTCCATTTGCTATAGAACGCGTAGGAGGAAGGGAGTGCCATGTCTCGTGGTCACCGGAGAACGGTGTTGTGAAGGAATGGCGTGAATTGCCGACAGCTCTAGAGGAGCAGAGCTCGTCTTCCGGATCGTTCACGGGATCGTTGACTTCGTGGATTCGCCAGATGTTCCTTCCCATCAACTACCCCCAGTCTGTGCATCGGTCGTGAGTCATCATGTCCACTTCGCTCTCCCCTCGCAACTCAACCGCGCCCGTGCGTCTGTCCGATTCCACTGTTGCGTGTTGTGCAGCTACCTCCCATTCCACGTCCTCCAATTTTTTGAGACGGTTTTTGGGACTGTCGTATCTGTACTATGCAATCAGGCGCTCCTCACTTCTGTCGGCGTCAGCGCAGAAGGCAGCGTATTTGGTGCCGTCGCCGTACAATGGATCATCAAAGACGGTGCTGGAGAAGTCGCGAAGCTCTTCTTCATCCGCAAGTTTGCGCCGTACTTTGACAGCCACCCGAAGACGTTCACACTCTTTGGAGAATGTATTGTTGCGGCGGGCAGTGGGCTCCAGATTGCCACATTGCTGGTCAATCCATCACCAGGGAATTTCTTGCTTTGTGCAGGCAGGTGTTCTGTTACATCTATCCGTCTTCGGTGGTGACGAATTTTCATATAGCGGGTGGAAATGTGTTCAAATTGATTGGTTACGCAGTTCGTCCCTCTTCCCTAGAGCCTCAAAGACGGCAGGCCGTGTGATTGACACTGGCCCTCAGATCTGGTTCACAACCCACATCAAATTTATGCGTTACTTCGCGCAATACGGTAACACTGGCGATGTTGCCGCCAAGGACGAGTCGCAGGCCTCGATCGCACAGCTGACTGGTTATGCAGCAGGTATCGGATTGCTGACGGTTTCGCACTCCGCACCATACCTATACTCCCTCTTTTTCCTCGTCGTTCCTGCGCACATCGTGATGACGACGTGCATGATGCGCGTGGCGACGTTCGAGTTGCTCACATTACCGAGGCTGGCCATCCTCACAAACCAGTTTACTCGCGACGAGAAGCCCATGGATCTTTTGTCTCTGAATCAAATAGAAGAGATGCGTGGGACAGGTCTCTTCGGCGAGTTCTACAAGACAAAAGAGCAAAAGTATCTATTCCTTGCACCAAGAGTTGCGGATGTAATCAAAGACGAAGCTGACGGTGCGAGATGGGTAGTCTGCACTGATGTATTTATGGTCAGTGTGCTTTAATTATTCTGGTCAGCCTGTTCGTTAACGATGATCGTCATTGCAGGACGAGAAATATCTTTTATATCCCTCACCGGCGCCCCGCACCGGTTCCATATGCGTATTTTACCACCCAGACGCAACATCGGACGACATGATGCGATCCGTGCTGCATGCCGCTCGCCTACGTCGCACGCTGCTGTCCGACGACTCTTCTGCCTCGCGCACACCAGCACCCGACTCGTGCCTCGATGCTTTGCACGTCGCGTTATCGGATTCGGCGGCATGGACAAGACGAAACTTCGGCTCCTTCAAACAAACGTTGGAAGCGAAGGGATGGCGCACGGATGAGATGGGATTCGCCGACCACGGACACAGGGTTCTGTGGGGACCCGAGACGGAGAGGGGTGTCGGAGATGATCCTTAGCATGCGGCGCGATCACCTTCGTTAACTTCTTACTCCCTTCCCGGATGGATGGTCGGACCTCGACCATGCGCCAGGCCTCCAGGCATCACCATGCGTGGGGCAACGCTCATAATCCAGTGCTTCGAGATGTGGAGATTTCATGCTAATAGAGGTGGACGCATGCGCCGACATATATGTCGTGGGACATTCATTGCGCGGAGCTCACCGTCATTACGTTAATTTTCTGCGGTATAATCGTCGGCCACCCCCATTGATATTTCTAGAGTATTCACGCTCATATAGACGCATCTAATGAAAACCCCTACTCACGTCGCTGATGGATGTCACACCCAATCACCATTGCCATGCGACTCCTGGAAATAGAAGGTGTCCTGCCGCAATTGGCTCACAGCTAAAACGTGCGCCGACCTGCAGTCAGTAATGCCCGGTTGGTTTTCAACATCAACTTGAACGTTTCTTGTTCGCATTTCCAAGCTCAACTTCGTCCAGGTCTGTTCACAGCTCTGAGAACTTGTAAACGGAATGCGTTTGCGGTATGTGCTCTACGTGTCCGCATGCTGCTACAGGGCATCGCCGCTGCCCGTGCAGCTACCTTCTAAAGGATCATTCGCAATCGCGGTTCTTCGTCGTAGCGGCTTGTCACACAGCTTCTTTGCACGCGGCAAGGTACATTGTGAGCAACCAGATTCAGGAAGGGAGGTAGGTATATACCAGAGGCATCAGGGCTCCGAGAGGAAGACGATCTGGGAATTTTTAACAGCGAACAAGTCCTCGATCAAATGAAATCGTTTGTTGCCTTCGGAGTACGTCTGCGTAATGCCCCATCTTTGTATGTCGACGGTACTGATAATTTCGACAGCTTCCCCATATCGCGCTTGTTGTACGACGGGAGGACGATCCTGCGGTCAGATATGTCAAGTTTGTGAAAGATGGAGGGTGATTGTGCAATGCCTCTATGGATTTGCTACCCCAGCTCACCACGTTATATGCCCTTCCGCGTCTGTCCGATTAATGGGGGGGACGATCATATCGATGCCCAGTGCGGGAGGCTAGCTCACTTCGCTCAAGGACCCCGATTCATATCTATCGCTGGTTGCACAGCAGTTGTTGGAAGCCGTTGGCTTCATGCATGGCTACGGTATGGCGCACTTGGACCTGAAGCCGCCGAACACCATCAACCCGTTCGACCACAGAAGGCCTACCATCATTGACTTCAGCTTGTCCGTTCGCGTGAGTGGTCCGTACCGTATGTTCGAAGGTTTTGTCCGGACAAAAGGGTGCATTAGTACTCCGGAGGTCAGTACAGGGCCATTTAGCCCAATCTGCGCAGACCTGTGGTCATGCGGCAAAGTCATTCAGGAACTTTGCAGCCGTTGTGAACTCTGCGGTTGCTTGAGATCGGCGACCGACCTTTGGATGTAGTGCCAGGTAAGAGGCCGATGATGGCGCAGGTCCTTCGGTGACACGAGAGCGCAAATTGAAGGGCATGTCAGGTGAGTGCACTCACTATGTGCCTTCAAGTTCATCTGTTCTTGCAGTGCTGAATTTGTCGCCTGTAGAGACCTTCCTACGCTGGCCTGGCGGTGGAGAACAGGACGCATGCGCTGACATAGTCATTGGACGTTCATAGCATGCACCATCATCGCGATCGATGTTTTCTGTCGTTTACAGTCCTCGAGGTCGCCGCTCTTATCGATATCTGTAGAGTATTCACGTTTAGACAGACATAAGCCCTACTCACGTACTTACTCTGTTAACATCTATCCCTGAGTTCATCTTGAAATTGGAAGGTGTCCTGCAGGCCGTGCGCAACTCGCTTGCGGCAAATTTTGTCAGAAGACCGAGTCGCCTAGCGTCTGGGGTCCGGCGTTGACGTCTCTTGCTCTCAATTCCAGTAAGTAGGTTCGACTTCACCTAGGCCTGTGCACAGCTAGAATCTTCAAGGCTCAGGATACCCATGCCTCTTCTGTGGCGGCGGCTTTACAATGGCGGTTTCAATCATTTGAGATCCACACACTCTTTGCTGTATCGCCCTCCTGGTATCATCAGTGAACTGCCGCTGGCGACTCAGAAGAAATTTGCGGCGATGAACATAACATTTGATACGAATAATGTTTGTTTCTTTGCGCCACAGTTTCAGCTTGCTTCTTTCCCGTAGTTGCCGCCGATAAAGGAACGAGTGCTCCCAAAAGTCTCGTCGCACAACAGATACTCGACGCCTACTTGGCAGCAGTACGCCTGTTTGCTCCTATCATGCACAGTGGGCTGCGGTGACGTCTACGCTCTGAGCTCCCTTCCTATTGGATGTATCCCGTGAGCGATCATCTGCCGTTATCTTTGTAACGCCATCTGTCGTCATATAACTCACCCTCTATCGTGGATCCTTAAAAATTGACGCCTTGCCGCTGTAGAAAAACCCCTCGTCGCAGGCAGGGGCATCTAATTTGGACCCCCACTGGTGCCCGGCGAGAAACTCAAACATGTCTGCACACCTCGATTTTGAAAAAGCAAACGAGAAATACGTCGCTGGATTCGGCGACAGGGCACATTTGCCCATCCACCCAGGCAAGAAACTTGCAGTCGGTATGTATATATAGACACCAATTTGTCTCTCGTTCCCTGATGAATTCTATGATTTAAAGTTACTTGTATGGATGCTCGCCTGAAGTGAGTTGGCTTCTTTGGTGGGATCTGCGGGACCTGACCCTGTCGGTAGTGTCTTCGGACACCTTGGCATCAAGGAAGGAGAGGCTCATATTATCCGCAATGCTGGTGGCGCCGCGTGCGTGCTCTATCCATGATCTTCGAGCCGTGGACACCTGATTTTCATTTTGATTCTTCTCCAGCAAAGATGCTCTGCGTAGTATCATCATATCACAGCGCTTGCTGGGCACTCGCGAGATCGCTGTGTTCCATCACACCGCGTGTGGCATGCTCACGTTCTCTACCCCCCAGCTGCGCACCCTTGTCAAAGAATCTGACCCGACCAACGTTGCGCTCAATGCAGTCGATGATGTCGATTTTTTGGAGTTCGGTGATCTGGAGAAGAGCGTCAGGGAGGACGTGACGTTCCTCCGAGAGAACCCCCTTGTCTTGCCCGAGACGAAGATAACAGGGTGGGTGTACGAAGTCGAAACTGGCAAGGTGTGTCTGATATGTTACCTGTCCATATATGATATTTCCCATCCGGATCAAGGCCCTGACATATGTGTGGTGGAACAGGTGAGACAGATTGTCTAACCGGAGCTGGATTCTGCGTCGCGGTGGTAGCGCGTTGGCACGGAACTGAATGACAGACATTGTTGCAGCCCCATACTCCCCAGATCATTATTGATTTTATCACCACATATCGCTGCTTGTAGAGATGGCGAGGTTAATGTTTCGGGAATACGCCGGTCAACTGTACACGTGTTTACGTGAGCGAAAACGATATTGGATCTGCATTTCGTGCTACTTTCTGTGAAGTACGTATTCATGCTGCGGCAGCGACGCAAGATATCTGATATCACATAGTTGAATACGTTTGTGAGAGTGCGTCCTTGCTATCGATGCTCGGCAGACGGAGGCGTGAGCTGGAACGATGCACAAAGTTCGCCTGGCTGTATGCACGCAGTTTGCACGCCTTACACAGTTGCCTTTCTGGGTAGGCGGGAGAAATAAGCGCCGAGATCTTTCTTTGGGGGTAAGCGAGTTGGGGGCCTTGGGGCACGCTTCGTTTTTTCTTATAACCCGTTGACACGCAACGTGTTCTTTCGCCAGACGCTCCCCAGACGACGTCGTCGGCACTGTCCACGATGACAACCACGATGGTCTCATCCACTTCCCCGACGAGTATCCCCACTCGACCCATCCTCATCCAGAGCGGTCAAACTAGAGTACGTCACGCCGTCTGATTGCAGACGGTGTCTTACCTTTTTTCTCGGGACAGTTTTCAATCCCAGTATCCACGCAATCCGACGAGTGGATTGCAGCAGAAGTTCTTAGAGATGAGTTCACGCTTTCCCAGCCGGCAGCGTTAGACACGACTTTCGACACGGAGGAGCAGGCGACACTAGAGCTATACGCCCGCTTTTTGGGCTTTGTCGCACAAAAGCTAGACGAGGATGCAGATTCCTCCGCCGCGCGGACGACCGTGCTTCTGAAAATCCTACAACACTTTACCACGTCATACCTCTCGCACCAAGACGTGCATACAGTTGCCGCATCTTTCGATACCGATACGCGTGAGGCCATCCTCGCGGCGTACTTTCGAGCAGTTTGTTCCCTTGAAGAGAAAAAAGGAGGCGACGTTCCGCAACAACCTACGCCGGCGCTTCTGTCCGCCGCGGCGCAGAAGGACGCGTCAGTCTACGCGATTTTTGGTGGGCAAGGCACCAATGAGGTCTATTTCGACGAGCTGCAAAGCCTCTATGACATTTACAAGCCGTACGTCGCGTCTTTCCTAGAGACGGTGACCCGTGACGTGCTGGTGCCTCTGGCGTCGGCGTCGGAATCGACATATTACGCATATGGTCTGGACGCGATTTCCTGGCTTACAGGTGCTGCACCGCGTCCTCCGACTGCGTACTTGGCAACCGTGCCAGTTTCGTTCCCTCTCATAGGCCTAACACAGCTGACGCAATACCTCATCGTGTGTCGCGTTGCTAAGCTCTCGCCTGGGGAACTGTGTGTGCGTCTGCGGGGTGCGACTGGACACTCTCAAGGTCTCGTTTCTGCAGTTTGTATCTCAGCATCTAACACACTCGAGTCCTTCTTCGAGAACGCACAGAAGGCCCTCAAATGGCTTTTCTTCTGCGGTTTCCGCGGCCAGCAGGCGTTCCCTGTGCTTGCATTGGAGCCGAGCATCGTGGAGGACGCGGTGGAGGGCGGAGAGGGAGTTCCGAGTCCCATGCTTTCAGTTACCGGCCTCCTCCTGAAGGACCTGGAGGTTCATATCAAGAAGACGAACGTACACCTTCCAGAGAATTCACAGCTCCACATTTCGCTCTACAATGGTTCGAAGGCGTTCGTTGTCACAGGTCCCCCGCGCGCTCTGTTCGGTTTGGTGAACAGCCTAAGGAAGGTTCGCGCACCCAGTGGTCTTGACCAGAGCAAGGTCCCTTTCTCTCAGAGGAAGCCCGTGTTCTCGGTTCGTTTCTTGGTCGTTGGTGTGCCCTTCCACAGCCACTATCTGGAAGGAATGACGAAGAAGATGTTCGAGGAGGATCTAGAAGGAGAAGAATTGTGGACGAAGGAGGAATTAGCGATCCCTGTGTACAACACCGAGGACGGTATGTCTCCGAAGGGGCGCATATAGTCACCTCTTTTACTGAAATTTTCATCTGCAGGTTCGGATCTCCGCAAGCTTTCGACATCGTTGACATGCGCGCTCTGCGATTTGATATTCACTCTTCCTATTCACTGGGACAAGGCAACGAACTTCCCAGAGACCGCCACCCATGCAGTAGACTTCGGTCCCGGAGGCTTGAGCGGCATTGGCCCGCTCACGGCGCGCAACCTGGATGGTCGTGGTGTCCGCATTATTATTGGCGGCGATAAGACGAAGGGTGTCGTCGAGATGTATGACGCGCAGAACGTGAAGCGAGAGGAATGGTGGAGTAAGCGGTTCATGCCTGGTTTGGTGAAGACAAGGTGTGTAGATCAGCGTGACCATGAACATCGATACTGATGCTATTTCTTCCAGTGACGGATCCATTCATATTGACACTCCCTTCTCTCGTCTCCTCGGCAAGCCCCCCATTATGGTGGCGGGAATGACCCCGACCACAGTCAAGGCCGGCTTCGTGAGCGCCGTTCTCGATGCCGGCTACCACGTGGAGCTTGCTGGTGGCGGGCACTACAATGCTGCAGCTCTCCGTGCGAAGGTTGCTGAAATCCAGAGTAAGATCCCGGCGGGTGTCGGCTTGACTTTGAACTCGCTCTACATCAACCCTCGTCAATTCGGCTTCCAGTTCCCGCTTTGGCAGGAGATGCGCCGTGAAGGCCTTCCCATTGAAGGTTTTTGTGTCGCTGCTGGTATCCCCAGCACGGAGAAGGCAGCGGAGATCATCGATGGTCTACGGACTGCTGGCATCAAGCACGTCTCTTTCAAGCCCGGTTCCGTTGACGGTATCCGCCAGGTCGTCAACATCGCCGCCGCGCACCCCGACTTCCCAGTCATTCTTCAGTGGACAGGTGGACGTGCCGGTGGACACCACTCGTGCGAGGACTTCCACCAGCCCATCATCTCGACGTACAGCTCGATCCGCCAGCACATCAATATCTCCCTGGTCGGTGGCTCTGGGTTCGGCGGAGCCGATGATCTCTGGCCCTACCTCAGCGGAGATTGGTCCGTCCAGCAGTACGGTCTGCAGCCGATGCCCTTCGACGGGTTCCTATTTGCTAGTCGTGTCATGGTTGCGAAGGAGGCGCACACGAGCTCGTCAGTCAAAGACTTGATCGTTGCGGCGAAGGGTGTTGACGATGCGCAGTGGGAGGGCACTTACGCTAAGGAGACTGGCGGCATCCTGACCGTCCGCTCAGAGCTTGGTGAGCCCATCCACAAGATCGCCAACCGTGCCGTCAAGCTCTGGAAGGAGTTCGACAACACCGTCTTCAACCTTCCGAAGGAGAAGCGTGCGGCGTGGCTTGTGGAACATCGGTCAGAGGTCATCGCGAAGTTGAACAAGGATTTCTCGAAGCCATGGTTCGGATGGAAGAAGGACGGAAGTGTCACCGAAGACATCGCCGACATGACCTACGAGGAGGTCGCTATGCGCATGGTGCGGTTGATGTACGTCGCGAAGGAAGAGCGCTGGGTGGATTTGTCGTTGAGGAACCTCACTGGCGACTGGTTGCGCCGTGTCGAGGAGCGCTTCGCCGGTGTGAACGGTGGTGGCGAGAAGTCGTCCATTTTGCAGTCCTTCAATTCTCTTGACAAGCCCCGAGCTGTTATTGAGGAGTTCTTCAAGACATATCCTTTGGCGACTGAGCAGCTCCTCGCTTCTGAGGACAAGGCCTACTTCCTCACCATTGTGCAGAGACCCGGACAGAAGCCGGTGCCGTTCATCCCTGTCCTTGACGCTAGCTTCGAGGTCTGGTTCAAGAAGGTAGGCTGTTGTGGAAGCACCTATATGCGGTAGCGACGCTGAATGTGTTTTCCAGGATTCTCTCTGGGCAGCTGAAGACATCGAGGCTGTTTTCGATCAAGATCCGCAGCGTGTCTGCATCCTCCAGGGTCCCGTGGCCGTCAAGCACTCTAAGGCGAAGGACGAGCCCATCAAGGAGATGCTCGACAACATCACCTCGCTACTGGTCAAGAAGCTCATCGATCGGTTGTACGGCGGCGACGTCAGCAAGATCCCCACCGTCGATTATCTGAGCCCCGGTCCTTCGGCACTCGCAACCCCTCTCCACGTCGAGCGCAGCGTCTCCCGGAATACCATCACGTACAAGCTTGGTCAAACTCTCCCGGAGACGTCATCGTGGTTGGAGACCCTCGCTGGTCCCGAGCTCTGCTGGGTGAGGGCACTCCTCACGTCGCCCACCGTTGTGCAGGGTGCGTTATACATAGACAACCCCATCCGCCGCTTGTTCGCTCCTCGCCGAGGGCAGAAGGTCGTCGTCGAGACCGATGGTGTCTCCCCCATTGGCATCTCTGTGTACGGCGCAGCCCGATCGTACGGCGCGCACAAGAGCGATTTCAAGGCCGTGGACGTCAAGTACAATGCTTATTCTCACACCATCAACGTCACAGTGTACGAAGACTGCCGCGACGTCGCAATTCCTCTCAAGCTCCAGTTCGTCCACAAGCCTTCGATGGGCTTCGCGCCGATTCACGAGGTTACCACGGACCGCAACCGCCGCATCAAGGAGTTTTACTGGAAGTTATGGCTGGGCCCCGAGGAGAACCTCCCGGAGATCGACCTTCGCGCGACGTTCACTGGCCCGGAGGTCACCATAGATGCGGACGAAATCGAGGCGTTCTGCAGTGTCATTGGCAACGACGGTGAGGCTTTCAAGACCGTCCGCGCTGAAAATGTCCAAGCTCCCATGGATTTCGCAATCGTGACTGGTTGGCAGGTAAAGTGCATTTGTGTTAGCTATTTGGAGTAGTTGTTGAAAACGTTTCAGGCGATCATCAAAGCGATCTTCCCTTCGACCATTGACGGTGATCTCCTCAAGCTCGTCCATCTGTCGAACGGCTTCCGTCTTGTAGACGATGCTAAGCCTCTTCAGGCGGGCGATGTCTGCAAGATCGAGGCTCGCATTGTCTCCGTTATCAACAGCGATGCCGGGAAGACAGTCCGAGTCAAAGGCTTCGTTATCAGAGATGGCAAGCCCGTCATCGAGGTTGTGTCTGCTTTCCTATACCGTGGTCGCTATTCCGAATACGACAACACGTTCGAGCTTCTCGAGGCTCCGGATTACTCTGTAGAGCTGGCGACCGAAGCCGACGTGGGAGTATTGCAGTCGAAGGAGTGGTTTGAGTGGGACGATCCGTCAAAACCGCTTCAAGCTGGGACGACGCTCGTTTTCCGTGTGAAGTCTGAGGTTACTTACCGCAACAAGACATGCTACAAGTCGGTATCGGTCTCCGGCGACATTTTTGTCCGCGACCAGATCAAACGTCTCATCAAGGTCGGTGGTGTTGATTTCCTGCAGGACGACAGCAGGGGCAACCCAGTAATCGCGTATCTCGAGCGTCATGGCAAGCCGCAAGGTCTCTGGGCCCCTCTTCCGAATGACGGCTACACCATGACGAAGACGGGCGCAGCCGTCTTCAACTCCTCGGCAACGAACGAGTCCTACTCCAAGGTGTCTGGCGACTTCAACCCCATCCACGTCAACCCCTACTTCGCTGATTTGGCGGCTCTTCCCGCCACAATCACGCACGGCATGTGGTCGAGCGCGGCCACGCGGCGCTACGTTGAGACAGTCGTCGCGCAAGGTCGTCCGGAGCGCGTTGTAGCGTAAGTCCGTGTGACATGATATCTTTAGCTCTCACTGATGGACGTGACAGATATGACGTCGCCTTCGTAGGAATGGTCATTCCTGGCGATAGTCTTCAGGTGAAGATCAAGCACAGTGGCATGCGGGACGGCAACATTGTTGTCAAGGTTGAGACCTTCAATGGCAAGGGTGAAAAGGTTTTGGAAGGCACTGCCGAAGTCGCGCAGCCGAAGACCGTCTACGTCTTCACTGGCCAAGGTTCCCAAGAGCCGGGTATGGGTATGGACCTGTATAATTCCTCTCCCGCTGCTCGATCTGTCTGGGATGCTGCCGATGCTCATCTAACCGCCGTCTATGGCTTCTCTATCGTCCAAATCGTCAAGGACAACCCGAAGGAAAAGACCATCCACTTCGGTGGTATCAAGGGTCAGGCCATTCGACAGCGGTACATGGATATGACCTACGACACCATGGACAAGGACGGCAATGTGAAGACTCTCCCGCTATTCGGTGATATCAACGTGCGGACTCAGCGGTACACATTCAGTCATCCTTCTGGTCTCTTGTTTGCCACGCAGTTCGCTCAGATCGCGCTAGTCGTGACCGAACGTGCTGCTTTCGAGGACATGCGTTCGAAGGGCTTCGTGCAGAAGGACTCCGCGTTCGCTGGACACTCTTTGGGGGAATATTCGGCGCTCGCGTCTATTGCTGACGTCCTCCCAATCTCGTCGCTTGTCGACGTCGTCTTCTACCGTGGTATCACTATGCAACGCGCTGTTGAGCGTGATGCTCACAACCGTTCCAACTATGCGATGTGCGCCGTGAACCCAAGCCGCATCTCGAAGACTTTCACGGATGCCGCGCTGCGGGAGGTTATTGACGATATCGCTCATCGCACACAGTGCTTGCTCGAGATCGTCAACTACAACGTCGAGGTATGTCGTCCATAAAACTAATGAAACTACCCATAATTCTGTCAATTCATGCTTTGTTCCATTTCCAGGGTCAACAATATGTCTGTGCGGGTGAATTGGTCGCTCTGCAAACCATGACCAACGTCTTGAATTACCTAAAGATGGAGAAGGTTGACATTGCGAAGGTATGGCGGTCCTGTGATCAGTGATGCATGCGATTAACGATTGTTTAGTTGACGGAGAAATTCACCGTTGAGCAAGTGAAGGAAATGCTTGGGGAAATCATCAACTCCTGTTTTACACGTGCCAAGGATCAGCAGAAGGCGGAAGGCTACATCAAATTGGAGCGCGGGTTCGCAACGATCCCTCTCCCAGGGATTGATGTACCCTTCCATTCTCGCTACTTGTGGGCTGGTGTAATGCCATTCCGAGCCTGTACGTTGTCGTTCGAGTGAAGCCTATGCTCCCGCTGATTGTCTTTGCAGACCTCTCTAAGAAGATCAATGCGGCGCACCTGAATCCGGACACACTCGTCGGCAAGTACGTGCCGAACCTGATCGCGAAGCCTTTCCAAGTCACGAAAGATTACGTCCAATTGATCTACGACCAGACGTTGTCACCGCGCCTCGACAAAGTCCTTCGCAAGTGGGATACGGAGAACTGGGGTTCAGCGGAGCAGCGCCAGAAGCTAGCGTATATCACTCTAGTGGAGCTCTTGGCATACCAGTTCGCGTCGCCCGTCCGATGGATAGAAACTCAGGACATCCTTTTCAAACACTACGATTTCGAGCGCTTCATCGAGATCGGACCTTCACCAACGCTCACAGGTATGGCGACGAGGACTCTGAAAGCGAAGTACGAGGTGCAAGACGATTCGGTCAGCCGCATCCGTGCGATCCTTTGTCATGCGAAGCACACCAAGGAGGTGTACTACCAGTTCGAGGATGAGGCAGAGGCGGCTGCTGACGAGTCTGCTCCCGAAGCTGCAGCTATTCCCGCACCAGTAGCTGTTCCCGTTGCTGCTCCGGTCTCGGCTGCGGCCGCCGTTAGTGTTGAAGACGTTCCCCTGAAGGCGATCGAAATTCTCTCTGTGGTTGTAGCTCAGAAGCTCAAGAAGAAGGTGGAGGAAATTCCCCTCTCGAAGTCGATTAAGGACCTCGTTGGCGGCAAGTCGACTTTACAGAACGAAATCCTCGGCGATCTGCAGCTGGAGTTCACGTCTGCTCCTGAGAAGGGTGAAGAATTGCCACTCGAGGAGCTCGGGTCGGCCCTTGGCGTTGGCTTCTCAGGGTCGTTGGGTAAGTACAGCTCTGGCCTCGTCTCTCGCGTCGTGGGTAGCAAGATGCCTGGTGGTTTCAATATCTCTGCGATCAAAGCGTATTTGTCGAAGACGTGGGGCCTTGGTCCGACTCGCGCGGATGGAGTCTTGCTGTTGAGTACCACCATGGAACCTCCCAAACGTCTCGGTTCAGACGCAGAAGCCAAGGCGTGGCTTGATACGGTCGTCACACTCTACGCACAGCGCTCTGGGATCTCCCTCGCTACCGGTGCCGCGAACGGTGGAGGCGGCGGTGGCGCAGGAGGTCCGACGATCAACAGCGAGGAGTTCTTGCAATTCCAAGCTGACCAAGAGCAGTTTGCAGCGCAGCAAATCGAGCTGTATATGCGATACCTCAAGCGTGACTCGCGAGCGGGCGAAATCAAGTATGACGCGGAGAAAGCGAATGTTGTTACCTTGCAGTCGAAACTCGATGCCATCTCCAGAGAGCACGGTGACACATACATCGATGGCATTCAACCAGTTTTCGACGCTCTCAAGGCACGTCACTTCGACTCATCATGGAACTGGGTCCGTCAAGATGCTCTCCTCATGTTCTACGACATCATCTTCGGTCGTCTCACCACCGTGGACCGCGAGATCACTTCACGCTGCATCGCTATCATGAACCGCGCTGATCCCGAGCTCGTGACATACATGCAGTACTACATCGATCAGTGCGACCCCAACCGCGGCGATACTTACAAGCTCGCGAAGCAGTTCGGCCAGCAGCTGATCGACAACTGCCGTGAAGTTCTGGCGCTGCCGCCTCTTTACAAAGATGGTGGGTTTATTACCAACTGTGTATGTACCATGATACTGATCGGTTCACTCCAGTGACATTCCCCACTGCGCCGCATACGGAAGTGACAGCCAAAGGAGACATCGTTTACTCGGAGGTTGTCCGCGAGAACGTTCGCAAGCTTGAGGCTTACGTCGAAGAAATGGCCAGCGGAGATACGATCTCAGCGCCGACGAATATTCAGAAGATCCAAGACGACGTTCTGAAGTTGTGGAATGTAGTGAAGTCGCAGCCTGAGATTAGTGAAGAGCAGAAGAACCGCATCAAGGCTCTCTACGAAGGCGTCGTACGATCACTGCGCAAGCGTCCCGAATCTCGTCCTCGTCCTGGGGCACCTCGTCCTCGTAGATCATCGTCGCAGTTCCTTCGTCCTCAAGTGTCTGGCGTCGCATCTGTCACAGCGGACAAGGTCCCTTTACTGCATTTGAAGCGCAAGGTCGGCACGAACTGGGAGTACAGTAGCAACCTTACTGGTGTATATCTCGACATCCTCCATGAGATCGCAACGTCAGGCACGACGTTTAAGGACAAAAATGCTCTTTTGACAGGTGTTGGAAAAGCTTCTATCGGTGTCGAGGTGGTAAAGGGATTGCTATCAGGAGGTGCTCACGTCGTCATCACCACTTCTCGTTACAGCCGTGCCACGGTAGAGTACTACCAGGGCATCTTCCAGCGTTTCGGTAGTAGGGGTTCCGCACTGACCGTGGTGCCGTTCAATCAAGGATCGAAGCAAGACGTCGAAGCCCTCATTGACTACATCTACTCGACTCTCGGGCTTGATCTGGATTACGTTCTTCCCTTCGCCGCGGTACCTGAGAACGGCCGACAGATCGATGGTCTCGACGACAAATCCGAACTTGCCCACCGCATCATGCTGGTTAACTTACTCCGCTTACTCGGCGCCGTGAAACTCAAGAAGGCCAGCCGCCAGATCCTTACTCGGCCAACGCAAGTCATCCTGCCACTCTCACCGAACCATGGCCTGTTCGGAAACGACGGCTTGTACTCGGAGTCTAAGATTTCGCTCGAGACGTTGTTCAACCGCTGGAACTCTGAGAGCTGGGGCGAATACTTGTGTCTTGCTGGCGCTGTGATAGGGTACGTTTGTCGTCTATTCGCCGATTGAATATTGAGCTCACGATTTCGCTTCAGCTGGACCCGCGGTACAGGTCTGATGGACGCTACGAACATCGTTGCACACGACGTTGAAAGCCATGGTGTCCGCACTTTCTCCGCGAAAGAGATGGCATTCAACATCATGGGCCTGATGCACCCTCTCCTTTTCAGTATCACTCAAGTTGAACCGATCTGGGCAGACCTCAACGGAGGAATGGACCGCCTGCCCGACCTCGCCGACATCACTACGCGCATCCGCACAGATTTGAACAAGAAGAGCGAACTCCGCCGCGCCATCGCTCGAGACAACGCCGCAGACTTCAAGATGGTTAATGGTGTCGAAGCGGAACGCGTCTTACAGACGGTCAACGTAGTTCCGCGCGCGAACTTCAAGTTCGAATATCCTGCACTTGAGTCCTACGAATCCCTTGCTGATGTCTCGAAACTACGTGGTATGCTTGATCTGGAGAAAGTCATCGTTGTCACAGGTTTCGCGGAGGTAGGTCCTTGGGGAAGCTCGCGTACGCGATGGGAGATGGAGGCGAGAGGCGAATTCACTATCGAGGGTTGCATTGAGATGGCGTGGATGATGGGATACATCAAGCACTTCGATGGCCGTCTCAAGGACGGATCTCTTCATGTCGGCTGGGTCGATGCTAAGTCCGGTGAACCCGTCGACGACAAGGATGTCCGAGGTCGTTATGAGAAGGACATTCTCTCACATGCTGGCGTGCGTTTGATTGGTGAGTGATTGTTTCACCGCGCAGTCTGCTGTGCTCATTATACAATCCAGAACCCGAACTCTTCCGTGGCTATGATCCCAAGAAGAAGGTCTTCAACCAAGAGATCCAACTTTTGCACGATCTGGAACCTTTCGAAGCTGCCGAAGTGGATGCTCAGAAGTTCAAGCTGGAACACGGCGACAATTGCGACATCTGGGCTGGAGAGGGTGGTCAGTGGTTTGTCAAGTTCAAGAAGGGTGCTCGTGTGTTCGTTCCCAAGGCATTCAAGTTCAATCGTCTCGTCGCTGGCCAGATTCCGACAGGATGGGATGCCGGCCGTTACGGTATTCCACAGGACATCATCGCGCAAACTGATCGCACGTCACTGTGGGCTCTTGTTTGCGCTGCAGAGGCTCTGAATACGTCGGGTATAACGGATCCGTATGAACTGTACAAGCACATGCACCCCTCGGAAGTGGGCTCGAGTATCGGCAGCGGCATGGGAGGTATGGAGAGTCTTTCGAAGATGTTCAAGGATCGCCGTGATGAGAAGGAGGTACAGAACGACATTCTACAGGAGACGTGAGTTCAGACCCTGCCTGCCCGGTGTAATCCTGACTGAGACGTGCAACAGGTTCATCAACACCACTGCTGGGTGGGTCAACTTACTTCTCCTCTCGTCTAGTGGCCCGATCAAAATCCCAGTCGGTGCATGGTATGTTACCTGGTCTTTTGAATTTGTGTCTCTTGCTTATTCATATGCGGACAGTGCCACCGCCCTGCAATCCATCGAGATCGCGTGTGACACACTATTGTCTGGAAAGGCGAAGGTCATGCTTGCTGGTGGATTCGACGATCTTAGCGAGGAAGGTTCATATGAGTTTGGGAATATGAAGGCAACCAGCAATGCGGAGACCGAATTGGCCATGGGTCGTGAACCAACCGAAATGTCTAGACCTGCAACGACCACTCGCGCTGGGGTGAGTCTTCTGATTTGTGTGGTGGAATGTTTGGCTGAACATCAATGCTGTAGTTCATGGAAGCCCAAGGCACGGGTGTTCACGTCCTCATGAACGCGAAGACGGCGTTGGAACTGGGATGTCCCATTCGTGGCATCATTGGATTCACGTCCACTTCCACGTGCGTCTGCACGCTTCTGTCCTTGCATATCTGTTGACATTTCTCCCTAGTGACAAGGCCGGAAGGTCTGTTCCTGCTCCCGGTCGTGGTGCTCTGTCGATCGCCAGGGAGGTCCCTTCAAAACATCCTCTACCGATGCTCGATTTGGTGTACCGATCCCGACAGCTTGCGTTCCGCCGCAGCCAAATCTCTGAGTGGTTGGCCAACGAGCAGCAGCAACTCCAGGAAGACATCGAGTTCCGTAAGAGTCGCAACGAAGTGGTTGACGAAGAGTATCTCGCGTCCCGTGTGGCGGATGTCGAGAAGGAGGCGGCCCGTCAAGAAAAGGATGCTCTTGCGACGTACGGAATGTTGGAAGGAGCTGACGCTCGGGTCGCCCCTCTTCGCCGTGCACTTGCAGTCTTCGGGCTGACGGCAGACGATATCGGCGTCCTTTCTATTCATGGCACGGGTACCGGTGCGAACGTGAGTCCCTCTGCAGTACTGTACCGAATATCTCTGACGCTATATACGTGTAACAGGAGGCGAATGAGACTCACATCTGGAACGACGTACTGGGCGCCATATCCCGCACGCCACACAACGCAGTCCCTATCATGGCTCAGAAAAGTCTGTGCGGACACTCCAAGGGAGGTTCCGCTGCGTGGCAGCTAGCTGGACTTCTGCAGAGCGTGCACTCTGGCATTGTCCCCGGTAATCGCAATGCGGAGTGAGTATTCTGTTGATTTCATCATATCACAATACTCAAGGGACTTCTCCAGCAATGTCGATGCGGATTTCAAGCAATACACGTACTTGATGTTCCCTTCAAAGACGATCCACACTGACGGCATTCGTGCTGGTCTCATGGTAAGTGCAGAGTCAGGAATCGTTATGAGTATCGCTGCTGAACCGTTACCATAGTCTTCCTTCGGCTTCGGTCAGGTTGGCGGTACTTGCATGATCATCAACCCTCGCTACGTGCTGGGCTCTCTCGAGCCTTCAGCTTACGAAGCGTACAAAGGGAAGAACCTCACACGTGCTCATCTCTCCTACAAGGCCATGAGCGAGATGATGATCAATAACTGCCTCGTCAAGGTGAAGGATGCTCCACCGTACTCGAAAGATCTCGAAGCGCCTGTCTTGATGAACCCCCTTGCGAGAGCTTGCCTCGACCCCAAAACTGGCAGCTACGCATTCCCAGCGAAGCTGAATTTGCAACCCGCCGTCGACATTGCCAATGTCAAGGCCATCTCTCAAATCCTGGCTGCTCAGGGCTCCACTGCTGGCGTTGGCGTAGACCAAGGTTCGTCACCAGAAGATCGTCCCCCTAACTAAAAGCACTGACTCGTTGTAACAGAGCTCATCTCGGCAGTACCCTCGTCGAACCCGACTTTCGTCTCTCGCAACTTCACGGATGCAGAGATCGAGTATTGCCGTTCGCAACCTTCTCCGGCCGCGTCGTTTGCAGCCCGCTGGGTCGGCAAGGAGGCTGTCTTTAAATCGCTTGGTGTTTCGTCGAAGGGCGCTGCTGCTCCGATGAAGGACATTGAGATCTTGAAAGACGATTCCGGTGTACCCACGGTAATCCTGCGTGGTGATGCCAAATCTGCGGCGGAGGCTAAGGGCATCACTCGTGTTCATCTCTCGCTGAGCCACTCTGAGGTATGTCAAGTATTCCGTTGCACTTGTTGCCGGGTCTGGCTGACCCGCATACCTCACAGACCGTTGCTGTCGCGTTCGCACAAGCCGCGTCGTCGTAAATTCGCATGCTTTCTGTCAGATCTATCTTACGCACTGCACTGAGTTTGTTCGCTATCTTCGTCACATCGTTTTCCTGCACGAGTGTTTTTTGAGGCTAATGGTATTATATCGCGCATTGTCATTCTGTTCACGTATCACGAAATAGATTCCTTGTTGTAATGAATTCGCGAGCTCTGAGACGCTGGTGCGCAAGATGCTTCCATCTTGATGCATTTGCTATGAACGGTACAAACTGTGCTGCTCGACGTAGTCAGCTATCGACGATGTGACACACGATCTCCAAGCCAAATCCCCACGATGACGCGATTCACGAATGTGGGTGCTGCTGATCGTCCGCTCCTCCTCGCCAATGTTTATCAGAGTGACGCGGCGCGACTGGACGAACTCCTCGATAGTCTCCATGAACGAGCGCTCGCGCTCCAGCTGCGCGTCTGTGAGTAACGACGCGTGCATGAGTCGGCGGGCGCACACGACCCACGCATCGTCACCCTCGGGCGAGAGGAGGCGGCGGAGGGAAAGGCGCATGTCCTCCGGGGACGCGTAGTAGCGCGGGGCGAAGAGCCTCTCGAGCGTGTCCATGCCTACTACGAACACGAGCTGCAGATGCGGGGTGGACTTCGTAGTAGGCGGTGAGAAATCTGCGGGGACTGGTGCGCCTGTGGACGGAGGGGAGAGCACAGACACGAGTCGCTCGCCTAAGAATTTGAGCAGCACCTTGGATTTGCCCACGAACGTGGGTTCGTCGATGATCGCGACGGCTATATTGTCGCCCTCCTGGATGGCCGCATGGGTACCTTGTGCGTAGGGAATCATAACATCAGGCAGACGGACCTGCTGGTGGTGCGCGATGTCCTGGGCAAGGAGGATCATCATCCCGAGGCGCTGAGCGTACGTCGCGTCGCCCGGGGCGAGAGTCTTGTCGGCATTTCGCACAGACAGAAGCAAGAGCTTTGCGTCGTACTTGTTAGACTCCCCTTCCTCATCTGAGGATCCTGGAACTGGTATGGGGACTACGGGCGGAGCGTTGGCGAGGGCAAGGTGTGCGAGAGTAGGAGGGTTGAAGGAGGAGTCTAGCACCGATACGCGAAGAAGAGATTTCGCACCTGAGCTTCGTTTCTGCACGTGGGTAGGAGGGGGTAGAGGCCAGTGCGGGTGGGAGGTGTAGACGAGCTCGATAGCGGAGATTCCCTTCTGGACGCGATGGATGAGTGTTGAGAGCGCGGGCATAACACAGCCGGGCAGCAGGTGGTTTCAGATCAGACAAACGGCGTCGGGGTCTATGTGCAGATCGCGATGTCTTAGCATTTGCCAGCGAGGGGGCATGTGAATGGACGAGCCTGAGCTTTGTGGGCGCATGGACGATATGACGGGGGTGCGAACAAAGTGCAAACTCCGCGTGATATCGCGGAGCGTTGAGCCCTCCTTACCCTTCCTTACCGCCGTCGTAGATGTATTCACCTAATTTGAATCTTGATCCAGCTGTTGGCACTGACTATTCTACTTCTCGTACATGCATGGTCAGAGGCTCAGAGCGACCACTCGAGCAAATACTCAGTTCAATATGAAGCACATAGGATGAACTATCTGTGGGTGAGTGTTTTTCAAGTTAGGCATAATAAGCAGACTTTCCGCCCTCAGAATACGGATATTTTGAGGCGCGAAGGTTGAAGCAGAGAATATCTATAACCTGCCTTTGGGAGACTATAGACTGCCCTCGCGATAGAGCTAGTGCCTGCTGCATACGGTTGACAATATGCTCGCTGTCCCCCTCTCAGCCCTTCAGGGATTCCAAGAGCAAGGCAGATTTCCAGGCTCGCTCCAGTAAAGAACTCGTTGCAAACGATGTCCATCCGTTTCATCGACGACCGTACAAACTCGCGTTTCCCCTTCTTCATGTCCCTTCAGAGACAAGCGCCTCAGCCTACAAGGCTGGGCCATTGCCCATGGCGTTCGTGAACGAGCTTCGTACTTGTGAACGTGGTCTCCAGCACTTACAACACATCGCATCGGGTTGTAAGTTCCCTGCCTTGGTTTCCCTGATGATGGACCTGGCCTTGTTCATTATCGAGATTGCAATGTTGACTGCTTGATTGTTGAGTACGTTGAGTGCTTGATTCTTCCTCTTCTGATATCACTCATTCATCCCAGTGTAACTATTTTGGTCTCTTCCATCCGCCAGGTGATCTATTTTCGTGCATAGGTTCACATTCCGTTTACGTCCCAGCTAATGCGGTCCCTCGTTTGTCACCTCCGGTAGCATTGGGCCGCCATGCAGTCGAAATCTCCCAGCATACTTAGGTGCCATTCTATCTCAGCTATGTATAATATTCTTCAAATACGGCAGGCAGAATTACTGGACAACTTTTCTGATGCCTCGTGGTAAGACCCTCTATTGTCAGCGCATGCATACCAGACGGGCCTCTTGTATCTCTTATGTCCCAGTCTCTAAAGATGTTTTTCATACGCGTGTGCAATGCCATGGCACTGATCTCGAGGTGAACGATCGTTGTGGCGCAGCCTCGGCTTGATGTATCAGAAATGGTGAAGGTTGTATGCTGCAACCGCCACGACTAGAGCGGGCATCGTTAATCTGGTTATTGTCTTTCAGGCGTATAAAAATGCGGGTACTCAGTACTCAGTACTCAGCGGCCAGAGTTCCCCTTCGCTGTCCGACTTCTGCAGATGCATCTCAATCCTCGATTGAATTTGAAACTTTTGAAAGAGCGCCGAGATAAGATAACACGTCAGACTCATCTAGGATGGCTTTCGACTGCAACCACGACCACGGCCAATACCTGGACTGCCGTCACACGTAATTCTGCATACGCTCCGCCAAAGATGGAGAAAGACGCTGATGGGTTCTACACGCCAGCAGCTCCAGGTAACTCTCTGATTGATACCGCAAGACCTATCTGATCCTTCGATTCAGGTGCGACAGTGGGTGCGACAGTAGGTGCGACAGCGGGAGCGCCAGTGCTAGAAACGGAGGAGGATGGTATGCTCATTCATCGCAGCTGATCCTGATGCATGCTAAAGCCTTTTCTTCTTGGTCAGTTTCGGACCTCATCAAGTCAGACTTCGAGGTTGAGGTATGGCAACGTCGCGCTCGCGGTTGTGGCAAGCGTACTGACTCCTGTACTTCCAGGTTACTCTAGCAGACCAGCAAGTCGATCCGAACTCGCCTCTATACAGCGCCAAGACGTTTGAACAGCTGGGACTGTGAGTTGCATGGACCACAGAGCGATCGAGAGTCCTCTGAGAGCTTAAACAGACATGAAGATCTACTGAAAGGCATTTACGACATGGGCTTCTCTAAACCATCCAAGATCCAGGAGCGCGCATTGCCTCTCCTGCTATCTAATCCGTGCGTCCGCGTGGTCATGATCTAGCTTGCCATCTAGCTGACTGCCTCCCATGCAGTCCGCAGAACATGATCGGACAATCGCAGTCCGGCACGGGAAAGACCGCCGCCTTCGTCCTCACGATGCTGAGTCGCGTCGATTTTTCCAAGAATAAAACACAAGTAAGATTCAACCTCTCACCGACTTCCGATGGAGGGTGTACTAACGGGCGGCATGCTCCAGGCACTATGTCTCGCCCCATCACGCGAGCTTGCGCGGCAAATCATGACCGTAGTGGTGGCGATGGGCAAGTTTACTTCGATTCAGACAGAATACGCGATCAAGGACGGGTTGCCGAGGGACACAAAGCACGTCACTGCCCATGTCGTCGTGGGCACCCCCGGGACGATGACCGACCTCATTAGGCGCAAGGTGATTGATGTGTCGGAAGTGAAAGTATTCGTGCTGGACGAAGCGGACACTATGCTCGACCAGGATGGTCTCGGGGAGCAGACGTTGCGTGTGAAGAAGTAAGTCGAACGGTCCTCTCTGTGTGTTAGCGTGCTAAGGCGCGAGCAATTACGAACACTAGTATGCTCCCGCGCAATCAGGCTCAAATTATTCTCTTCTCGGCGACTTTCCCGGACCACGTAAGGTCCTTTGCAAGCAAGTTTGCGCCAAACGCAAACAAGATCGAGTTGCAGAAGACTGATCTTACGGTCGCCAACATTCGGCAGTTCTATATGGATTGTCACGACGAGGATCAGAAATATGATGTGCTCGTCTCTCTGTACAAGCTGTTGACTATCGGACAAAGTATCATCTTCTGCCAAGTGAGTGTTCACAGATATTTCCTGGCGTATGTGTTGACCTTACGTGAATAACAAATTAGCATCGACGCACAGCGGACCGCATCTCACAGCGTATGACGGCAGAAGGGCATAGAGTAGCGTCGCTGCATGGCGCGAAAGACGCGCAGGAGCGTGATACGATTATCGACAGATTTCGGGAGGGTAAAGAGAAGGTGCTGATCACCACCAATGTCGTCGCGCGCGGTATCGATATTCTCAAAGTGAACATGGTCGTAAACTACGACCTACCGCTGATGAACGAGCGCGACCCGTCCCGCGGCAAGCAGGATACCCTCCCGGATGTCGAGACATACATACACCGGATTGGTTCGTCCCTTACTTACTGATGCGGTCGTCCATTCATGGTGCTTATGTCTCCACAGGTCGCACAGGACGATTCGGACGGAAGGGGATTTCCATTAACTTCGTGCATGATCAGACGACGTTCCACCAGATGGCGCAGATCGAGGCAGTGACGGGGAAGCATATCGTTCGCATCGAGACGAAGAATCTGGATGTTATGGAAGAGGTGCGTTGCGTCATAATTTCCTCACACTCTTTTGAAACTGACCGGCGGCCTGGTCGCTCTTTCCACAACAGCAAATGAAGAAAGCTCTGAAGTGAGAACAACGTTGGCAATGTATCGACCCTCTCTGTTACTGTATCATGTAGCTGTGAAACTGTCTGGACTCTTCCGTCCTCTTTGTGGCTCTAGTCTTACGACATCCAGTACTCGTCCGGTCAATATTATACTAGTGTATGGAAGACGGTGGTAAAGATTCAGACTGGTATCCGGTCTGGTTCATATTGACGGTACCTGGTGTACTATTCACTTTGCCGATTGACAGAATGTGTATCAACGCCACCGTCGAGCTTTCCTAGCATCACAATACTGCAGGTGCCTGCCAAGTAGTGAGTCCCGCTCTCCGGATTATCTGGCGGGAATACCCGCGCGTCCTTGGATGAGTTATAACGGTGAGCCTTGCTGTCATGCACCCAACAACTCACAATTTCCGCGTCGTATTTCCGTATCCGGTCACTCACAATACTGTGGCTCCGTCGAGGCCCTTATGGAAAGCGCATTTACGACGCGTCTGACTCGCTGTCCTCGCACGGTTTCACCCATCCGCGAGTGTTATCGAGGAGCGAACACTTGGCTCCACTTTCTCCAATGCCCAATTTTTTGACGTTCAGATGCGAGAAATGCGGATCTGCGCTCAGATGCACGCGCAGCCTGTCGGATCTGACAAGCGACCAGACTTTGGCCGGACTTGGCAGGTCCTAAATGACGTTGACAGGGGGCTTGACACCTCTCCTTGCGCCAGCTGCTTACCGTGCTTCCTGTGAACAATTTGCAGCGACGGGCATTGATAATGGCACGGTGATTACTAAATGCGCGGTCGATAGACAACATCCCAACAGTTGTTTGAGAGCCGGATAATACTATTCCAATACATCAATGTACCCGGTGAATACCTGTACACTCCTACACGACCCTGATTTTAGTACGTTGCATAGCTTGATAGGCCGGACGCCGTCCCTCGTATTCTTGACATGAAGTACAACATCTAGACTTGTGATTAATGTGCAGGGTCAGGACGTGTTGCACGAAACCACGGTCCTTCATGACTGTCCATATCCTTGCTTCACTCACACAAAGTCGATACGCCGTCAATTTCACTCTGATTATCCGCAAATCAGCTTGAGAGCAAGCCCATGTTGCACCCCATATTTTCCGTCGGTAGCATTGGCAGAATGACATGACGAATCCTTTCCAGGAAAGTGGGTATGAGAAGCCGATCAGGCTCCCAGAACTCGATTCTCAGACCTTCCACGCTCACGGTAAGGAAACACAAGGCATCCGATCAGAATATAAAGGAGTGCATGCCCATCGTGCGCTGACGACGTGAAGCTTTACGTTGGGCCAGAGCCACACGCCGATTTCCGGAGCTCTACATACCACGCTAGGGAGCGGCCTGATTTCGATTGAGCTTCGACCACATGGATCAAAATGTCGCTAGGTCCTGGATAACAGAGTAATCGCCTTTAATCAGAAACGCGCTATCTCGAACAGCTAGAGCTCGGTTTGCATTACCCAGCAGGACACAGGCTGAAGTTGGTGGAGAACACCTTGAGCCGCGACTGTGGACGATGCAAAAACAAATTCAAGTTCAGTCTCACGAAGCAGGCAATCGAAGCACACCATACGAAGCGCAAAGCAGCAGATCTCCGACTTCAAATGTATCTTGGTTTTGTCTCACCGCTGCCCTTCTGTCACAAATTAAACAAACCATCAACGCTTCGTAGCTGATCGTAGCGAACCAAAGCTCAGGCTTCATGGATCGAGCGATCGATTGAGAAGACGCCCATGAGCCCGAGAATCGTGAGGAAATCGTTTCGCCCAGAGTTGGAGGAAATAGTTATTCAGCATTTTCCTGATGGCTCCATGGGCACCTAATGGAAGAGCGGTGAGGTTTATAATGACCTCAGATGGGCCCAGGTATCTTCCATATTCGCCCTCACTTTCACCTTCACGTCCGCGTACCTCGCCCTCCATTTCCAGAGCTCAGCAGAATGCTGTCGACAATCTACGCATGGTCGCTCGACCACATCAAGCGGGTCTTCGAGGCAAAGACCACGTTGGAGTGTCTGCGCGCGCTCGACGAGACGTTCTCGCAGCACATTGAATTCACCATGAACGGCATGCAGCTTCCGAGGATCGGCCTGCAGCGCACAGTCCTCGCGATGGTTGAGGCCTCTGGCTACCGCCTCGCGGTGGACTGGCAGAACGCAGTCGAAGTCCCCAAAGACCCCTCGAATAGGGTGAGTCTCTGTCAGCTTTGGGCTGATGGGCAAGTTTTGATGAGCGCGGCCATAGAATGGCGTCCTCGGGGGGTACTACATCATTCGCAATGTGACGAAGCACCTCCCAGGCTCAGCTGCGCCTCTGCTCTGTGAACGACATAAGTCGATAAACGTCGTGTAAGTCCATCAACGCCGCGTCGTCGACCATGAGACTGATATCGACTTGGGTACTCACAGCATCGAGTCCGAACATCCAGACGCCAACAGCGACAGTCGTCGCATCGTAAAATTGGCCCTCGTGGCTACGGACTTGCCGGTGCAAACATCTTTCCTGTCACAACGAGCGGGGACGGTTGTAGAGCACCAGACATAGTACCTAGACTTCTACATACCATATTTCCCCCACGGCCTTGCCATGTATCACAGAGTCCTACTGCTATGCTGTGGTTTCTCTCCATACCCGGAACTGTGCGCTATGGTGATCTCGGATACGTGGGTGAGACCACAGGCACTGAACACCGACATCAATCCAGTGGGCATTCAAAGCGACTTTCAAATACGACGGCATCTAGCCCTGGAAGGCTGTGGCATCGGTGGGGAACTTTGGGGGGAGCTGGCTGCCGGAAACATTTGAGGGCATATTGTCGGATGACTTGGTCTGCAATGCGAAGACACTCAGAGGCTGCGCAGGCGAACTGTCGACGATGTGTAAGCCTTCAGGCATCCATCTCCATTTTTCAAAGGATGCGCACTCTGGACTTTCGTCTGTGAAGTAATCCAGGGGGAGTGCATGAAGGAACACGCTTTTTGGAATTGTTTATCAATTCGTCATGGTTGGCCTTGGAGCTACGAGCCTTTGCACTTCTCGTCGTGGTTCCTTGGTCAGTTATCGAGCCAGAACTTCGAGAAGCTACCTCAGCCATAGCTCTAGCATTCAAAGTATTTCCATTGGCAAAAAGAGTGTAGTTGAACCTTCATTTCCGCCAGCTGACCCATACCGCGGAGACAGGACAAGATGCTGCTAGCCCATTAATGCCAGTGGCAAGTCGATTGAATGTGCTGGCAGTTCCCGTTTGAGTTGGTCACTGGCGTTCCTGCTTATGTAGGCGCCTTTCTGATCTTCCGCTTACGTTCTCCCTTGCAACCAATGAACCTCCCTCCTCTCATGCAGAATCCTCAGGGCTCTTAACGTTTGGCCTAGTGTTAACCAGTGCCCGATGCCTGGTTGTGAGCCCTGAGGTTATTAACAGAACCGCAGCCGATGATGCACATGCTGAATCTTTTCGTATCTGTAGAAAATGTCTCACAGCCGATCTGTGCTTCTACATGTGCTCACGCGCACGGCGCATGCAGGGCGTACGGGAGTCCGTCGGCTCGCGTTAGGAAAGTGCCAGCTTTGTGGCGTTCGGTCCGTCCAAAGACAGAAGACAAGAACTTCAATTCCGCCTTTTGCCGCGAACGACAGTGAATTCGCACATCAGAACCACTCATACGCAGCCTTGATGTCGAATCTCACGGAGTTTACGAAGCCTTGCCTCTTCTCAGCCATGTACACCCTTCGGAACTTACCAGCCGTGCACATGGTGCACGAGCAGCCTCTGTGCACGTCCTGTCGCGACACCGACCATTATGACGGCACACAGTCGAGCGGAGGACGTACTGCAGTACTCGGGTTCTGCAAATTTTGTCCAGCGTCGCATGACCCATGTCATAATGTGCACGCTCACCGGATCTCGGCAGACGTGTGTAGTATTGCCATCCAACATCACAAACGTACCTCGTATCGTAATCAGCCACCGAGTACTGGACCGGGAGCTTTGTCCAGCTCAGGATCCCCCACTCAAGTCGTGCTCTCGTATGAGGTGCTTTCGCCGAGCGAAGGTCGAATCGGCCTGGTTCAACCTCGGAATTCTTTTGTGGGCTGCATGTGCGCGCGAACGTCGTCATGGACGTGATGCTTGGAAGGAAAATCCTCAGAATCCCTCTCTCATGAAGTGCCGCAATTCTCATGACGGCATCCACTTCTGCTGGAAAGAATCCTGCACAGGGTTTCTGGAAGATTGGAGAATAATGCGTTGCCTGTTCCTCAAACCACGTATACTATGTCTACGCTAAGTGGATATACGCATATCTCCTGTTCCTGCACCAAGGGAACGGCACTGTGACCGTTCAATTAGGAACGCATGATGAGCGTGTGGGGTATGCTGTCATTGGAGAGCTGGCCAACGACTACTTCGGGGCCGATTGTCCTATTCGCGCGGCTACACCGAGCTTCGCACATACTCGTGTCGTATGAGTAAGCTGATGTATTGTCCTTTTTTTCTGATCTTGGTGATATAAATAATAGAGATTTTATACGTGCATCGTGTGGTCCTTCTGTAAGGTGAATGGTGTTTGGTACCTGCAGGGATGATGTGTCGAGTGTGGAGCAACGTACGTCTAACTAAGCGTTGCGCGCGCGTTCGAGGTCGTGTTTGGAGCGACTTATAAGTAGTCAACTAGCTATGGGCTCTCTACTCAGAGTCTATGTGCTCGAGCCAGCAAGAAACCAGAGTAACTCTTTCACTAGTATTCATTAAGTTCGACGCCAGCAATAAATAATTGGGACCCATTCAAAATGTCTACTAACATATGGGAAGATGAGTACCAGTGTATATTGCAGATGTCAGGATTTTTCACCCACCATGTACGCGAGCTTTGAGTGTTATGGGGAGGTTTTCTCATAAACGCGTACCACGTGATCCCCAATGTCCAAACATGCGCAAATTGGAGATGGAGGATCTTCAGCCTCTGCCGCCCAAATCTGTATCTAATCGAAGTGCATCTGAACGTCCGCAACGTTGTAATCTTTTGGTATTCTATCCACTCCGCCCAATCGATACTTCACAACATGTCCGACTGGGGTACTGTCAATTTTCTGTCTGATCAGTGCTCACTCTGATGACCGCAAGGAGCACAGAGGATTCCGAGAACGAGTCGGCCGCACCCGCACCCTCACCCGCACCAGCACCCTCTGGCCCGACAATAAAGAAACCCACGAAGAGCAAGTGGGAAGGAGAAGATGAGGAGGACGATGGACCAGTGGTGCGTGCACTACGTTCAGGCATTCAGATGCAGTTGAACTGAAAATTTTCACATTGATTCGGTAGAGTGACTGGGAAGCATCTTCTGACGAGGAGGAGAAGCCCCAACCCGCCGCCGCTGCATCAGTCGCGCCGCCAAAGAAGAAAGGCACGCTGAAGGCAAAGCTTGCCGAGAAGGAGGCGGAGAAGGCTGCGAGAAAGGCCGCGCAGGATGACGAGCACTACGACGAGGACGCCGTGCTGGACCCGCGCGAAAAGGCACGGCTGGATAGGGAGCGGGAGCTGAACGCAGACCTCAGTAATGCGGCAGACCTCTTTGGCGCTGCTGCTCTGGGAGGTGGGCTTGCCCTTGTCTTATGTTGTAGCGCGATCCTGATATTTTCGGCAGGCACTTCGTCTACGGAGTTGGACAGTCTTGTTTCTGCTCAGCCGCGGACCAAGGAGGACTTTATCGCATTCTCGCACAATATCATCGAGTTGATCGTCAAGCGACATCAGGACAAACCGCTCTATGCCACATTCGTCGAGAACCATATACGAGAGTTGGCGATACCCTTGCGGGATGTTGAAGTCCGTAAGGCAGCGAGTGCACTCACCACCTTGGCGAACGAAAAGCAAAGGGAACAGAGGGACAAGACTTCGGGGAAGAAGAAGCCAAAGGTAGTTGTCAAGCCCGCCTTGGGTGCCGCGAAGGCGGCAGCCAAGTAAGTAGTTACTCTCATGTTTTCAGGCTCCTTATAAGGCGTTCATTTTTTTCTCCGCAGATTTGACACATCCGTGTATGACGAGGCGCTGGACGACACTGAGGAATTCATGTAGAACATCCCGGAGGCCATACCACGCAGATCAGATTGTAGCGCGTTGCTTATCTTAGTCTAAGTATACCACCAGTCGGTCCTAAGGGCAAATGTTGTAGATCTGAACTGAAGAAATGTATTCACATACATTACACTGCCACATCTCACTCGTCGTCGTCCTCGCCTCCGCTACTGTCCTCGTCGTCGCTCGCAACGCCGACGACGCCGCCTCCAGTTTTCTCCTTGAGGATCCTGCCCGCCTCTGCCAACTTCGAGCCAAGCACCTTCCTTGTACCGGCATTAGCCCCAACGTCCCATACCTGCAATTTTCCATGTGACCCAGCGGCGGCTACTGTGAGGGGATCATCTGGAGACCACACTGCGGAGAAGACCTTGCCCTGATTACGGGACACAGTTCAAAGAAAATTATTTACAAGTTCTCGCTTTGCACGTACCACGCCGAGATCCCTCGATGTCACCAAGCTGACTTGCTGCTTGCCCAGATCAGCATCTTCGTGGACGTTCCAGATCTTGACAATTTTGTCTGTGCCGCCCGTAACGATGCACCCTCGTATATGAGGATTTACGTCCAACGCAGAGGCAGCGCCGTCGTGTGCGGAAAGAGTGAACCGCGAGGGTGATGGCGAATTGAGATCAGAGGGAAGCGTCCTTGCGTCAAAGTTCAGGACAAGCCCGTTCTCGAGGGATACCTAATGGCATTATTGAGACAGAAAAAATAGAGGGACTAACACGGAGCTTACGTAGAACCCGTGCACTTCCCAAGGGTCCCATCGGATCGCCTCCACATCAGCACCCACAACTGCCCCAACGCCTGCATCCGGCGCACGCGAGTCAAACGTCCTCACCGTACGGTCGAAGCTTCCAGTGAGCAGTACGGTCGGATCCTTCTGATTCCACTGCACCGCCTGCACCTTGTCCTTGTGCACACTAAAGCTCCGCAGCGCACCCTCGCCCTCACTGTCGCCGCTGATCGTCGGGTTGCGGCTCAGGTCCCACAGCTTCACAGTGCGGTCCGCGGACGCGGACGCGAGGAGGTTGCGGTGCGTGTGGTTCCACGAGAGCGCAAGGACCGCGTCGACGTGGTGTGCAGCGCTGGCGGCGCGGTGCTTCGCCTTCTTGCGCTTCTTCTTCCCTGTTCCCAGTGGTGTCGGGACGTGCGCGGCGGTCTTGTCCGGGCGGCCAAGCACCATATCCGGATATATCGCCTCGACGATGTCCAGCGACCAGATCTCGATCTCCGGCTCCATCGTACCCACTGCTATGTAGTTGCCGAATTGTTTTGCTCCAGAGGACGCGGTGGATGCGGGTGAGGTGATGGGTGGGAAGTCCAGCCATTCGAGGCACAGCGGGAAGCTGGGTAGCATGAGGTCGTGGTGGGCGTAGAGGTTTTCTTGTGATTCATCGTAAACATAGATTTCAAGCTGTGAGATCTCGTCTTCGGTTTTTGCGGCTACGAGGAGGTTGTCGTTCGGTAGGACTTCGAGCTCTTCGCGTTCTTCGTATTCTTGGTCCTGTCACATAGATCAGCATCTGCAAAATGTGAACAGCGTAATTAGATTACGTCTTTTAGTGTGATGTAAGGATCCTCGTCATTATTCCTATAATATGTGAGACCCTTGATATTGCTGAACGGACCCATTGCTGCAATGATGAATTCGAACACAAGATTTCGCATCTCAAATGTTATGACGAACCTGGTATAGCATCATCTTCGTCATAGTTATCCAGATCGTACTGTGCTAGATCATCGTCGTCTTTGCCCTCCGCCCCGTCTTTTGTTGGAGGTCCATCCTGATCCATAGGAACGTCCTCGTCCTTCGAATTTTCATCTTCGCTTCAAAGGTAACTTGCTTAATACGAAGTGTAGCTTCAGTGAGAAAGAAACTCACTCGACCCAAGCACTCTCATCCTCGTCGTCGACATCGTCGGCCTCTTCACCTTCCGCACCCTTCCCCATCGACTCGGCCGCTTTGTGTGCGCGCTCCAGCTCTTTGCGGGCGTCATCAAGCTCGATTCGGGCCAGTGCACTGACACGGTTCAGCTCGTTATCGTCGAGGACATATTTGACAGGGTGCTGAGTAGTTACGCCTCTGCGGACCCTGTACTCCCTTAGGATTTCTGTTCAGCTGAGAACATTGCGTATAAACGTACCAAGATATACAAGATATCAGGCTACTGTGGCTCATTGTAGCCTAATGCCGAAGAGGTACTGGATCCAAAAATTATTCGGGCACACACGCACGTGCTGGATATGGAACCACGTGGTGCGCGTAACGCGTCGCGCCGCGTCGGGCGCGTCGTTGACTCAAAAGACAAGCATAATTATAAACCATTGAATTCTACATATCCTACAAGCTATATAAGTCAAGAAACTTTCGATATACACACATTTATGGAGGGAACCTCATGTGCCCCCCAATGTGCAGCGCACGTTGAAATTTTTGGCCGCTTGTTTCTTCCGTCGACCAAGGTGAACTACTTTTAGTACTGGTACTGAGTCAGCGATGTTCAGCAACCACTTGTTTATAGCGATTCGTGAATTTGTGTGCGCAAGCCAGGCTGAAAATTGAATTTTCCTGGAATACACAGATCAGAATCAGGAGAAAGGCACAAATCTTGAAAATGTCAAGACATTGTGGTTACTGAATACAGTGCTGGGCAAGATCGAAGGCGGTTACAGAAGAACAATGAGGCTACATATGTTTTTATCTTTAAAAGGCGGAGAGGAACGCGACCGCCTCCGCAGAATCTGCCTCTCCTTGTCTCGCAAAGTCCAAGGGGGTCATGCCCGCATCATCTCTGAAATTCCGATCTGCTCCATGACCCAGCAAAAACCTGATACCGTCCATATCGCCATTGATTGCTGCCATATGCAATGCAGTTTGACCGCCCGGCTTATATGTGCAATTCACGTTGACGGAACGTTCCGTGAGCAAGGTTTCCGCGTCTTCGTGTTCTGACATCGCCATGCATGATAGGAAGGCCTCTTCGTAGCGCTCCTGAGGGTATGCATCCATATATATCTCCTCGTCCTACACAAAGCGTAAGAAATAAATGATCTAAGAGAAGGTAACGTACAATCACGTCGCCCATGTCTACACCTCCAGTAACACCCCCTTCGTTTCGCACCTCCACGACGAACGTTCCGTTTCGATCGAGCGTGTTCTGCCTACATAGAGGACACCGGCTCCAATCACCATCGCTCTTTGCCCATTCCAATAAGCAAATCCAATGAAAGTGGTGAGGACCTGGGCCTGAGTCAGGTGGACCGCAATGCAGCTGCACATCGTCAATGATGTAAGAAGTCCCAACTTCATTGCGAGAGGGAACATGGAGATTCTCAAGGCAGATGCTACAATTTTCAGAAGAGTACGCTGTAGGAACTGGTTCAGGGAGCGGCATGGCGAACACGATCTACGAGGAGGATATCGCAGGTGCAGTATGATTCCGTACGAAAACAGTTTCCTAGATCCACCAACGGTCAGGTGACTGACGCGTTTCATTTGGACACGCGGCTCAAAGTTGAACTTGAGCGCTCAGCAAGCTGCCACCACTTTTCACTCTCTTCTTTGTTGCGCAACCCCCGTTCTTTCTTTCTGTCAGCTTCCGATTTTCCTCCTCATCAGACTTAATTCTCTCTTACAATGTTTAAGAGCATCTTGCCGTCAAGGCGAATACCCTCCGCAGACTTTCTGATGATTACACCACCGGTGGACAACTCCCCCAACGGGAAGGAGAATCATCCAGGGATCCCTGCATCTCACGACACAAAACCGACAAGGTCTGAAAAAAACAAGAAGGCGAAAGGGAAGGAACATCCAGTAGAGGGTGTACCGAGCGAAGCTGATTTCGACCGATTGCTAGTAAGTTGTGTCTCGTACAACTGGTCGAGGCTACGCATCACTTTGTACATTACCTGGCTGTGCACCAGTCGAATTATTTTTTGCACTCTCGCTTCACAGTGCTCGAGCGGGGTGTCTCGATGGACCACAACAGGCGACAAGTACTGAATTGTTCTCTTTTTAGGAGGAACTTCAGATTCCGTTGAACTTGCGTTCGAAGCTTGCAACGATGGACGCTAGGGTCAAAGCGCAAATGCTCAAGTCATCTGGTATAATTACGGCCAAGTCGTCAATCGCCCGCCCCCAGACTTCTCGGGGAGTGCGCCGAGCTTACAGCACCGAATCTCTTGGTTCTCCCAGGCCACAGTTGAAACGCGCGCTGGAGGAATGTGACGTCTTTAGTTCGCGAAAGGAACCTCCGATCCTGTCACCCGCTCATGTTCGAGGAATATCCATTAACGTCGGCCGTTCAGCTATGCACAGCTTCGCCCCTGCACAAAACGCGGCGACAAAAACCGCGCACAAGGATAAACGTGCGAGGGCATCTTCCGTCTCCCCGGGAAAATATTGCAATATCCTTAGAGGCAATTCGTCCACTAGTCTAGAAGTAGACTCGGTCAAGAAGCTGCGTCTCCTTCTCAGGAACGAAGCCACAACGTAAGTATTAATCTCTGTATTCAGGAAAACGCTAAAGTTAGTTTCCAGTTGGACTGAAGAGTTCCTGGAGCAGGGAGGGTACGGCGCCTTGCTGACCCGTTTGACTGAGATTCTAGAAGTGGAATGGCGGTCAGTACACCCAGCCGTTCGTAGTCTATTGTTAGGATGGATATTCAACTTATTTCTATAGGGAGGAACAACACGACGACCAGATGCTTCACGAGCTTCTGCGCTGCGTTAAGGCGCTCTCAACTTCTGCCATTGGATGTGCTGCTCTGCGAGATAGCTGTCCCTCCCCGTACTTCCAACTCATTCATCTCCTTTATTCCGACAAGAAGCCTGGCGACGTCGGCACGCGGCAACTGATCCTAGAATTGCTGCTGCTCCTCTTCGAGCTATACCCGTCTTCTTCCTTGCCTTCTAGCGGCAGCCCCATTACTACTGCCTTCTCCTACATGCGCTCTCGGTCCATCCCCTGGGAGGCAGACGCGAGGGCACAATCGAGTAACCTCATCACACTTCCAGCCCCCCACGCCTCCCTGTTCTCTTTTATCCGGGCCCTCTTGCTCACGCCTGCCCCCCCTCCGGCCGAGGCACCTGGCCCTGCTGTAGAACCGCACGCATTCATTGAAGAATTGCACCGCCATCGAATTTACAAGACATATCTGCAAGAACTCAACGATATTTGCAGAGATTTCTTCTGGGTATTCTGCCACCCGAACAATGCGGTATGGAACTTGGATGAGACAGACGAAGCCAAAGTCGAGAAACCGCGCGCCCCTGGTGGTATGACGGGTGGCGTCGAGTTCGAGGCCATGGGTTATATGGTCAGGTCTTCTCCGTGGAGCATCTGCAGCTGTACCACTGACATCATGTGCAGACAACACACTTCAGGTTCATCAATGCGATCGCTGCGTTGGTGCAAGACATGAATTTGCCCCAAAGCCACGAGCATTCCGCTTATCAGTTCCATAACGACATGTTCCTCTCTGGTATTGAGCGTATCTTGCTGGTGTGTGCCCTCGTGTCCTTGACTGGTCTCTGGGTAAATTTCTGACGGCTCGGTCTCTTTATCGACGCCTCTCCATTGTGGATTATATCTTTCCCTAGATGGCACGAAAGGCGTCCACCACGTACTATCCGACGCTTCACCTCGAGATTGCCCGCTACGTCGCCGCCGTCAACCGCTCAGGGTTTGAGCTCCCATGGTCTCTCTCTCGGCTGGTGGCTCCGCCGCCATCAAGCATGCGGAAAACCCCGGCCATGCGGTCCCCGGTGTACGGCAACTTGGGCAAGGGTGTAGCTATGCAGGGCTCGCCGTCAAAGAGGAGCAGCGTCGTGGTTAACGCGCCGGTGCCAGGCTTGCCCGGGTCCCGCAAGGTGACCCCCATGTTCGGACTATGATGACGTGCATTTCTATGATAATCATTATGGGTCCCGTCTTGTGCGGGAGACACAGATACGAACAGATACGAACTAACGAATGCTGAATGATCTTCTTCTGCTATATTGTGTTACATTCATGACTATGTCCGCAGCGTTGACCCCGACACTTGGCAGTGGCTGAGGAGGAATCGGATTGGTTTGGCTGAAAACTCTGCTTCGTGATTTTACTATGTATTATCTTGTATGTCCCATGTATGTCGTCGGTGGAGTGTACGCGTGCTCCGGTACGCTGTATGGTACGACGACTTGATCTTCTGGTTATAATGGTATACATGCATAGACTGATTAGAATTTTGGAGGATCGGGGAAGTTTGTCTTGTAACGCTTCAGCGAACGATCAAGATACGTCTTCGCAGGACGGCGGGAATGGTGTTCCGACTTGGACTGATGGAAGTGTGAACATTTGCGTCTCCAGACTAGAAGTTTGAAGACTGAGTACTGAGTACGGAGCAACAAACGTACTTTGGATTTTTGACGGCTCAAATGTCCATACCGGCGCGACAATATATGAGGGCCACAATAATCCACTGGCAGGGACGTATCACAGAGGCAGGTCGACGCTGTCCACGCGCCGCGGCAAGTATATACGATAGATGCAGACGATGAGAGAAGAACGAGGCGTCACCGAAGACGCCTTATTCTGTATCGGTCCAGCCAACAAGATGAACAAAAGAAATTCACTCTTGAGAGGGAAGTAGTAGCCGCTTACCTCTCCCGCGTAGGGAACATATGCCACATCAGTTCAGGTGGTGTGGGAGGAGGGCTGGCCGTGAGTTTACATCCATAATGACTTCATCCATGGCCACCCTGCATTACGACCAGTGGGTTGTTCACTCCCACAGTGCTCTGTCTTGCGGTATCCGCCCGACATCTCAGGCTTCCAGATGTCAATGAAAAGCTCTTGTGTGTTCCTGATAACGGTGGAACCGCAAACACCTTCCAATTATTTTGCGGAGATGAATGAGCTGGATGTAGCTGACGTACTGGCACTAGAGCGCGAGAAATGTGACAATGTTCTTGAACAGGGATTTTTGGTTTTTTTGCCTGTCCTGTGAATTATATTATAGCTATGAGTATTTTGAAGAACAAGACAAAACGACATCGCGGCTCACCGCCGTCCCTTGGGAGGGAACGGCGGTCCGGCGGATCCACGTTCATAATCGAAGTTGTCGTGGTTCAACACGCCTTGAAAGCTTGATGGACTGTACGCGTCTGACTTAAATATGGACACCGTACTCTCATATAAAGAATGGTAGATATTGGACAGGGATCCACGTCAGTGACTTCGTCGGGAAACTTTCGACGATGCAGTTACATTATACGGACGTGAATTCGCCCTTTCGGACGGTCAGACTTAGGTAAGGTATTCCTTGCACGTAGTCATGAATAGTGAACGTTACACGAAGAGCAGCAGCATATCATGCGACTGTGAAGGTGATCTCGGCGACGGCCACTGCCAGGACATATGAAGTGGCTCACGTGGCACGTGAGAAAGCAGGCTCCGGATCCGGCAACTCTTCCCATTTGAAAGAATCAGGTGAGACTCGGAGCCTGTGGGTTTCACCAAAGTCCTTCCGCCGCTGTTCCCTTTCTTCCACCTCGTCTCCAAGCATGCCTACAGCCGTGACGACGACAGCGACGAGCACGCCCCAGACGCTCTCTTTGAAGGCGAGCTCGTCGTCGACCTCGGCCGACTCGACACTAGCCACCCTCCGCTCGCTCTACCCCCGCGCAGCGCGGGCGTTTCTCCAGCGTAATGTCGCTTTGACCCACTCCCTGCTCTTGTCTGCCTTTGCCATCATCTACCCGCCTGTCTCGCCAGCGCCAGACGCGATCTCCACGCAACGCCGGAAATGGGATATTCTACGTGTAACGTTTGAGACGACGCTGTATGCGTCTCCGCCACCCACGCACGACTTGGACTCATTCCCGCAGTCGCTCAGGGCGAACCTTATGCTCTCGCCAGAGTCTTTCCTCGCCACGGTGCACACACGCTCTCTTCAGCTTTTCACCCCCTCCACGCCGTTCCAAAAGCCGTCGTCGGCGTTCCTCCCTGCACAGATACTCGTGACCCTCGCCCTTGCGAGTCTCAAACTCGAGTGCACCCATGTTGGGCGAGGTATGATAGAAGATTGGCTCGCTAGACACATTCCGGCACAGGACTCCGATAAGTCCGAAGGTTATGCGAAGGTCTTGGAGCTCTATTGTCTGCACGTACTCCCGCGCCTGGAGGAGTGGGATTACGCAGAAGATTTCTTGCAGTACGAGCGTCAGCTTCCTGCGGAAACGCGCAAGGTACGCTTTTTGTTCTGTCCTATAACTAAGGGTTGGAAGGGAGTGGATAGACGACTTCTGTCCGAGGCTGCAGCACGGGGAATAGTGATTGTGCTCACAGTAACGAGTAGTTCTGAGCGTACCCCTCCGGTTCAGAAATCCTCGGGAGTTCCTGCTTCTCGCTCGTGTATGAAGAGTGATGTCACGTCTATCTTCGCACTGTGCTATCTCTGCTGGAAATGATCATCATAGCTGCTCAGTTTGCTCTGATCTTGTACACTTGCATTCGGGTGTAGTGTTTGATCTTGCAAGACTTACCCTCATCTTTTTCAGTACATGCTCACGTCGCTTCAAAACCTGCGGGCGCAAACGCTCACCATGCGCGCCTCTACCCCTCTCCCTTCAGCATCCCCAAAGCTCTCCTACCCATCGCGCTCCCCCTCACCAGCCCTATCAAATGCGTCTTCCACCTCTTCCTCCAGCACATCCACCCACACCGCCACACCGCGCACACCCCGCCCCGGGCGGCTCGCAGGGCTCACCCCTACAAGCACCCTGACGAACTCGACTTCCACCCAGTCCATATCCTCTACAACAACATCACGCACCATCACTCCCACCTCCGCGCGCCGGCCCCGCTCGCGGAGCCGCACAGAGACGAAGAGACAGGATCCCATAGAGCACGTCTGGGGCGCGGCATCGCCGCCCGCGCGCTCTGTGCTCCAACCCGAGAGGTCAACACCGCCCGGCATGCCTGCACACCCGGTTGCCCGCCGTCCGCACTCTCGCGCGCACTTGGACGCTACCGCAGAGCGAGAGCTCGCGCAGCGCGCAACGGGCCAGCAGAGCATCGTAGCCCTCGCCCGGGCGTGGCTCGCAGCGCTTCTCGCGCCACCGCGCACGAAGCTCACTGCGTTCGTCGTATTCTGCATCGCGCTTCCCGTGTTGTCGTTCTTCTTCCGCCGCCGGCGCGCGAAGACGCCAGTTGTGGGTCATGTGGCCGCCGCGGAGGGGGTGCGCCGGCGACTTAGGGCGGCGGAGGGCAAGGGTGTGCTCGGCACGCTGTGGGAGGAGCTCGTACGGGCGGTCGGGGATACGGTGCGGATGGGCGGACGGGGACTTGTATGAATCGGTCGTGGTTGTGGAGCGCTGCTGTACGTTGATGTTCTTCGAGCTTGCGTTTTGGTGCACCATTGAATAGCGGTTGTTTTTGAAGCGCAGTGTCTTGGAATATTTTTCTTGGTTCGGATAATGTTTCCGGCACGTTCGTTCGTTTATTTTGTCTCCTTCGTACGTTATATTTTATACCGTGTTATGGTACAGTTGAATGACATTGTGAAGGAAGTTGTACAGTAGGTACATGGCCTCGTCCTAAGAACGTTGAACGGCGCGTGCACGGGATAAAGATATCATCTCATCTGTATTCCGCCAGATTTGGAGAGACGAGTGTATGAATCTTCGGCATACAGCTCCACACATAACCTTCCTCACAACGACACTGCTCCAGGGAGGCTTTGCGGAATCACGGGGCTCGGTGACCAGGCTCGATCTTTGCGGCCTCCTCTGCGCAACTTCTGCACGACAACGGAGGACCAGCCGACGGCGGGTCGACTGGACCTCACCGCCGGCGTCAGGACGTCCGAGGAAGGTGTCGCCAGGCTCGACGAGAATCCGAGGAGCGCCCTGAGCAAGTACTATCGCGACTGCGGCTGCGGACAGAGAAAATGATCGACATACCTCCGCAACGAATCGTACAGAGTAAGTAGTTGCGCAGATTGGGGCCAGGCGCTCCAACTAGGCAACGGGCGATAACGTACTTATTGATAGTTAGACTTACGGTGGGTCGGCACTGACTTCCTCCAATATTAAACCATTACAGCAGGGCGTGCCATCAAAGAGTCGAGTACAGGTGATGCAGCCGAGATTCAAGAGGATGCTGTGCGAAGCCCGAGTGATGCAGACTCACCAGTACGTCCACGCAGTGTCGCTTTGGGTCCGCTGGATAGAGGGCGAGGTGGTGAATGTGGGATAAGTAGCATATATGCCGCCTGCGGATGACGTACGTCGTGTAGATCAAGTGAATATTCTTGTTGAGAGACGAGTTTGCGGGCAGAAGATATTGCAGTGAGAAAGAACGAGAGCTGTGTTGAAACAACTCGTCAGTGGCTGCGGCAAGGTCATGGGGAACGAGATGGCTGCGTGTTTGGCGTACAGATCGCGATGCCGCCGCCGCCTGCTCCTCGTCCTCGTCCTCGTCCATCCTCATCTCCGTTTTCCCCCACGTCGTCTGCTCTTTCTCTCTCTGTCTGAACGACGCTGCGGCCATCTTCTGGGACAACGACCGTACGCACGAGCGAGCGAGAGGAGACCGGGAGAAGACACAGCCGTGGGACTCGTTCTGGACAGTAACACTACCCTGGCCTCACGCCGACGCCGACCCCTCCTGGGGCTTCTCCCAAGGGGCCACCGCCGACGCTCAAACACAACAGGCTCCATCCATCGCCTCTCTCCGAACCAGCTCCCCGCGCCCCTCATGACCGCAAACGATTCTCACCCGCCCACCAAGGCCAGCCTCAAGTCCTGGTGGAACACCTTCACCTTCGCACAGCGCGCCAAAAAGGAGGCTGAGGAGAAGAAAGGCGAGTCCCCGTTATTTCTACTGTCTTCTTTGACTTGGGTACGGCGTTGTTCGTCTGTCTGCACGCGCGGACTGTGGAGCGTCGCCCGCCGATGCGAATCGGGATACACCTGCTGACGTCGGGATATTCATGTCGTAGTCAGACCCTCGATGATGCGTCAGCGTACTGTCTGCATGATTGCAGTTAAGCTACGCTACATTGAGGGTCCTTCGCAGTATCCCGTGGCTTGACAGCCGCCGGGAAGGACTCTGATCTGCTCGCTATGGACTTGTATTATGATGAGATGCACAGTTCCATTGTCTTCGTCGATTATGGTCCGGCTGGCGTTCTGTTGCGTATGCTTCACTCTTTCAGTGCGTTATGACCCACCCGGGCTCGTATGGAAGTTATCATTTTGACAGAATATTTTGTGACTTTCTTGGTTGCATGCTGTTGCCCGACCCACTTAGGCGACATCTCTATGCTCTTGCTGGTGCTACGACTGCCTGTGCGATTTTCTTCCGGTCCTGTATTCGATGGGCGCATCAACCTCTATGCGACTTGCGCGCATATGCATTTTCCTTACGATCCGCAGCGGTGGACTCCGTACTCCCGATCGTAGCACGGCGCCCTCTGAGCCGATCGTGACCTCCGCGGTATTGCAGTCTCCTGGTTGGCATAATTGACCTCGCTATGCCGGTTATCGCGAACGTGACTTTCTGCTCTCAGTTTCCCTTGCTGCATGATCTATTGCTCTGGACGTCGGAGTCTACTGTTGATGGATGTTCTTATCATACTAAAGGTGCCCGTCTCGTGGTTTAATATTCACGGACGTGGGTATGGTGTACTGTCTCAAGTTCTGGAGCGACTCCCTCCGAGTAGTTCTGGGCTCTCTGGAATTTTGATACCTCGCATCAGTCCATCTGGCCTCAATTTTTCTTCTGTGAACTTTGTTTCACTCTCATGTTTCATCGTTAGCTTCTCCCCGGTGCAGGCTCCACAGACGATGCCGTGTCCCTCTTGTCCACTTCGTAATCGCTAACACCCATTCCTGTAGCAGGGGAGAACGTAGTGTTCGGCAAGCCACTGAAGGAGAGTCTTAAGTATGCGAGCGTGCAGATCTCCACCGCGAATGCCAACGGCGAGCTGTACGTGTGGGGGTACATCCCCGTCGTCGTCGCCAAGTGCGGGCTCTACCTCAAGGAAACCGGTGCGCACATTTCCGAAGCGTTACCTATGTTATCCCACTGATGCGTTTGAGTCAGCGACGGAGGTGGAGGGTACGTTTCGCGTGAATGGTTCGAACAAGCGCATGCGCGAGCTGCAGGCGCAGTTTGAGTCTCCGCCGCGAGTGCGTGCTAGTAGTTGCGTGTTGCACTGGGCGCGACTTATTTTTTTTCTTCCTAATTTTGGGGCAGTACGGAAAGAACATTGATTGGAAAAAGGAATATTACACGACGCACGACGTCGCGAGCGTGTTCCGGAGATTTCTCACACAAATGCCCGTACGTCTGCGTCCTGCCTCCTCCTGGTGACCGCTGAACGTGCTGCACAGGAATCTGTGATACCCCACGACATGTACCATTATGTGAGTGCTGCACATGTCTGATGCGGTGCACGGCTGACGTTCGAGCCCAGTTCCGCGATGCCCTCGGTGAGCCGTGGCGTGCAGCCACGATGTAGCGCGACTGACGGCACTCTCCAGCGAAGAACCCCCACAACCAGGACGAGGTGATCGCGACGTACAAGCGGCTGATCCGGTCGATGCCGCGCGCGAACCAGTACCTACTGTTATACGTGCTCGACCTCCTCTCCGTGTTCGCGCGCAAGGCGGACAAGAACCTCATGACCGCGAAGAGTGCGTGCGCTCCCCGCTCCTCGTCCGTGCCGCTGACGCACTAAAACTGACACACCGCGTTCCACCTAACCCTCTCCCCCACAGACCTCGCGGTGATCTTCCGACCCGCCCTGATCGCGCACCCGAGCCATGAGCTCTCGCCGCCCGAGCACCAACTGAGCCAAGACGTGCTCGAGTTCCTGATCGCGCACCAGGACTGGTTCATGCTTGACATCCCGTCGCCGCCCGCGCGGCCCGCCGAGGGCCCGACGGCGCTCGGCGAGCCCGTCGACATCATGCCGAGCTCGGACGAGGAGCAGCCCGGCGGGTGGAAGCTCGTGAACAAGGACGCGTCGATGCGCCGCATCACGCGACGGCGCACGACCACGGAGCGTGCGGGCGGCGGTGAGTGCGTGTGCGCCCTGTGGGCGCTGGTCCCGATTTCCGATCGCGACGCTGATTTGTTTTTCTCCCGTCCCGATTTGGTGCGCCGACAGATAAATTGCAGCCTGCGGCCGGGCTGTCACCCGTACTTGAATCGCCGCCGTCGCGCACGGAGAGCTCTGCGGTGAGTGTGACGCGGAGCCACACGCTGCCATCGAAGGCTCGGCGGGGAGATACGCTGGCTGCACACGAGGACGAGCGGCACGCAGCGAAGGTGCTCAAGAAGCATAAGCGTGCGTCGATGCAGACACGGCGGCCCGCAACGAGCGATCCTGCCGGTTGATTCACTGCATGGCGATGGCGGGCGGGCGATTGCACGCAGGTGCAATGCGCTTGCCGGGGCGGAGCGGGGCCGTGTACAATTAGATCTGGGGGCGGGGTGCGCCAGGCTGACTTGAGATGCATAGTACATCTCGTATACCAGTGTTCATGCTACCCCCTTTGTTTGAGTATTTGCGTGGATGTGTTCCTACTACTTACGAGCTGTTGTTTGTTGTGCCTACTATTCTACTCTTACCTGCGAATCGGATCATGCGAAGACAGGAATTAAATAATGGTCGTTATTCGACGACATTGGAGATCAATGTTAGCAATTTTTGCCTAGGAAATACACGGTAGACACAGTAGTGGGATATCAAGCTGAATACGAATCACGAGAGGCTCCGACGGACGATTGTAAAGAAAAGAAAAGCATAGGACATGTGAATACGCTGGTATCCGGGGATCGTAGCAATTGTTTTGTCTTTGCGGACGCAAACTAAAGGCCGTAAGGATTATCTTGTCCACGAAAAGATATCGAGCTGGATACGAATCACAAGAGAGACGAGTGCATAGACTGGTGGAGGAGAATATTTTGCTATTCGGGGATGATAGTAATTGTTCCATCTCTGCAGACATAAACCAAAACCTAACAAACATTTTCTTGTTGAAAGAAAAGATTCTGCGCAGGAGGAGCCAAAATGTTCTTATCAGTAGTACTCTTCCTGGAACTCATCGTCAGTTATGCGATGAAGCTAAAACGGACAGTATGCCTACATCGTCATCCTCCTCAACAGGTTGCACCCTGACATCCATCGCCAACCCATTATCCCTCCATCTCATCATTGCATCCATGTCCACGTCTTGCGCACGAGACAGGACCACAGAGCATTTTTGTAGCGAGACCACTGGTCGCGCTATGACAGATGGCCCGCGGCACCGCGACTCGATCATCGCGGCGAGCACACCATCTGTTGAACTCAAACAACCGTCCAAATCCAGGCACTTGAGATTGGGACACAGACACGGAGCGACGGGTGGGGCTCGGTACGTGAGTCGCTCAAGTACACCATCTGTGACCACCGGCCACCGTCGTGAATACGCCAACCTAAACTCCTCGAGCTCGGCACCTGTTTGCGTAAGACAATCAATTAATTCCGCTGAAGTGAGCGTCATGTTTGTCATCCGGAGAGTTTTGAGAATGCACGCCGACCTCGACAGGAGGGCCATCATTTCGCCTTGAATGGATGGCGTAAGGACTAGGACCGAATGCAGGTAATCGAGGTGGTTCTCCACCTCGAATTTCTGCAGTGCAGGGAGTACAAGGGATTGGAGAAGTGGAGAAGTATCAGTGAATACTGTGATCGCGAAGTCGCGCAGAGTAGAATGTGTTATCCTCAAGTTTTCGGGAAAATTATTGTGGTCCGCATTGCTGACCAGAAGGCAGCACTGAACTAGTGCGGGACACATCCTCAAGAGCTTGAAACACTGGTATAAAGACAGCGCGTTGTCCAGCTGCAGCTCCGTTAGCTGTGCCCAAGGAACGCCTCTAATGGACTGCAGCGGGCCCGAAATCCTCTCGGAAAAAAACCAACGGAGAGAGCGAAGTTGGGGAGCAGATGTGAAAGGTAACGGCATCACGCGGCCGACCTCTGGGCCCTCTAGACGTAAGACACGGAGGAGAGGTGCAGGAGAACTAGGCTGTGCAAGTTGTGACAACGGAGTATGTGTCGATATAGTGACCTCTTCCCAGCGGGTAATGTATTCTGCGAATATACGGAACATTTCTACAATGACATCGTCGGATATGTGGTTTGCAGGTCTGTAATCTTGATACCAAGCAAACGTGAAGCGGAGAGGAAGCGAGCCGGAGCATTGAAGCCAATGTTGCATCAACTTTGGACCAATGAAAGGAAAGAAGGATGAGGCGTAGGTGAGACTGAAGCAGCACCAGAGGGCAGGCGTCCTGAGTGCGACTCGGCGCCACAAGCTACATACCCTGCATAACAGAAGCGGAGCAGTTCCAAGAGATACGTAAGCACCAGACCAATAATGTGGATAGGAATAAGTCAAATCGAGGAAAATTTCTGTCAGAAGTTCGACGGGAAGCCTGTGTATTGGATGCTTGGCGTTCTGGCATTCAGAGGTGCGTTGCTCATCCGCAACTGGTGTAAAATCACCCGCTGATATTACCAAGCTACGGCTGCCCGTTGGGTCTGGCAGAACAAGACATGTCATGAGGCTGCAGGGGTGTTAACCTCAATCCGAACGCACCATTGGAGTCTTCAAGATGCTCCATACAACATAAAGTACGCTAGATCGGGGATCGGATTCGGATCGGATGAAGAGGATGTCCGCCTTTAACTATGCAGAGGTAACCGGGATTCAGGATAAGATGCAAACCCACTGGATGAAGACGGTCAGACCTTGTCTTGTTCAAGTTGCACTTGACTCAAAGTGGCATGCTGCAAACTTCGGATACCACGCCGGAGGAACTTACACCGCCGTTTAGGCCAAAGCTCGGGTAGATAGTCAATTTCCGAGATCAGAAGACAGTTTACAAAAAGATCAGATTGGCATCATACGGACATTTTTGGGACATTATGAGCGGGATATCTCCCGGATAACTCGCTGCTCTCAGCCTGATATCCTCCGTTCACACTCCTGCTGAGCTTTGCCCTCCATGAAGACTTCGCTGAGATTTCCCCCAAAATCTGCCTGGCGGCGTCAACCGTGGGAACCACTGGAACGCCACGTCTTTTCCCGGCATGGTCTGATGTCAAAGTCTGCTTCTCTCCTTGACCAAGCCTCCAACTTCTCTTCTTGTCATTCGTCCTGGTCGCGCCCACGTTCCAGCGCAGTCCTTGTTCTGTTCTACCGCCCATTGCACATTTTCAAGCTCAAGTGCCTTTCTTCTGCAGTGTTTTCTCTGTTGTGCTGGACTTCTTGGTCTCTGGCAAGTTGGGCTGTGACCAACTGTGTCCGTCTGGCCTTGGCTGTTGTGCCGGCTCCTGCACCAATGTCATCTCTGCCCAAATGCGCAAATACCCTGTACGAGGTGCCTTTCGGTGCATACCCCACCTCTGTGCCCTGCTGACTACCCCGCGAAGGGTGTCTGTCGCCGAGGTGTGCACTTCTACTCTTCCTCGAGTTTAGCACACTTGCTCGCTAGGTGATGGGGTCACCATCTCACAGAATCTGACGGGCCGCGGAGAGTGCTCCACAGTGTGGCACGGTGAATGCCCATGCTACACCGTATACAAGTGTAGTACTGTAGCTCCTACAATAGCGTCCTGTAGTGTCCTGTAGCATACAGAAAACCAATATATTTGTTATTTACACCCTTAACTGCAATATAACAAGCCGCGCAGCTGTTATGGAAACAAACAACGATGAGGAGCCGTGCCCTGCATGTTCCCGAGCTCAGCGGGAGATCACTTGCTGAGGTCTCACAGCTCTCGCTCTCCCCGGAGTCTCCTGGGATATGATGATTTCTATCTGGGTGATATCCGTGCCAGATCCGGAAAGAGTCGTGGGATCATCACGCGATATTTGGACCCGGATCTCAGCCTGGACTCTGGCCAAAATGGCTGTGTACTTTACAGTCAAGAGTCGTGAGAATCCCGATATTTATTTCGAGTGTCGGGAAATTCTGCTACAGAAGTCACATTAGCTTGCTCATTACTCCACGTATGTATAGTACGAAATGTCTACAGAATGTGCATCGGGAAAACCCAACTTTTCTTAGGGACTTATTTAGATTGTAGCGGCGCAAGCCCCATCCCCTGACTCCATTGGAGGCTCTGCACAGGTGCTCACGTACTATGCCTGACCATTCATTTTTGGTCCCACCATTTAGCTACTTTGTAGGTATCCTTTGTGGCATATTTACAATCTTTTTGAGCTTGAATGAGGATGAACAGCAGAATATTTGATGATCATGAAATCTGTGTATTTATACTGCAAGTAGGTGAGCAAGTGCGCCGAGGAACAGTCACAAATGTATACTAAAATATGCACTACATCAGGAAAACCCCACTTTTCCTTAAAAGGGCACTTAAATAACTTAAATGAACTTATGGTCCTTATTTAAGGACATAAGGACAAAAAGGGCTTAAGGCATATTCTCTGAGTGTCTGAAATTCGACTTATTTGAACACTTATGGCCTTAAATAAGGGTTGTCAGACCCAAAAGTCTAAATAAGTCCATAAGAGAAAGTTGGGTTTTCCTGATGTGGTAAGGGTTCTGTCTAGGAAGGATGTAGTCTGTGCTGCCATAAAGCAGCGGTGTCTTATGAGTACTGCATTGGTCAGTGGTGGGGAGGTTGTAATGTCAAAGGGATGTGTCCGCGTGAGTATTCTACTTCATTGCATATATATTACACAGAGAAATGGCAAGTCTGATGCTGGACTTCTCAGAATGTTCACAGACCATCAGAATGGTTGTATGTATCTTGCTAAACTTCAAGACTGGTAATGCAACTGCTGCTCTAAGTTTCAAACAGTATTAAAAGGCTTACAGGCTTCACTTTGTAATAAATGACAGCATCTTTGGAGTTCCTGTTAGATGTCAAGCCATGACTTCCTATTCTGGTGATGGCTAAAGTCATCTAAAAGCCATACCACCAGCTAGCACTGCTTTTCAGTTGAAGTGCCTATGTGATGGTGTACCATTTGAAACTTGTTACTGAAGTTGTATAGATGTGCTCAGAAGCTGAGACATTTTCCTGATTGTTGGCTAACATAACTATAGCTTTGAAGACCAACTAGTGTCTAGCATGAGTCTGACAAGGTATACCCACACTTATGAAAAACCCATACCCATCACATGGGTATGAGTTTTATACGGGTTGGGTATGGGTCAGCTATGGGTCTGTATAGGTCGAGACCCATCATGGGTATTTTATGAGTTACAGTGTGGAAGTCATAGTACAATAGCAGTAGGCAAGTCTTTGTGCCATTACCTGCCATGCTATTGGAGTGATGAGATGAGTCTTCTGAGCTGTGTGTGATACCAGGTTTGAATTATCTAATAGAGGTACTATATAGTTATGTCACCATCATACTTCTGGAATCCTATGTTTATAACAAACCCATAAGATGGCCCATGAGTTTTCATGAGTTACTCACTGCTGACCCACATCCATACTTATAGATACCCATACTTATAACTCATGTGGATTGGCGATACTCATGTCATATACTAAGACCGACTGGATCCTATTTTGAGATTATAAGTGAAATAGTTACAGATAATGGCTCATACCATATCAGTCATATTTGCATGAGTGGCTGCAATTTGTGAGCAAACAGCATTGTCGAGTGATCTCACTTTGATATCCGACAAGTGCTATTCAAAACAGCTGATGGCGATGTGAAAAAGTGGTCACAAGTTGCACATTCTGTCTTTTGGTCCAAGAGAATTACAATCCGACATCACATGAGTTGTTCACCCTATTTTGCAGTTACTGGAGTTTATTCTATCATTCCACTTAACATTTTTAAAGTGACATATCTCTAGCCCCCTCTGACTTCAATTCTCTCTACCACTGATTTTATTGCATGTTGCACCATTGCATTGCAGAAGCATTCAGACCAGCTCACGACACTTTATTCGAAAGTCTATGAAGCTCATATCTAAGCCGTGATTTGTTTTGAGCATGAACATGATCATACAATTTGCGACTACAATTTTATTCATGGAGCTCTCATCCTCATTCGCAACACTTAAATAGAGAAGGCTCTCAATTGCAAAATGCGTGCAAGATATCTCAAACCTCTCATTATTGTTTCGTGAAATTATGGCGATGCATATATCCTTTGCGAACTTGACAGCTTAGTACTCGATCTACTCATTGTCACTTTTTGAGTGATTCCCTACTTTATGCGAAAGTATCTCTCACTCTCTGACAATTTCTTTGACCTTCCCAAATCACAACTTTGTGAGATGCAGAAGTTGACAAGTTAAGAAGATAATGATGATTTAAATCTCAACCTTGCAGTGATGCTGAAAGATGACTTCGAAGATTACAATGATGAAGATGTTTAGTTTTATATTCACAAACCACCTCCTCTCAGTTTCCTACATACATTTCCACAGTTTGACTCTCTCTAACTTTACTCTCTTGTTTAATTTCTCACAACTTTTTTCTCCTCTTCATTATAGATCACCATTTGACCTTGCTGACTGAAAACAGTCACATTTTAGTTGGGAGGAGGACAAGTATATCATTCATGATGTTTCAACATCACAACATTTTTCAATTTTTTCTTATAAATCTCTAAGTCCCTACTCAGTTCTCCTGCAATATTTTTCCGTCTCTCAAAAATCTCAAAAAGACATATTTTTTTTTACTTTCTACTTGAAATTTTCTCTTTCATACAGATATTATGTTACAAGATGTTTAGAAGGACAGAAGATAATGAAGAAAGATGAAGAAGAAAAGTTGTGACATTGTGCAGTAACTGTTGAAATCTGGAGTCTGAGAAGTTGCTGAAGCACATTCGCTGAACGTGCGTTATACCTTTGGTTCGGCTTTTCTGTTTTCTCTTGTAACTACTTAATGCCTCAGCTCTACCGCTAGCTATATTAGGTAGTGTCGAGTGGCTTATATACCATACGTTCACTCACTGGATGCCCCAGAGAATTCTACTTCTGGTGCATCCATGTATGTACCCCCTTCCTATTATATTCACTCGTACTTACAGCATCTGCAGTGACCATCATGTCACTAACAGGTATGAAGAGAGAATTCTACTTCTGGTGCATCTGTTGACTGTCATGTCACTAACAGGTATCTCTCCAGTCTGTCTGCCCCTCCACTGTGCCCACTGCACTTATCCGGCTTTGCCATTTCAACCCTGAGTGGGTTGCTCCATTGCTACTTGCATTTCGATAGGTTATGAGCCTCGCTGTTATCAGCTGAGGAGTTTCCCTTACATCACACATGCACCCCGAATTTTATAGTGAAGCACTGCTTTCATTATCAGCAAACTGTTACCATCGACCACAGTTCTTACTCGTTCACCTCTCATCGTTTTCTACAGCAACAGGGTCGTGAAGTTTCTGACCTATGTGATCTTGTTCCATATCCTGCTTCATTACTCTTTGCACACCTCTCACATATTGACAGCTCACTCTTCTCCCCTGACTTCATCAATATTCCGTTGCCACTATCATCCTCTTCATCATCATCAAGCTCCCGTGCACCATCTCTGCAGCCTATTATGCCTATCTCTCACTGTCTACCCTGTGTCATGACCACCACCATTGCCAAGGAATTTTCTGACATCCCAAAG